TAACTATTAAAGAAGGAAGAAGAACTAGAAGTACTTAAGCAAGTTTAAGAAGCTTAATTAAGTTAGATGTTAATGTTATAGAGAAGGTTTAAGCTAGATAGGAGGGATGGTTTTATACCTAGAATTTTATAAGCTAGTGACTACAACTTAGAGTTATAAGTAACTAAGGCGTGAAATTAAGAAGTAAGAAACTTAGAGCATGCTCCTTATAATACTAGTAGGTAAGAAGTCGGAGCATACTATTATTACAAGGAAAGAGTATATAAAAAACGATCTAAGATCGTTATAGAAGTTGCTAGCGCTAAGGCTGCTACCTAGCTAAGTAAAATTAGATGTAATAAATGTAATGAAGGAGGATTAAGAAATTAGAGGAGACATAGGAAGATGTAATAGATGTTATAGTGGGAAAGAAGATTCTAATAGCAGGTTATAACTAATAGAAGCAGATTTCCTAACTGCTATTAGAGTTGTAAATGGAAAAGTTGCCCATGGCTGTAACAAGCTATGTAACTAAGGCTTCTCTAAAGTCTGACTAATTGTTTCCTTTATATTGTTAATTTCTATTAATACTAGCAACAATACTAAAGCAGGTGCTTTAGTCTAAGTAGGGAAGGATGTTATTACGAAGCCGGAGTAAGCCATTGCTTGGCGGATTTGGTATATAATCGTGCCGTGCGCCAGTAGACTAAAAAATCAAGTTCCTTTGGCAATTACACCTGAATTCCCTTGATAGACAGTTCATCTCAGATATATAGACGGCTAGGTTGGGTAAAGTGATCAATTTTTTTCCTTTTTTCGCCTACATTGATCGTGCCTCCCCCAGACGTTGTGCAGTGTGCCTTCGAGGGTTTTTGAAGATCTCTCAATCACCCTTCCAGAAGGCGGACCTGTGAGCATATGAGATACCCTTGCTCGGTAAGAAACATTTGACACAATTTGAACCAAGCTGTAAACATCAACTGGTGTGCGGTAAGAAACACGGGCCATGGATGGACGCCAATTGTATCAATTCAAATTCATATGCCCTTTTATGTACAAGGTGTCAGGCCAATCTAACGAAATATGGTCGTTGCATTCATAAAATCAATCGTTCTTAGTCTCCTTGAAAGACCCCGCAGGAGAGATGGCTCTGCCCATGTAATCGCCCTGCCTATCTCCCTCAGCGGGTGAAGGGCTTAGACTCTTCTCCCACTCGTTCATGAGATGTGAAGCAGTGCGTCTGAGATTGCTTGGGGCCAATTTGTTCAGCGCAGGCCATGGCAATGAATCTCTCTTCGTGTCTCTAGACGAACTGCACAAGACGTTAGCTATGGCTTACTACAAAGGACATAAATCGCCTACCTCATACTGGTCCTGGGACTAGTTCCATCCGGGCTCGAAGATGTGTGAGGCTCAGATACTGATGAATTGGATCGTGATGGTTTGGGATCAGAGGTAGGGACTGTAGGATCCCAACTTTCCCATGCATCGAGGGAGCTGGTCGATGCACGATTGACCTTGGCAGGAGGATGAATAGACTTCTTGGAGGGTTTGCGAAGAATGGGTGCAGGCGTGGGATCGTGCTCCTTCCAAAACGAGTTGCCAATATCAAGGTATGCGATTTCCTCAGCAGCAGACGGAGCTGGCGAGCGGGAATTAGTTCGTCGGCTACCGGTTGTGGCACTTCTCTTCAATGGCTGTGTATTAGGCGACGGTTTGAGACTAGCCCTACTGGGCTGGGGTCCGGGAGACCTGGACGGGTTCGGAGAGCGAGACTGGGTTCGTGAAGTTGTTCCATTGATACCCTCGTCGCCAACTGTAGCCTGTCTCAGATCTTCAATGAACGTCCACAAGCCATCTCGAAAGTCAGAAGCCATTTGTTTGCCAGTCTTGAGCAGAACCTCGCGAGGCAAGCCTAGGTCAATAGCATCGTCTGCTGTACGTGCCACTTCAGTGGTCAGGTCGGCATCGGTGGGTACGCGAGCAGGATGTGGGGGACGCGATGAGTCTTGTTCAGGGCGCGGCTGAGGTTGTAATCGAGGTGGCGGCGGGCGCATAGCATCAGGAGACAACAAAGACAAAGCACGAGCATGGCGAGAGCCAGAAAAGACTGTGCGGTTCGAATTCTTGTTGCTGGTCAGCAGAGCTCTTCGTCGCTCCATATCGTGCTGGCGGGAGCTGAGTGCAGGATCGGCCGTGTCGACAGCGGGGTGCATGGATTGCATCTTGTGAAGCCTGCGCGGATCATGCTGGCGCTTCTTGTGGGCTTCGTGAGCAGCCCATGTCTGTTTGAGGCGGTGGAGTTCATGCTCGGCCTTGATGAGTTCCTCTCTCAGTTCCAGTACGCGTCGCTCGTGAGCGGCCAGTGCGGTGAGGAAGGCAGAGTCGGTGGGCCCAGCGGGCAAGGTTGGCTTCTCGGGCAGCAGAGGGGTATATGGCAGGACTGGCGAGAGAGTGGTCGAGGTGGGCGACAAGGATGTTTGGATGGGGAACGTGAGGCTGAAGCGCTTCGCCTTTCGCTCCGACATGGATCGCGAGTGAGGACTGATGCCACTCCTGCTCCAGGGCCGTTGTTGATCCATGGTTGTGTTGCTCAGGAGCAGAGAAACCGGGTCGCTGCACGTAACGCCTGCATTGGTCGTCGTTGGTCTTGGTTTTGGTGTCAGCACACGTATGTTTGGGATTAATAACGACATGACCGACCGGACCCTGAATGAGGCCTCAGCCAAGCAAGCACGCGCAACCCCATGACTCGGCACTCACTCTCAATACCGGCATGCCTTGCAACGTCTTTTCCAATCCTCACCCGTTTCCCAGCTCTGTTCGCTTCTCTGCATGGCTCTTCCAAACTGCCAACACTGCTTTATTGCTATCCAGACTATGTACCCGCCTTAAAAATGTCCATGCTCTGGACGCGGCACAGATCATCCGTTCGCATCGCCCCTGCCTAGCCTGTCTCTGCATTGTTGCACATGGCCTTGACAATACGATAGTCAAAGATCTCGACCCTGTCCAAACTCAATCTCTCAATCTCTGCATAACAGGCACGATACTGCCGTGTCTCTCGAGGGTCCACCAGTACCACTTTCCGCATGCCTTTGTAGGCTTGACTTTCACATACCGTATCCATGCCTTGTTCGTGCCTGTCACTTTCTCGATCCCAGTACATCAGATCTTGGATGATCACCGCTCCGTGCTCAAGCACCTTCCGTTCGATCTTCTCTTTTTCTGCCTTTGCTAAGTCTGCTATGAAGACAACTGACTGGCTAAGTATGCATCGATCTTTGTGAGCCAGTGGTGTAATCTGTTCAAACTTGCAACGGCCCTCGGTCCAGCTTGGTTGATGTACTTCATCACTGCTTGTCGGAACAGGATTTTGAACTATCTGCTGGGTGATATCCGAGAGTGGCGTTCGTGGTGATAGCTCGAGGCTCTGTTCACCAACTTGCTCCTTCCGTTCTCGAGACACGGGCACGATCTGATGGTAAGCCTGTATGGTTTTGCTGTCTCTGCTTTCACATATTTTGCGCTTGCCTAGCACCGTGGATATCTTCAACTTTCCCACCCCGTCCGGCGGAGACGATTCTGGTGGAGTAGGCAAAGCTGCATCTTGCTTGCTGGGAGTGGCAGGACTCTGCCGCACCGCGCTTGTTCGCAGGCCGTCTCCAAGAACAGCTAACGGCTTGAATCTGGATACAGTCTCCGTGTGTGGGCTACGAGTCGAGTCACTCCGGGCTGATCGAGGGGTTGTATCGGCAACGCTTGATCGAGGCGTCGTGTTGAGACTGTGTCTGGCATATCTCCGCTTGTGACTCGCCTCCAATTTGGCCATCCAATCAACGTTTTCTTGGGTTTCTGAGTCGTGAGGGGCACTCAGAGCTTCGGTTGCTGCAGATTGCAGTGCATCAAATGTGATACAATCCCTCCAAGTCCGGTCTCGATGTAACTTCTTCACCCGAGGGTGTCGTAACATGAAGAAGCCTCCAGTATGTTTACTGTATGAACTGCCCAGTACCTCGAACACCAATGGATCGCGAAAGTAGTCCCCAATTCGCAGCATGCCGTCGGTTTCGATAACAAGTGTCGAGGTTCTCTTACTGTACGGTTCTGCAAGCATACCTCCTTCAATATTGACCCTTTCCAAGATCTCCTTTGACATGCAATGATCATATGCGATCGTCGCCACGATCCTGAACACAGGCTTGACACCATCTCGATGCAGTAAGTTCTTGTTCAACAAGCACCCCAAATGGAAATGTGTGTACTTGAGGCGTAAACCTGATTGCTTCTTCGCTTCTTGGGAAGAGTACGATGCTGCCACGACAGCAAAGTCGGCTTCGTCCCCGAGTCCGGCAATGTAATCTTTCTTGAGCTTGATGCCATTCAAGAAAAAATCGTGTGTATGATAGGGAACACCACAGCGCTTGAGGACCAGACCCTCATGACGACACGCGATCGATGCCGCAAAGTGGTTCATAAGCCTGTGTTCAGCAGTGGCTTGTGAAAAGTCCATTACACAAGATTCAGCTGGTACTGCTCGGCCATGGACCCTCTTGTAGAGCGTGTTTAGTCGAGCTTTGCGTTCCTCGACAGATCGTGATAAGATGTCTTCATCATCAAGCAACAGAAGATCAAACAATACGATCATCAGATGTTCGCTCGATTGGCGCGGTGGATCGTTTTCAACACCGATAAATGAGCCAGCACGGGAAACGTGTTTGCGAATCTCATCAAATCCAAGAACGCTGTCTTGTACATCAGAAAAAACCACCATTTCTCCAACCAAAATACATGCGCGCTTGACTCTGCACTTGTCACTACCGATGCGAAGGCATCTTTTGATAGTGCTCCGCAAACCTGCACGATCTTCTGTAGAATCCCTACCACTTTTTGAATATATCCTCAGCCAATCATCACCTCGGGTAAGATCAACATGTATCTAGGCACAGTAGTGTCAGCGAACGTCAAGACAAGCAAACGACACGAGGTACACAAACCTGACAATATTCACCATCATATTTCCTTTCCACCAGCCACTTTCCCCCAGCAGTCATCTGCAAACAATGTTTTATAGACCTGGCTTTGGTGTACTCAGGCCGGCTGACCTTGACGCCAGGAGTTGGTCTGAATGATGAAAGGGCAGTCTGTCTCAGAATATTCCTAGATTGCGGGTCCGGACGACTCGGATAATCAGCGAAGTTTGTCTTCAAGGCGGCGCATGCGTTCTCGAAGCTGTCTTGCATACCAAGCAGATCGGGAAGTAAGAAGTGAACAGAGGCCAGGATTGACCTTTCGTTTAAGGAAACTGAAGCGAAATCTTTCAAGATGAGTCGTACCAACCATTTGGCTTCGACAGGGTGGAGGCGCATGAAAACATCGGAGAGGGAGGTGTCAATGCTTGTCGAAGGAAGCAAGGATTGACGGACCGAATGAGCGGAGAATCTGTTTCCTGCAGCAAGAGCGTGCAGCACATCATCTGCGTCTTGTAGAGTGACGAAAGGGAGAGCTGGCGGACCACGAGCCATCAGAAGGCGCTGCAAGCAATCTCCAAGATCACCATTATTAGGATTCTGAAATGACGCAAGCTCTTGTCTGGCAGAGGCGCTCAAGCCGAGACATCGACCGAGCAATTTCAAGAGGGATGTAGACTGTAAGCCATAGATGCGATCCTTTCGTCTGTGTGGGAGAAAGGATGATAGCAATGTGGCGGTGCCGAGTTCATCCAAGGCGTCGATGACTTTGTGGTGCGTTGAGAACCAGGTGGCATGTTGACGATAGAGTCTTGGTCTTAGTTCTGACGGGGGCAGAGGAGGATCGTGACATGTTATCTCTTCACATCGCTCAAGATAGTCGCAGAAGTAAGCAAACTTGAAGGACATTTGCTATAGCATAGCGAGTATGAGCTCCAAGAAGCTGGACCGATACTGAATCTGTGGCAAATATGCAATCGATAACAACCAAGGATACAGAACAATGAAAATGTGATATAACCAAGAAACAAAATATGTTGAGCGTTATTTGTCTTGAGGAAGACGCGTCGAGATGCTCGAAACTGGCGCGTGGCTGCCTCAGCTTTTAGCAGCTGTTGACATCATCGTATGAGAGTCTGCGTTGCCATCACAGCTCCGTTCTCATCGCGATCTAGCTGCTGGCTATGTGTTGCTATCGATCTGGTTGACATCGGCCAAGTGCCGAATGCCATCAAGCTCGATAGTAACTCCCGTGTGCCAAGGTCTGTGACTTTCAATCGAATTGGCTACGCAGAGAGCAGAGTGTACGCTATAACAAGGCACAGTCTTTCTCAAAAACATGGGCATGTCCACAGAGAGTCTGTATCTGTCGCTTCTCAGTGGACACTAACCATCATGGGCTGTTAGTTTTGAACATCGTGCATTTTTACAGCTAACACGTTACATACTTTAGCACGCGGGGAGAGTAGCATGTGATTGCGGAAGTGAGGGGCAGGCACAGGTGGCCTAAGGTAAGGTACCACCTTGTTTACGTCGACGAGCGTTCACCGACTTGTCGCTCAAAGCAGCAACACGCAGTATGAGTTCAGACGACAAGATACACAAGAACAAGCTGATCCTTCGTGGGATCAAGCAGAGCAGCCCGCTGGGCACTGGTCTCTTCCTAGGCCTTCGCAGTCTTGACCCAGTACTTCAATATGGTCTCCTTGCCAAAGGCATCGCCGCCGGTGCCATCCACAAGCTGGGTGGAAAGACACTGGCCCAAGGTCCGCCTGTCGTCACGAACACGTTCCTCGACCGTCTCGCTCTATCACCCTACCGATTGATCCTCCTCGGCATGGCTGCAGGCAGCGCCATCAAGCAGAACTACTGGCTGGTCGGCATCTGTCAGGAGGAATTTCCACCCTTGTCCGCCATTGAAGTCTCGGTCTTCAACTCTGTCTTCAACTCTGTCAACTCCCTACTCTTCACCTGCTCCATGACCTCTGCTTCGGTCAACGGCGAACACTTCCCACAGACTCCTCTGTTAGTCGGCTCTGCCCTGTATCTCGTTGGCATCTTCACAGAGACCTTTTCCGAATGGCAGAGACTACAATTCAAGAAGAACCCCGCAAACAAGGGCAAGGTCTATACCGGAGGTCTGTTCCGCTTTGCAAGACACATCAACTATGCCGGATATACACTGTGGCGTGCTGGGTATGCTTTAGCAGCCGGTGGGTGGACCTGGGGTGCCATCGTTGGCGCCTTCTTCTCGTACAACTTCATCTCAGATGGAATACCCGAACTCAATAGATACTGTCAAGAGAGGGTAAGTTGCTCTCTTTTCAGATGCCCCGTTTCTGCTAACCATAGCTCTCAGTACGGCGAACAATGGCAGAATTACAGAAAACAGACTCCCTACAAGCTGTTCCCGTACATTTACTGAGCGTGCTCTCATCAGTCACGAATCGATTCAACATGTGCTTTCCCCCAGGTGGGAGATTGGAAAGAAATTATTATAATGGCTCTAGAGGTATCTTTTGTAGCATAGCTTGCGCATTACTGTCGAGCAGTAATTTACTTGCTTCTCTTGTAAATCTTGCGGAGGAACTCCTCGAACACCTCCTTCTTGAGGCCTTCACTCTCGTCCACCTCGGCAATGTGTTTTCTGATATCGCCAACCTTCTCCTCCTCGTATGCATGGTAGACCTGGTCGAGTTGCAGCTCGTTGAAGAGAGCCTTGACCTTGGCTTCATCGTCCTTGTTCTTTCTTCCGTAGTGTTGCTCCAGAACGGCACGCTGCTCCTTGGTAGCGCGCTTCAGAGCCTGGTTTACCAACCAACTGCACTTGTTGTCCTGGATGTCGGTACCAATCTTGCCGAGAGTCTCAGGGTCGGCGTAGTTGTCAAGGTAATCGTCTTGAACCTGGAAATATTCGCCCATAGGAATAAGAATGTCGTGTGCCTGCTTGAGGTTCTTCTCGGTGGCCATGCCGCAGAAGTGCAGGGCCAGAGCGACGGGGAGGTAGAAGGAATAGTATGCCGTCTTGTAGATGACGATAAAGGTGTACTTCTCTAGACTGAAGTTGTCGAGGTCAACATGGTCCTCGGGGGCAGTCAACAAGTCACAGGCCTGGCCCAGCTCGGTCTGGAAGGTGACTTCGTGGAACAGCTCCATCAGATCGACGTAGTTCTTCTCTTGGCGGAAATACTTCTTGAGCAGGATGTAGATGGCGCTCTCGAGCATGAAAGCGTCGTTGATGGCGATCATGCCGACGTTGGGCATCAGGTACCAGCAGGGAGAACCACGGCGTGTCTTGGACGAGTCCATGATGTCGTCGGAAACGAGGAAGAAGGCCTGGAGCAGCTCAATCATCCAGCCGAGGGTAGCAGAGCGGAAGTACTCGTCGGTAGTAAGGTCGCGCTCGAGGAGCAGAGCCGATGTGTCGACAACCGACATACCGCGATTGCACTTGCCGCCAACAGTGTTGTGTTGAAGAGATTCCTCGAACCATTTGAGAGCCTGGGTGGGGAGGTTGTATTGTTTGCAGTGGGCGCTCAGGTCCTGGATGAGCTGGGGGAAGACGGACTCGAATTGCTTGAGAGTGGTAGGCATGATGGCGGTGGTGGAGCGAGGACGCAAAGAGTGGATGGGCTGCAGTCGCGGCGGAAGTATCGACAGGCTGTTCAGGATGCGACGATGACCTGCAGAGCGTAGTCTGGACAAGGAGTGGACGAGACGAGCAATGGCGACAAGGTGAACGAGTGAGGGTGCTGGAAACCAAAAGTCGTCCGATTTGTTTGGCCCAAATTGACCTCCGTCTTTCTCCCCTTGCGCCGCAGAAGCCAGAGCCCCACTACCAATCTCGACTCCCTCGTCTTACCGCGCGACTCAGTCGAAATTATCAAATTGTCCTACGCCTAGTCATCCTCGACCGCGACCAGGTCTTTTGTGCTAGAGCGGGCATACCCATATTGGTCTTGCTATCTCAGGACGTTCATGCTGTCTGTACTTTTGTGAAACATAAACATCAACAAAACAGTTCTGGCCAAAGCCAACCATTACTCCGACGTCTCCGTCCGACATGGCTGCTCTGTCCACTGAACAGACATTGCAACTACGAACTCAATTGCATCAAGCGGTAGTCGCATGTAACGATCGCTGCTTGTACCGTTCTGCAAAATGGTGCGTCCATCTGCCTGACCTGAATCCTGTCTCTGCTAAGACAACAACCAGGGCTGCAGAACTTCTCAATGCCTTTCCAGACTCAGACCATCATCTTGATTCTACTTACGATACAGAACCGAACTCGCCGAATGGCCAAGACGATTCATGGTCTAGTTTTCAATTTTCACAAGACTCGCACGAGGCCCGACTAGAACGGAGAGAGTACCCAAAGTTTCTCATGGCCAAATCTTTCTTCGACTGTCGTGAATTCGATCGATGCGCTGCTACTTTACTACCTAGTCTGGTTCCACAACAGCCGGTTACGAGAAATGCCGCAAATGCGACAAATGCTGCCGCAAGGTCCAAGTCGAAACCACCAGTTTCGTTACCGGGCTTACCACAGCTCAGCCAACGTTCTCTTTTTCTTGCCTTGTATGCAAAGTACATGGCAGGCGAGAAACGCAAGGAAGAAGACAGTGAGATGATTCTAGGCCCCACTGATGGTTCCGTCACGTTGAACAAAGAGCTCAGCAGGATATCCAGCATCCTTGATGAGTATCTCAGCGCTCGAGGTGGTCTCCAAAGTACACACGAATCACAAGGCTTCTTAGAATATCTGTACGGTGTTGTCCTGTTGAAAGGCAAGAATGAGGCACTTGCAAAGGCGTGGCTTCTCAAGAGTGTCAACCAATGTCCATGGAATTGGGGAGCATGGCAAGAACTTGCGGACCTGTTGAATTCGGCCGAGGAGGTCAGTATCCAAGTCCTCTTCTTCTGCAATGCACTGACAGAATGATTCAGCTCAACGAAATAACCGAACACCTGCCACAAAATATCATGACCTTCATGTTCCACATCTACTGTAGCCAGGAGCTCTTCCAATCCACGGAAAAGGTCTACAACGAAATCAACCAGATTAGCAGCATTTTTCCCAACTCAGCCTTCTTGCAGACTCAGCGTGCTCTCCTGCATTATCATTCCAAAGGTGGGCAAACTCGCACGCGCTGTTGTCAGTCCTATCTTATTGACTTTGTCTGCAGAATTTGAAGAGGCCGATGGATTGTTCGCCGACCTTCTCTTGCGGCAGCCTTACCGATTGGATTCGATGGACTCATACTCAAACATCCTGTACGTAATGCCATCAAGACCAAAGTTGGCACATCTTGCGTCTGTCGCGTCAGCCATCGACAAATTCCGACCGGAGACGTGCTGCATCATCGGAAACTATTATTCTCAGTGTTCAGAGCACGAAAAGGCGGTCATGTACTTCAGACGAGCTCTCACTCTGGATCGCCAATTTTTGTCAGCGTGGACTCTGATGGGCCACGAGTACATCGAGCTCAAGAATACGCAAGCAGCCATTGAAAGCTACAGACGAGCTGTGGACGCCAACAGGAAGGATTACCGAGCGTGGTACGGTCTAGGTCAGGGCTATGAACTCTTGGACATGCATTCCTATGCTCTGTTCTACTTCCAACGTGCGGTGGCTCTACAGCCATGGGATCCGAAGATGTGGATGGCCGTGGCCAACTCATTCGCCAACTGCGGCAGATTGCAAAATGCGATACGGTCATACAAGCGAGCTTTGGTTGCCGGTAGCTATCTTGACAATGGTGGTGGAGCGGTCAGCTTTGCCTCGTCAGCAGATCCGCTCGCTGGAGCAGTTGGAGGTACACTGGATCCTGAGATTCTTTACCAGATTGCTCTTCTTTACGAGCAGGACAACAACATGGACGAGGCATCTGCATACATGGAACTTACGCTGGCACAAGAGGAAGGGCCAGACGAGGAAGACCTGCCACCGGGGGCACCACTGTCCAGTGCCGGAGGAGGCATCGGTATCACACAAACAACGAGCAAAGCAAGATTGTGGCTGGCCAAGTGGAGCTTTGTCAAGCAGGATTGGCAGCGCGCGTCAGAATTGGCAAATGAATTGTGTCAAGATGGGGTCGAAGTGGAGGAAGCCAAAGCTTTGGTCAGAGATATAAGAGCCAGGTTAGAAGCCGATGGTCACTGAGAGGTCATCGACATGCTCTAGTTGATATCGAGACAATAGAATCATGGCAATGCCGAAATAGCCAAAAAAAATACATTCATGAAACGATCAAAAGTCGGATATGGAAAACAATGGGGAATTTACATAAGGGCCAGGACCAAGCTGCTGAGGACGCTCAGTCCAACAACAGTCCAGCCGGTGACCTGGACCTGCTTGTTGGTGATGCCCTTGCCCAAGTCCCACATCAAGTGTCGCAGACCGTTGAAGCTGTGGTAGGTGAAGGGGAAGCTGGCGACGAGCTTAGCCAAGATGGCAAGAGCGGCAGGCCATGCAGCAAAGGAAGCGGCAAGACTGGCGCTCTCAAGGTGCCAGCCAAAGGCAGGAGCGATGAGGTATGAGAGACCGAAGAGGTAGAAGGAGCCGGAGAGGGCAACGCCGGTGACACGATTGAGAGCAGAGCCGTACCAGGTGATCTGAGGCTTGTAGATGCCCAAGTGAGGCGAGACGGGGCGGTTCAGGCGTTGCTTGGCCAGGATTTGTTGCGAAGCCTCCGAGTCCGAGACGCTCTGGAAGGCAGCGTGTCTACAGACAGGACATGTGTGAGATTGATGACAGCTACAGCGGCGCGAGCGGACGCAATTCGTACCTTTGCTGAACCAGGCCGGCGGACGAAAGAAGCTGGGGAGTGCGCGAAGAGAGGAGCGAAGGCTGACGGACCGCCACTGCTATAATGTTAGTTCATGTCGCAGTAGGAACAAGCCAGGCAGACGTACAGCGGCGCGCTGTCTGCAGACCGAGTCTTTGAGCAAGCATTGTGATTGTTGTGTCGTCGTTGTCGTGAAGCCAAGTCCAAGTGCTGTATGAACATCGACTTCGGGAACCTCCAAGTCGAGTAGCCGAGGGACTCTGGTTGGCCAATCAGCGTCTCGCAGGAGTAAGCGGGCATGGGCGAGCCCCGGAAATCACCCAAATAAATTCTTCGACCCCTTCCGGCTTCTTTTCTTCCTTTCTCTTTTTAACATGGGACCTGGCATCCACCGCTTGGACTATTTCAGTATGATATACCGGTGTTCTTTGTTCGACATTCTGTCGGACCCCATTCCAGGTTTCTAGACCGAAACTGCCCGTCGTTAATCGCCCATTATGCCCGTGACCTCTGGCTCGGTGGGTTTCATATTCAGGGCCACATCCTTTTCTGTCCTCTCTTTTTTGCGTCTGCACGAGATTGCTACATCTCTTTCCATCTGGGCGTTTGACTTTTCATCCGATGCCTAGCATCAACCCGTACACCATTCGCGTGCGTGTGCGCTTCAGACTGAATATACTTTCTCTCTGCCCTCTCCGTGTGCCAAAGTATGTAGCGAGTGTAGCTGCAAAAACGCACAAAAGCACGAGGGAACAGAATAGTGCCCACTAGGAAGCGACAACCTATCTGCTCTCCCTGGACACATGCAACAAACAATTGTGTCTTTTGACGGTGTGTGTTTTGCTCTTCGCTACGGTTGGAGTGGATGACAGTTGCAGAAGCACACGGGGCGGACAGACACGTCTCACCGGATATGTCTGTAATTTTGGTGGCATCTTCGAGCTGCTGTGATCTCCAGGTAATGCAGGCGTGCATATCCGCATCGCGAATTCATGCTAGTTCCTACGATCAAGAATTTGCGGCTCTCAATTCTATTCCTTGAGCTTAATACAACGGTAACTGGCTCCAACCTCGCACACAACTTTACCGTCATCTGCCGAAACCCTCATCGGCTGCTTATACCCGTTGGTGAAGACAACTGATGCTCCCCCTTTATTTGGTCAAACCTTGTACTGCCGTCAACATCTAGCGGAAGGTTCTTTTCACTGCCGTCAACATCAAAGCTGCGCCAGATTTTAGATCTCAAACAGGACAACTAATCGGTGCCTAGTCGGCACTGCTACCAGGTTGTTCAATCTAACCGCAGTATGACATTACCACGCAGTGCGGGCTTGATGAATTTGTAGCACGTACGTGATGATTGTGCAGCGTCCATCATTGGCCTGTACCAACTTCTTTCGGTGCCAACGCTCCGTCCACCAGCCGCATTAGCGACGCAAAGATTGTTGAAGAACATGTGTGCCTTGCGGTGGCGGTGTCTCGGCTAGACTAAATCGTCGCATCCTCAGGTACATCTTTGTTCCATGCTGAATGTACTTCGTTACGTGTACGTTGTCGTGCTTCATCTCATTCGAGTTTAGGACCTCTATCATGTTGACTAGTCAACCTTACTGATAGCCTATGATCTCTGGAGGGCCAGCAACAGCGGCTCAAGCGGTGGTGTGGTAGCTTTTGGGACGCATCCTGCGGTTGTTGAAACGATGACTTCTCACTTCTCACGGATGACTTCGGCTGACATTCTTGGGGCTGCCGTTCGTCATGCGGTTACATCGAAGAGGATCAATCAGTAGCTGAGTCTCAACCCTTACTAGTCGTTATGGGAATGGTAAACATGTTCTTTTCGGCCTGGAGCTGGCTAATTTGCTCATCCTGCGATGTACACCCTCCCATCGACCATTTCCTTATATCTGAAGTACCTGCGAATTGATAGAAAGTCTAACCAGAATTGACTTTCCACGAGTGCTCAAGCTCCTGGCATATAGAGCCAAGCTTATGGAGTCCTAACGGCACTTTGTCGAGTCCAAACTTTGTCGCAACGGATACGTGGTGAGGTACCTGTGTATCCGAGTTGAAACCCTTTGACCGTTCCTCAAACATTTGAAGGATCCCACTAGGAAGAATCCGTTTGTTCACTACCGCCGAAGGATGATTTCAAATAATCTTCAAGGCACCGTGAGTTGAAAGGCAATGACCTCACCTTAAGTTGAGCTTCTCCACTGGATCTCCTCGCAAACTGCTGTCACCTAGAGTTTTGCACGTTGTTGAAGGCTCTTACTGCTTGACAGCTCCGTTATACAAATGAAAGCGGCGTGGGGCTGACGTGCTTCGTGTGGATGGAAATCCTCAACCCCCCCAGAACAACACGATCTGTTCTCTCGTCTGTCCATGGGAAATTCATCACCTGATTACGTGGAAAGATGACACGACGGATGAGAATGATGCAAACAGCTAGTCAGACCTGATCCTAAGGAAAGAGATGGCGAGGGACTAGCCATTTTTGAACTGTACCAGTGATAGGGGATCAAGACTGACTACCCAGGTCGTCGGAAACGCCCAATGGTGACACATAGATACAAGTACTGCAGGGCTCATGAGTTTCCAGTGTCTGGATACGGGGTCCGGCTAAACATCTATTTGCTAGATCAAGTTCAACACGAGTTGTTTTGGTCAGGGTTGTTTGCGACTCACTATCGATCATGGCGACGGCGACAGGATCATAGGACCTATATGTTCCCCGACGGCCACGACTCGAGAGCCGTCGGCAAACGTCTCTACCAAGTGCTATTCGATAGAAACGGCGTGAATTTTGGTGCGGATCCGTCACAACTTCGCATGTGCATCTAACCCCACTAGCCAACTCTAATAGATTCGTTACGCACGTACAGGACGCAATTCTGCGACATCAATTGGCCAACTTGACAGATCATCGTGTCAATTGGTTATTCGCGTGTTGAAAAAAGAATACTTTTGGACATACTAGACAAAAATGCAGTAAAGATTCTGAGAATTGACGCCGGCATCTCAAGAGGAGAGCATCTAAGTTACCTATGCTGACACCGCAGGACGAGATTCGTAACCCACCAAGACACGGCTGGGGCATCATCTGGTACACCGAGCAAGATCGTTCTTGAAGCACAAGACGGTATATTGGCCGTATCCGCGCTGCACTACTCGTCTTTCCTCAATCGCTTGTCAAAGATGCACATGTCGGGGCTCGTGGACGTATGAAGCCTGACCCGCGTCTGCTTCACGCTAAGTCCAAGCAGAGATGTAACAATTCGATCGCGATGTGATGAGGCATTTAGTAACTTACTGATCCTGCCGACTGTTCGACAAAGCTCATTTGCGCTCAATTTCTCGGTCGACGATAGCGTGGTACAATAGACTACCTAGGGGCGAATAATATCTGTGTATGTTCTGTTCCTCTCGCTTGATCGATCGACCGACACGACTTTGTTTGTGGACAGACCATGGTCTAGAACGATATCTATCGGGAGACTACATCAGCAGTGACGAGGGGCGGCGGTCTGCAGAGCCATATGCAAGCCATTCCGATCCGTGACGGACTACTTGGCCACTATAATGTGCTGTCCCTGTTGAGCCAAGTGGAGAGGGAATCGACGACAGTGTGGAGGCGTGAGGCGGAAAAGCGTTTTATCTACTCGGAAGCTGGCCGACGGCCCTGGTGCTGAAACTGACTCGTCCGACGACTCCTCTTGCCCAGTGTGCCCTGTTTGTACGAAACTGTGCTGCCACTGGCCTGATCCATCCAAGCGGTAGTTTTGGTAAATTTGGTGAAGGCGGAGCCCATTCGCGGACGTGGTCGCTTTGAATTGCCCACTCAGACACTGAATTCAAAAACAGGAAGCGATCGAGACTATTAGCTTCAGACCCGCGCAAGGCGTTTGTTCGATCGGTCTCGGGAGTATCACCAACTGCCCGAACAGTCTCATTAGGGTCAGTTGCTGAGTGCCGGGGAAGGTGTGAGCCGGTCGCTGCACCTGCCCCATGTTTGATGCCGGCGTCGTCGAAATTTCGATCAACCCTGGTCCGGTACAAGCAAAAGATGACACTCGGGTCGTCTTTTCTTGCAGATGTTGCGTGGAAGCAATCTACATGCGTGATGTGTGCATCTTGCATGCCTTCCTTACATAAGCATGATTTTTTGCTTGAATAGGCAAATTCGTTTTCAGACAAGGGAAATCAGACAGAGCGAAGACGCGCTTTGCCCTGATCCCACCATCTGGCGGATCGGGTACGGTCTTGGTTCTTTGATCCTGCATCTGAAGGATCTAAACCCTCTCCACACCAGATCAGCATCACTCCCGTCTAGCGAACTTGGTCCCTATCGGTTTGTTCGTTCCCGCAAACTTTAATCATTCAAGTGGCGCATGCCTCTTAACGTCAGCTCCGCCGGCTATTTGTGACCAGCTTCTCGCGCACGGTATCATTTCATTGTCACCGTTGCTCCCTAACATCGTCCCAAGCCCCAAGCTCGGCTGTGATTTTGAGCTCCGCACGTAACTCGCCTCCAACCATTACATACATACGACTTGCCCTATTTCCCATGACCCTCCCTTTTTCAAATCAACATGCCATCAATTCCGGACCGCCTGCCGGCTTTCACGCCCTCGCGTCAAGGACAATCATGGGCGCATGACGAAACTAATCGCAGACCTTCCATGGTGCAAGCAGAGTCCTTGAGGCCAATGGAGCCTGCCAGCATGGGGAATGCACCGACGCCATACCTGCCTGCTAGGATTGGCGATTCAAATCAGCCGCGGCAACAGCTCCCTGGCCTTCAGGAACTCTTGAGTCCGCCATTAAGAACTGGTCCGCCATCATACTCGCCCAGCTGGCCTTCGGTCAACAACTCACAGTCCAGCTGGTCAGACAGTCGCGGGGTTTCCTCTAACGGCCAACACAAGCCAACCCAAGTCTTATCGGTTCCGTTCAATCCCACCCCACCACCTTTCCATCGCCTTTCTCTGGATGTCTCTCCAAATGATCGGTTCTCTCAATCCGCGTCAAAAGCTCCCATTGGTACCAGGCCTTCATTGCCAGCTCCACCGCCACCTCCCCCTCTTCGCAGAATTTCGGATTATCAGGGCCCATGCGTGCCGGATCAGCCAACTCAATCCGCGCCAGGCGTGGATGGCATGGTTCAGCCTCAATCACAGACAGCTTCACCTTATCGCGAAGACACCGATGGCGATATAGCTAGACGTTTGAATGCCACCCAAGAAATGCGAAATGCTCCTCCACCCAGTAACTACAGCCTGCAATGCGTAGGACAACGACATATACCTGGAGAGGGTCTGTGCTATGTATTCAAGGATGGTAGCACTTGCCCAACAATCATCGATGGAGAACCAGTAAATCCGCTCTGGGGAACAACCAAGGCAGGCAAGGCTCGAAAAAGACTTGCCCAGGCGTGCTTGTAGGTCGAAGAGGACGTTTGGAATAGGCAGCGACTGACGAACAAACAGAAATTGTCGTGAAAAGAAGATCAAATGTGAACCTGGAGAGAAAAGCTGCCTTCAATGTGAGAAGGCCAAGCGAGAATGCCACAGGTTTGCATCTCCGAGATCAGTCGCCAACTGTCTACTAAGGAACGAAAGCAGGCCGCCAGTCGCACAATCACAGGTCGAGCTTGTCAATAATACGACATTGGCGATCCCGAACCTTGCCCTGGGACGAGCTGAGTGGTCGAGTCAATCTTCCGGCAGCGTCGCTGTGGCCGAAGTGCCAAATCAAAAGCGCAGACGGTCAGCACAAGCAGCACAACAAGATGTCCTAAATCTACCACCTACATGGGGTCGTGAGATGTCGCCCCAGAGCGTCAAGAGACGCAAGTCTGATGGCTCTGCATCTTCCCTTGACGGGGCCGAAAGACAGCGCAAGGACAGCAAAAGAGTAGACCTCGATGATGTGATGAATCCCGTTCCTCGATCCGAAAAACTGGAGCCCTCGTCTTGGGACCAAGATCCATATCTGTACGACCCTGAAGCCACCATGCGCTTCCTGGAACTCTTTTTTGCGCAATCCGCTCGTGAGGTTAGCATAATGTTTCCTCGCGATGCTTTCACTCGCTGGGTACGACAATGTCGCGAAAAGTGTCAGAGAGAATGTATGGTGTTATATGCCGTTCTTGCTTTGGGTTCCATTTTTGCCCAGAATGAGTTTCACTCATTTGCCAAAATATGTGTGGATAGAGCTGGTCAAGCAGTGTCCCGCATTGACGGAAAGTTCAGCTTAACATTGATACAAGCTCGACTGCTTGTAGCTGGATACAATCATCTTATCGGCAAGGACAGTACAGGCTGGGATTTGAGCGGTTCTGCTCTGAGAGTCATCAGCGCAATGCGATTGAACAACGAAGAGGGATGTGGAGAAGATCTGGACGAGTTCACGCGACGATACTATAGCTTTTCGAGTGAGCAACTCAGGGAGTGCCGTAGGCGGACCTTTTGGACTGCTTTCCTTGTGGATGTGAGTATGCACGAAACTTCAAAGCGGGTATGTTCACTAACCTTGTCCAGCGATATCATGGCTTCTGTGGAGGATTACTTTGCGCTATACAACTTGAGGACATTCGGCTTCGACTTCCCTGCAACGAACAGATCTACGAAGAAGGGCTGGCTTCCGATGCACCAGTCTTTGACTGTTTCCAGCCAGGCATGGGACTGCAGTCGTTGGATCCAAAATCAAGCACACCAAGTCCTGCGGCACACATCATGATCATAGCTTCTCTCTGGACGGATGTGACTAAACTAATCTTCCGCCGACCTCGACAGACTGTAGATTCGGGATCATACCTCAAAAGCCATGAATCATTACTGGGAGATATCCAGGCCAAGCTCTTTGACTGGAAATCATCACTACCCCTTCACCTGCAATACAGTCGGCAAAGACTTGTCGAGGCGACTCGTCATGGATACGCTGGTAGTCTTATTGCCATGCATGCTTTATATCATGTCTCGTAGTTGAAGGCAGCACGAAATGCACACCACGAGCTTTTATCGCCTCAAACGACATCGCGGCAGATCAGAATTGCACATACCAACGCCATTCAACTGCTCGAGATGGTCTGTGATATACGAAGCACGAAACCTCACGGATCAGGCAAAGGCCAGGATCCGATCAATTTGCTATCGCCTTTCTTCGCATATGGCATAACCGCAGCTATTGACACACTTAGTGCTGGAGGCCTGAGAGAAGAACTTGGACACACCATGAAGCTTATCAACGACAGCATAGCCACCTTACACAATCTTGGACAATTTTGTGCCAGCGCAAAAACTCAGGCTAAACAGGCTAGCAAAAGGATGGCACTCATTGAGGTTCGGGCAGCTGAGAGCTTCAAGGCAACAGCAGTGGTAACAGCTCCCCGGGCAACCAACGGAGGTGAGACTGAGAATTGTTGGAGGATCAGCGAACCGATGGAGCAGGTTCTCACGTTGCAGCAAGATGTATGCTATGGAACTTCTCCTGCCATTTACTTCAAGGCGCTGAGAGAAGGACGTTGATGGATGCACGAATTTTCAAAACATTTTCACATACAATGCTTCGAAACGACCATCAATCGACGCAATTTCTCTCCCAATTGTCTACCCCAGATCCCGGCAGTCTTTCGCTACAGCCATGTATGACTCGTGTTGATACATGAACGAAAACGACGACTGTTGTTATCCCGGCAAGTCTGTGTATTGTGAGACTGACAAACGACTGGCAATGCTCGGTCTACGTGACTCTACTTCTGCCCCAGCAGAAAAGTGCAGCTGGACAGGGTTCAGTGCTTTATTGGTCCACGGTATCCAGGCATATATGAGACCCGGGGCTCAAACCCTAAGTACCGAGGCTGCATTGCATGAAGAGTGTAGTGCATTTGGTTAGACAAGCTTATGATGTCAAACTGGGGCACACAGAAATGCAAATTGCATTACTGTTTGCAATTCAATGGAATCCTGCCGTCGACATTGGGCAGTGCGCTTGGCCGGATATGTGTGGGCGGGCGAAGAGACAGCATGATACAACGTAGTGATACCATGGTCTTTCAGCCACACTGTTTCCTCGGAAATGCAAGCACTCGTGTTTCAGCGAGCATTTCAGGAGACACAGGAAGCATGCAAGTCTCAACTCATCCACTAAAGTACATCTTGAGTCGTTCGTGGCATTGATCGTGATGCCCCATCTTCAACGCATGCTGCTGTATCGAAAATTAGCAAACGCACCAATCTGCGGCTGAGTCAACAGTCGCGGAGATGCTCGCCCATACTCGATACTTTCTTGGCTGCAACCGTCCCCCGACCCTGCTCTTACGCGGCTATTCTACACAGTGCACAGAGCCAGTTCAGCTTGTGTGATCAATTAGAGAAGCAACGAAGGCGTTGAGACCCGTCCGGCAGTAGGCGTTCCAAAGAAAGGGGACAACAGAAAAAAAAAAAAGAAAAGGCAAGAGCTTTCACATGATTGGCCAAAGTGCCAACTAAGATTCGCGAAGATGACCGTTTGGACTTTGTCCAACAAGATAGTGTCGCCGACTCAAAACGGCCCGGGCCTGTGTACCGGGATCGTGTGCGTCTCACGCTAAAGATTTTAGAGCAAACCTTACTATAGGTCTTGGGTAGCTACTAGCACCGTAGGGTAACCGTCGACTTTGTGCCTATGCCGACATTAAACGGCGGCGACCTTTCTCCGAATGATACAATGACCATGACACATGACAAGAACTCTCAAGGGGCTCGCACTTCTATCACAAGGTAGCTTCATCATCGTCCCAAATCAACACAGTTATCACGACAAATCTACTCGACTTTAAGAACCGCAGCGGTGACCACGTCTCATTGCGACGGACCACTGCAGGTCAATAGCTCGATGACAGAGGAGTCCACTCCGAACTTCTCCATCCCGCCATCCTAGCATGCTCTCCAATAAGCAGTCAATACATGCGGAAATTACTTCTGCAGGAGCTCTCGATCGGTTGTGGCATGCTCCCTCCAATGACACCACGTACTGCCCATCAGCACTCCTCTTAACGAAGGATCAAGGTACATCTAAGAACGTGTGCGCTCGGCAATGGCTGGTTTTGGATGGAGATGGAGGATCTCTTGTCGGCTAGGCGCGCCTGTACAGAATAGTTGGCTCGTGGGACCATCATCATGCTCATTCGAACTGCCGCATCGCGTGATGGAGCGAAGCCTCTAGGCTGAAGCAGGCAGGTGAACCAGAGAAGAAAACAGGGTAGCGAGACATCTACAAGTATCGGTCACCACATGGCTTGCAGACTGCTCTATTCGAATTTGGTAACACCTTTCCAGCCCGCCGCCATAACTACTGACCATACAAAGAGTGCTACAGCCCTCATGCACGTTGAATTTGCCACCAAGATAGAAAGAACCGTATCAATGCAGTATCCAAGACCTTGGGCCCTAGAGAACCCTGCGCTCAACAAGAGCAATCTGCGCTTTCGATGATACGCCGAAAACAAAACACATTCCAGCCTCTTCCTCAAGGATTGATCTTCGCTGCAATGCAGGAATTCGTATTGTACATTGCGTGAAGATCGATCTTCTTTAATGATGCAAGCCTCGTCAAACGTCTTGGCTGGCTACCTGCCTGTCGGGTGTGTGAGAGGCATGTCAATCATATATTGCCCTAGCGAGCTCATTCGGCTGTTCGTGTATGTGGTGCGCACAAGCAAATCTGCCAAGGTGCTGGATCGTATGCCGTAATAGGTGAACCCCACCGAGCAGTACCCAGAGTCCCAGACATCCAGCGCACCACGCTCGAATAGGCAGTTGCGTGCTCAGCTCAGGGTTTGGACTTGAGAAGTGAATGACTCAGGGAACATTGAACGAGTAGTTGTCATCGGCAAAGCAAGAAAGTAGGGCCCAGCGGATTGGGTGTGCGTCTGATGTATGATTCATGTTCAATATTGAGAAGAGCACTAAAGAGTCACTGAATGTGTCAGCTGGTGAGCTCACGAATTTTGCACCGGAGATGTCACAAGCAATATCGGTCAAACCGATTTCGACGCAAATTGATGCAGAATGTCACTCGACGATGTTCAAGTGCCCCAAACGACAACACTGCCATCCCCTCCAGCACTAGCCCACTCCTTTCTCAACTGGTTCCATGCTACCGAGTTCACCACATCTCTCTTCGAGGACATGGAGACAACAGCTTTGGACCCATCCGTCAGAGCGGGGTTAGAATGCTTGAGCTTGTGGCTCAAGTTGCCAGTCAGCAGATCCCAGACGTATATGTGTCCGTCTTCTGAACCAGAGATGGCCAGACTGTCTCCTGCAGCCAGGGTAGATCGTAGTCTGTAGTTCTCGTTCTTGAAATCCGGTTGCCGGAACGCCTGCAGCAATTTGCCGTCCCTTTTGTCCATGAGGCGCAAGGTCGAGTCCAGGGTGCTGGCGAGATAGGAATCATTGTTGACGGTTGGTGTGACGGAAGTAATGGGATGACCAAGCACATCCTGGTCGATAACACCCATCCTCACATCATAACATCTAACCCTACCATCCACACTGCCTGCCATGATCTCAGCACCAGATACAGAGACAGAAGACACAGCATCCTTGGCCTCTGATAACGTCATGATGGGCTTCTCGCTCCGTTGTTTGCAATCCCAGATCTTGACGGTCGAATCAAAGCTCCCAGTCACCACAAGAGAATCTCCTTCGCCAGCAAAGGCGCAAGCGTTTATGCGGCCAGCGTGACCACTCCATCGGCGCAACGTCTGGTGTGTTGCAACGTCCCATAGAAAGACGGTCTTGTCGCCGCCTACACTGATGAAGCGATCATTGTCTTGGGCGACGCTCAAATCGTGCACTTCGTAGCCGTGGGCGCTGTACCTCTGAACTTCGAGGCCAGTGGCAGGGTTGAAGAGGCGGATCTGTCGGTCGGTGCTGCCGGTCAAGAGCTGCGACGGTGGTCAGGCGTGAGCGATCGTGTAGCGGGTGGTCGTGTCGAGACGTACGTATTGGCCTGTTCCGGCGCTGTAGCAGAGGGCGAGCACTTGGCCTGTACGTGCGCATTAGCCTAGGCGGTTATGGAAAGCACAGAATGAACCTACCATTGTGCCCTGTGAGTCTCGATATGGGTCGTGTAGGGAATTGCGCGCTCATCACATCGTTGCTTCACATGTCAGAGGACAAGATGCACGCTGAGCTCCAGCTCCGCAGATACGCCCATCATCGCGTGCTGGTCCGACAACCCTGGCCCCACGACCGAGCAGCCCATATCCCTATGCCATGAAATATTAACAGAAGATATCATTGTCATCTGTCCCATGAAGATGTATCCTAACAGTAGCAGACATGTTTTATTGTAGTAGGTCATCTACCCAGGCACTTGATGGAATCATTTCATCGAGCGTACTTGCCGTGCATCGTAGCAGTATTCACGCACCAAGCAAGGTTGCAAAGAACCAATATTTCGTTTACCGAGCAGCCCTTGTTGAATTCGAGCTAGTTGACAAAATTCAAAAAGAGAATACTTGCGTTCTTGACCCTCAAGCAAAAAGACTAAGCCTTCTTTACCAAAATTTCCAGCCCCCGCCCGACGCCTTTGCTGATTCGCGGTTTCTTCTTGAAGATCGTGCACTTCGCGATACTTCCTCTTTACTGCTACGACCAGCTTCTTTTGTGGAGCGGTAAGCTCCTTCCTCCAGCATCCTCGGCCTCGAGCTTCGACGGCTCTGATTGCTATCGTGTGCCCCTGAAGAGGCACTCGAGCTCGACTTGCTTTCCACATATGGCTTCTGGTACTTCAATCGCTGCGGTTCGTTTGTTGGTGGCTTTCGTGCTGTGGCTGCCGAAGAAACAGAGCTCAAGGGGTGTGGCGAGATCGCGCCTGGTCTTGCGAAATGTGTAGTCTCTGGTGTCAGCATGCTTGGCGCATGGGTTGATCGCGTGTGTTCTGACTCTTCATATATGGTAGTAAGCATAGGTATCGGTGGTGGTAGTCGGTTATCATCAGACGGCGCTGGCAGGTAATGAAGTAAGTCTTCTTCGATGTTGATCGGTGATGTGGACCTGGTCGATTTCTGAGAACCCTTCTGTTCGTCCGTCCAGAACCCTTGCTCGTTGTATCCTTGTTTGAGGCTTTCGTTTATACGATGGCTGGCAGAGACAGATTTGTGCGATGAGCGTTTGTGCGATCTTGATGTTCGCGACATCTTCGAGTGATGTGAAGACGTTGACGGTTGTTCCCATTCCGCAGCTTGTCCCCATTCGTCGACTTCTGGTCCTGTATAGTGAGAAGCAGGCCGCTCAGAATGCTCGTCGATTATCCATTCGGCGGTTGCTGCTTCTGGGGATGGATTGTTCCACTCTTGATCTTCACCTACTAACTTTCGCGAAGCCAACTGAGTAGACTGTCGAGTGGTCGCCGTTGATGGTCGGCTTGCCTTTGATTTGGATGAAGATGAGCGTGACGAGGGCAATGGCACGCATCGAGCCGATTGGCTCTGGCCAGATGTTCGTGTCCTCTCCGAGACGGTTTCGTGGACGCGGCTATTGATGGTCTTCATGGCGCTATCTGAATGTACCGACAAAGAGCGTGGAGGTGGTTTGTATCCTTCAGGTAATGTTTGTTGACCCGTGGACCGAACCAAGAGTGAGGCATCACTTTCTGCGTCTGTCCGGCGCGAGGGTACATCCTTATGGTGCTTGAAAGCCTTGGATGATGCAGATGTGAGTTCTCCTGAAGCGACAGAATCATGACTCGAGGATGAGGGTCGTGAGCATTTTGTCGAGATAGAGTACAAGGAGTCTTTTGGAACCTTCCAGTTGTAATAGGCCTCTTGCTTTGATCCTTTTTGCTTGCTCAGTGACACGGTGACAGGTCGAGAGTCGTCCTGATATTGCTGTTCTTGTTGCGAAGATTCACTCAATGTGACGACGCGGCTCGATGACATGCGAGAGGTTCTTGGGAGGGAAATGGCAGACGCACTGGACGGTGAATTGTTGACTGTTACAGTGGAAGAGATGGATGACGAGTGAGAGTCGGAATTTGCTTCAGGCGGTTCGGTGAAAGTGATTGGAGAAATCGGTCGAGATGATACAATGCAACGTGTCGACAGAGACGATGGCGGAGTCACTACTGAACCCTCCACCGACTCGTCCGAGACTATGATAACCTCATTCTGTGAAGAAGTAGGGGATGAGCTTTCTGGAAATGATTTGGACTGACGCGAGATAGCACGTGACGGGCTCTTACTAGGACGTCTGCTGACAGATATGCCAAAATCGTGCAAAGAGCTAGCAGGCTTCTCTGGAGGCAGTAGACGTGATCTGGACGAGTCTGTGGTTGGAGCAGGAGAAGAGTTTGGGAGGGCCCCGGACATCTTGACAGAGCTATGAGCCATCGAAGAGATTGTCGTGGACGAGTCGACAACAAAATCGGTGAGAGTTGGTTGTCCTGCTGTGTGCGGCTTGGTTAGCGCTGCGTTTAGAAGTTTACACTGAAAGCTGCATACATTTGTTCTTATGTCTCTGGTCGTGTTTCTGGCTGGATGCTGCCTGATTGGCAGTCCAGTACTTTACATCCTCCCGGCCTGAGGCGTCTTCAACAAGCGTAGTTACTTGCGACTCACGAACGTCGCCAGACTGCGAGGCAAAGTGCAGTGGTCTTCTGATCTCCTGTATAGCTTCCTCGCCATTCTTGCCTCTGATGCGGATCTGGAAGGTACGAGAGTGAGCGGCTGTCGTCGAAGAGTTATGACTTCGGTCATCTGTCTGAGAGGACGTTTCTGATTCTCGGCGAGGTTGAGGGCGAGATGGCTTGCGCAGCACAAATGGGTTGCTCACGACAACGCTATCACCGTCCTTGCTGCGAATGCGGAAGCTGGGCGAAGGGCGTCGTTTTCCATGGGATGGCGGCTTGGTTGATGTCTGGCGCGATCGACGGTGCTTCAGATCAGGCTTTGATGGCCTTGATGTTTTGCTGACGTATCGCGTGTGCTCAACAGCTCCGTACTCTGTGAAACACCTGTCGTCAACAGCGCTGCGTGTGTCTCCTGGTTCGACGTAGTGTTGATAGTCTACTGGAGGCGGTGCCGCATAGCGACCAGACACCCACGCGTCCGGGGCATTGGTAAGAGTCTCGAAGCTGTCGTCAATTGCAGAACCTTGGATGCTGCCAGTCATGTTGATGATCTCTGGCCAAAAAAAAGTCAAGGTGAAGATGATGGTAAGAATTTACGAGATGTGGAGGCCGCAATCAGTGATGAGATGAGACGCGGAAAATTGGTGGTTTGGGTGACAGAAGTGGAAAGTGCACAACACACAAAAGTGAAGTGCGTCAACAGTAAGAGCAAACTTCCAATAATCATTAGGGCATCAGGGCAGTAGGATATTTGTGATAAAGAAGCAAGAGAGAATCACAACTTTGCCTTCTCTTTCAGCTTCTCATTCTCCCAGCTCTTCTTCGCCCACACGCCGTTGAGATAGCTCCAAGATCCGGAAGCAACAGCCAGCGGCGGGCAGAGTAAGAGTAACCATGACCACCAGGACGGAGAGCCCGCTCTGACAACTTCCATGACTCTATCGACCTCACGTCTCAGCTGTTCCTGGTCGCCATCATTCCAGACAACAACTCCGGCCTTCTCTCCTCTGCGCAGGCACCGCGCAGCCTTGTCTCTGACGTCCCACTGACTGGCGACTCTGTTTCGTGCATCCTCTTCAGTCAGATGCGCATCCCGAGCAAGTAGCCTCTGCATCTGAATCTCAGCATCTTTGACTGCTACCACCATGATGGTTCCACAGAGCGGCTCCCAACCACTCTCGAAGAGCAAGGGTATATCCAAGACGCAGGCCCAGTGGCCTTTGAGGTATGCTTGAAGCATCTGCCTGTAGATTTCGCGACGGACAGCCGGGTGCACGATGCTGTTCAGAACCTTCCTATCCGACTCTTTACCCTCACCAAAGACTCGACGTCCTAGCGCTGGCCGGTTGAGCGGTCTGCCTTTGCCATTCGGTCCGTTCTCACCACCTGTAGAGGGGTCTGCCGGAAGCAAGAGATCAGGTGTTGATGGACCAAAGTGCGAGACGATTTTGCTATAGCCGGCTGTTCCTGGTTCGACGACCTGACGTGCAATCAGATCTGCGTCGACGATAGGTAGCGAGTATGGATGCGCTGATAGGATTCTCGAGACGGTAGACTTGCCAGTGGCGATACTGCCGGTGAGACCGAGGAGGAGCATCTTGGTGTCTATAGAATAATGCTTTGGTCTTGTACGCAATGACAAGAACAAGCAGAGTAGATGTTCTGGCAGGAGACCTCGGAACTGAGCTTCAGTCTTGGCGTGCGTCGTGCTTTCTTGGTCTCGGCCTTCCTTCCGTTTCGAGAATGCAATTCTATAGTCAATCAACATCTCCCTTGCTACGTGGCATCTCAAAGAACATTCACCCAATACAACAAGGCTCATCGAGCATTTCAATCATCGACAATGCCGGGCTCAATCGCTGTGATCGGTTCGTTGAACATTGATTTCATTACCCGCACTCCTCGCGTGCCGGCAGGAGGTGAGACACTTGAAGCCAGTTCTTCGGATACTGGCTTTGGCGGAAAGGGTGCAAACCAAGCGGTAGCATGTGCCAGACTATCTCGCAACAGTGATGGTTCAACTCCTGCCGATAGCACACCCATCAAGGTCAGCATGGTCGGCTTTGTCGGTGAAGACTCGTTCGGTTCAGATTTCATTTCTGCTATGAAGGATACCTTCATTGATACCACTCATATTCAAAAAGTTGCCGGTCAGAAGACTGGAATTGCCAATATCATTGTTGAGGAGAAGACTGGCGAAAATCGAATTCTCTTCTGCCCGAACGCCAACTTCTCTGGAGCTGGAGAAGTGAAGGACTTGGTGCCTGAAGATGCAGACGTCGTGGTTTTCCAACTGGAGATGCCTCTTGCTCAAGTCGTGCACAATATCAAGCTTGCTCACTCCAAGGGCAAATATGTATGGCCACCTGCTATTGACCAAAGTTACATGCTGACGTCTGATCAGGTCATCATGAATCCAGCACCCGCACAAAAGTTGCCCGAGGATTTGTATCAGTACATCGACTGCCTGATCATGAACGAGAGCGAAGCGGACATCCTCCGGGAAGCCAAAGAAGAGCTGAAGGACGAAGATCTGCCAGAAATCTGCGAGGCCTTCTTTAAACGTGGTGTTCCCGACATGGTCGTCATTACTCTTGGAGCCAAGGTACAGGAACCGTGAATGCTTTGTCAATCAACGCTGACATAGAGATTAGGGCGTTTATCACTCAACCAAGTCTCGAGGTTCGGGACACACACCTGGTCGCAAGGCGAAGGTTGTCGACACCACCGCCGCTGGTGACACCTTTGTTGGGGGTCTCGCTGTTGAGATTGCAAAGAATGGAGGCAAGACTCCTGAAGCTCCCCAGAAGATAATAGAATTCGCCAACTCCGCTGCAGCACGTACTGTGGAGAAACCTGGAGCCATGGCTGCTATTCCCTGGTTCAACGAGTTACAATCAACCATTTAGCTTCGTCCAAGATCTGATCGAACCCAAGAACTTATCATGTAGTCGACAATCACAAATACAAACTCGAGCGAGGAAGTCCCCATTCATCAAATGCTGGTGAGGCACCAACATCCAGTCTGGGAGCACCTGGCCTACTTTAGGCCATCTGTTCCTGTTCAAGTTTCACGACAAACCGGAAAGAACTCTTGTCTCCGCAAACCCTTCGAGACAAGACATCAAGTTTCTTCTGGGACGAGACTCGTGACCCTAACATGTTTGCTGCCTGGAGCCACGACAAAACTTGATAGGCCGAACAAAGCCAAGTGAGACATAGGTCAACACGTCTGGTTCGGAGCGGGTTGACACACATAACGTTATAATGTTGGAAAGTCAGCTTACAGCACATGCTCGTTACCGGATCGTGAACTTCCCGACTTTCATACCTCCGAGTCTCGACTACACAAGCTTGCTTTTCCGACCCAATCCCAGATCGTCCCGCTCAACCTCGAATTGCTTACTCCATCGCTGAAGAAGTCGACCAGTATGGTACAACGAGATGACTGGGGCAGAAATTCCTGGTCTAAACAGATAGTAGAGTAAGCTACTTTCAGTGTGTCGTCGATGGGCCCCCACTGATACTAGGAAGCCATATAAAGATGAGATCATCCGGCACGATACAGCTTCGATCCGTTCACGGTACTGTGCAATCTGTCAACAAAGCACTACTATGCTATTTCTCACACTACTACGCTGCAGCGTTGAATGGCCGATTTGCCGAAGCTAGTCAGGAGATCTTCCGTGTCGACCTCTCCGGCAAGCAACTTCACGTGTTCATCAACTGGATATCCACCGGCAAACTCGAGCTTCAACCATGGGAACGAGAAGATCGTGTGAAGCTTTACATCTTTGCTGATTTGGTTGACATCTTAGCTCTCCGTCGCCAAATCATGACCGAGAAAGGGAGAATGGAAAGATACCGTGAAGTGGGCGTGGTCATGTCTCATCTCCCAAGCAATTCTCCATATCGCAGGCGTACGGTTGACTATTATGCGAACCACTGGAAGCCCGAGGACGATATATACGACCCTATCAGTTCTCTAGAGATCACAATTCACCGTACGTTTCTCTGTGAGGTCGTACAAAGCGAAGCTCGAGCGAAGGTCAACAGACATCCTGGGTGTCCTTGCTGTGCCAACGTGTGTAACTTTCACGAACATGAAAGTGAGGAAGAATGGCATGCGAGTACGCATCATAAAACTCCGCTCAACTCTTGTTCGGGTGACTGACTGGCGAAAACATAGCTTGCGGGCAGCTGCGAAACACGAAGAAGCCAGAGAAGCAGTACTTCGCTAAGCATGGTTGCTGATTGAGAGGGAAGCCCAAAACACATTTGGAAAAAGCTCGGAGCCTCGTTGTACAGTCGGAAACACACATTTGGCCATTTCCGCTTGACGTATTCCTTTATCTCGCATCACTTTGAAAGATTTCGTTATGAAAGCAAGTACATATATAGAACATGGTTATGCCTCCGCGCTCTCTATGGTCAATACATCCTTTTTGATGTACCACTTTGGTCAATACATATTAACACGAGATGTGCCGATAGTACCCTGATAGCAGACAGGACCAGGTTGCGGGAATACAACAAGATCGAAGATCTCACATGGTTGTTACCACTCTTCGCTTGAGCATATTGAAGGCAGGACCGACTTATGCGCTCTTTCCGACGGGTTCAACCGGCATATTACTTGCCATCTCTGTTGATTTGTAAATTGCGAGGTGGGGCTCTTGCATCTATGTATAGGCTGCCAACAAGCCTTGCGGTGAATAAGTTTGATTCAGCTAATTGGTGGTAGCGCCACTCGAAGGCCTAATAGACCAATCCTAATCCATCCTCCAACGCCACGCTTAATTCAACATTCACTGTTACAGCATCAAGTCGCCCAGAATCAAACTCTGCACTATGAACTCATCGCCAACGATCTTGACCTTTCCATCACGGCCAATCGCGACCATCTTCTCTTTCCCTTCATCCTCTCTCTTCCTCTTGCGTCCCTTCTTCGCAATGCCTGTGCCTTCGACACTACCATCTCGGAAGAGCATATTTTCTGCTTCTTCGATGGCGCCTTCGACGTACACCCATTCCCATCCATCTTCTGCGTCGAGAATGCGCTTGGCAGAGTCAAGACCAGAAACTCTGCGGACGACACTAGCACCCAGAGCGACGGTCAGAAACGCGTAAGCACGTCTGGCTTCCCATTTTCTGCCGCCTGCTCCTGCGTTGACCAGAAGAACTCTACCGCCTTGGAGTAGTTTTTCTCGATCTTGAATAGTTTGTGCTAGCTTAGTCGTGGTCGGGAGATAAGGCGAGAGAGTACGGCTGCGCACTGCACCAGAGAGGAATGCAGATTCTCCAGCTGGGAGGAGATATTTAGTCCAGGGTAGAGGTGTCGCTGAAGCAATCGAGTCGAGAATCCAGCGGCCTGACAGACACGGCAGTGAAAGTGCAAGCGCTTGGACATATTTGGCTCTACGAGAATGCTTGTCTGCAATCAGAGCGACGAAGCCTAGAGTTTGAGCACGAGTCGAGAGAACCAAGGCATCAGTATCATTAGTCGCAGAGGATGATACTGCGTGCGTATCCTCAGGGAAGTCGTCGAGGTCCTTGACGGAAAAAAGTTCGTCAAAGCCCTTCTCTAATGTCAGACCACCGTGAGCTTGGATAAGCTCGAGAACGCGATTCTTCTCAGGTGAGTCTGCGCTGTAAGATACTGCAAAAGCCATACCAGAGAACATCCCACGACGACTTGGAAGTGGCGAGGCAAACTCTGGTCGTGCCAGAGCCCGCACTGAAGCAATTGTTGATGTATGTATCGAAGTCACCGTGCCTCTTCTAGATCTCGAGGCTGGCGTTGCGAGAGTAGTGTTCTGAGGCACTGGTGTCTGCGGACGTGATGAATGTCCAGTAGCAATGGTTGTCATGCTTGCTGTGGAAGGAAGGTAGTTTCTACCTTCGAAACGAACCCACATCGTTTGTGTAAGGTAGGCGCTTGTGATAGGCACTCTCAGCAATGTTGCAGATCCTTCTCGAGGCAGTGCCGATACACTATCTCGATCTTTGACCACCAGCTGCAATGTCTCAAACCCATGAACATCAGTCTTGGGATAAGACTCAGGCTCAGCGTTCTCAACTCTGTCCTGAAAGCCAACGACGACATAAATTTTACTACGCATGCCTTGCAAATCAACCTTAACCTGGTCACCACGTCGCAGATCAAGGCGGCGTACTAAGAATGAATCAAGCTGAGTGATCGTGCCATCATCGAACCTAATGCGTAGTTTGAGGCCATCAAGGGTTGCTGCCCCCAGGCATGTAGCTGGGTAGTATGCTTGTCCAGTACCTTTGAACAGAGCCAAGACTCTGTCAGGTTGAGTGACTTCAGCGCTTGGTGCGATAGTCTCATCATGGCTATTGTTCTGCTCTGAAGCGGCGTCAGTCATAGACACGTCAGTGGTAACGTCTGCTTGCTCAGTCAAAGTCGTTGGAGTTTCCGAAGCAGCCTCGGCCTGGAGAACAGAATCTGCTGGCGCCATCGCTCTTTCTTGTTGGGGACAACTATTTGGTGAGATGCGCTGCGCATGTGAAAGCTTTGACCTTGGTGCCTTTACAGTCTCGTGCCTTTTGGAGAAAGGCGTTCGCAATGGACTTTGTTCGGACATCCTCCGTTTTGGCCGTACGAGTTTTCCTGGACTGCCCTTGTTAATGGGAGTTTTTACTTCGACTGAGTTACGAGCTAGCATGGTCTCGCGTGCCTTTGTCGCCGCAGATGCACAAGCTTGCTCTCGTTTCCTAGCAGAAGGTGGTGTCGATTGACCTTGGTCCTCAGTTGGCGTGGGTTGACGTGGATGTACACTATCTTTTTGCTTTCCAACGTCTATCGCCGCTTCGACTTGCATTGTGTCGCCAGCTCTGTTTGGCAATTCTGCAACAACCCGTCCCGTCGAGGGCTTGTGAGTTTCTTCCGGTGACTTTGTGAGTGGTGTTTCGACCGGCTCATGAGTTTGCGAGTTGGGATCAATGGTGCTTGCTGTCTCTGAATGTTTCAATTCAGGCTGATTGGCGGGTTGGGGAGAGTCCGCAGTATTTATGGCAACTTCAGCGACATTGTCATGCTTGTCTTCTGGTACAATATTGTCATGAAAGGTGACCGTCCTGGCAACGGATTTGACCGGACTTTTGATGGTAGCTTGCGGCTTGGCCGGGCTTTTGTCGTCTGCCTTGGACCTCGTCCTTCCCAACACTGTTGCTTTCTTTCCATAGAGGCGCATCTTCTTCGCAGGTGGCGATGTCATGATGTCCATGAAATCGTGATCGTCGTTCGAGAGTATATCGATATTCATGTCGAGGTCCTTGTTAGAAACAGCGTTGGGAGGTGTAGGATCTGTGGCGATATCTGCAAAGTTGAGGATGCCAGCGGCCTTGCGCGGACTTTCAGTACTCGACAATGAACTTTGAACTTGACTTTGAGTCTGCAACTGGCTCGCACGATGCTTCTCAAATTGCGAAGTATTAGGAACAGCAAGAGAGACATCCTTGTCTGTGCTCGCATTCGATTTCGAAAGCGATTGCTGTCTGATTGTTGCATCGATAGGGGGATTTTGATGTTGATCGGAAGAACGATTCTCGTCTGCTGGGTCGGTGTCGGGAACAGCAGAGCTTTGATTGTGCTCAACTTCTCTCAATTCCTTAGTCCTCTGAGAAGGAGCGGGTCGTGTCTCTGGCAATGGTGATGATACGCCTTTACGGCCATCGTGGGGTCGAGACTGGTCCAACAACTCCAAAGCCTCTTCTTGTTCGATCTCTTCAGACACGACAGGGAGTTGAGGAGGACTACTCGGTAGACGGTTCTGGGTGTGAGGAGCAACTTGGCTAGTTGTCGGTGGAGGCTTTGGGATGGATGATGAGTCTGCAGCATCGCGCTTCAAGGCGTTCAAGCGCTGTGTTGTTTGGCTCAGGGGATAAGAGCCAGGAACAAAAGATGACATGGAAGAAGGCTCGACTAGAGGAGGTGGGAGTTGAGTCTCGTCATGTCGAGTGGGCTGTGAATCGGCAACAGCATAATCAGAAGGGTCAGCATCTTGGCCTAGCATCTGTGTGGTTGGTAACTGGTGTGAGCTCTGTTGACGACCCGATGGGAGGGAGGCGTTGAGCATGTCGATATCCAGGTTGTGCTGACTGGAATGTGTCGAGGTACGGCTTGAAGACTCGACCTGGTCATTCTCTTCGTCGGACTGGTCGGGTTGAGGTGAAGACGACGCTTGTCGCTGACTGATTCTTATTGACTGCGCAAACTCGTCGTACTCATCCATCGACTCGCTCCCTGGGCTGTCATGGACATCGTCATCCAGGCTGACTCCTTCACGGTCATGATATTCCCATTCGTTCTCGCCTCTGTTCTCGAGCCCAGCCATGAGGGAATTGTTGTTCTGAAAAAGACCGTCTCTTGTACCTGGCCTGCTCAATCTGCCTGCCATGTTGACTGATCGACTGGGGCTGTGTGCCAAACCCTTCAAAGGCGAAGAGAAAGCCAGATTCTGTCCAGGCGAACTCTGTCTGATGTTGGGACTTGGTCGGCTCAATACTGGGTCGCTCCTTGGAACATCGGGGACCGGGCTTGAAGGCGATTGTGTAGCTTGGAACAGCTGAGTGCTGGTCAAGGGCGGAGCATTGCCAAAAGCGAAAGCTGACATACCGCCCGAACCTGGTGTTTTTGTGCTCGTGGTAGAAGGTATAACATCTCCTCGGTGGTTGCGTTTGCGGCCAGCAGTTGCGGGAGTTTTGGGAAAGGTAGGCCTTGCGACGGAACTCAAAAAGTACTGCCCTTCGTCTCTCTCCTCTTCTTCGTCGCTAGAGAGCTCGTGGTAGGTGGGTCGTTGCCAGTGTTGCATCAAATCGATCTGAGGCGTCTCTTGTTCGGTGTCTGGGGCGGTCTCATCGTCAAGTTGAGTGTTGTCTTCAGTTCCAAGACCGCTGGTGAAGTTCTTGTAGAACTGCGAGGGCATTGGTTGAGTGTCGCCATCGAGGTCAAGCGGAAGAGGAAAGCCATGGAATGTGGTGTGCTTGACTAGCGAAGGAGTAGCATGTTGTTGATCTGTCGAGTCCATGTCCAGGACGGTTGACACGGCAGGAGCGGTGGACGACGGTCTCATCCGCTGAATCTTTGTGTTGGATAAGTGGCGAGGGCGAGGGTGAGCATTTGGCGCATCGTTTGGCCTCTGCGATGGCTGGGTCAGAGCAAAGAGGTTGTGCTTGTTCTCCTGCACGTCGTTGTTAGTCGCCGCGCTGCATATCCTGGTCGCCGATCGCATAGACTGCCTAGAGCCGTGACAACCACCCACTCACTTGCAATATTTTCTCGTGCAATAAGGATATGCCGTGCTCGCTTTCGAGACTGTTTTGATCCTGGCTCGCCATTGCCTTCTCCGCATTCAGCCTCATCGACAGCTGCAGGTGCTCGTAAAGTGCTTGTGGCGGCGACGCGATCAATTATCTCCCAACGTGTCGCAGACGCGTCGCCGTTTTTGTGAACCCACGTCACAGAGTTGTGCACTTTTGTGCTACTTTCACAAACAAAGAACCCTCGCTGAAGTAGGCCAACTCTTTTCGTCAACGAGGTCGCATCTAACTGTGAAGATAGATTCTCATATCTGATGCCTATGAACTCCGTAGCTTTTGTCTATCCCTTTTGTATACACAATCCGATGCCTGGTCGCTTCGACCCAGTCCAATCTCCAGCAATGCAAATGGTACAAGGATTCAAAATCAGTGTTGAGAGGGCCAGTTGTGTTTTTACCAGACCCAGCCCTTTGGGCCACCCCAAGTACCCTTGACCATGTTGTTGTAGTAAACCCAGGGGAAGAAGTCCTTCTTGAGGTGGTAGAAAGCGCGACGAGGAACAGTTTGATCAACTCCGAACTTGGCAAATGTCTCCTTGGGCTGTCCACCGTACCTGAACTCAGCAAGCAGAACCTTGCCGTACTCGGTCAAAAGAGGGCAAGAAGTGTATCCGTCGTAAGCGGCGTTGAGTTCCTTGCCTTCAATCGATTGAAGCATGTTCTGAACTAATACGGGAGCCTGAGATGTAACTGCAGCAGCAGTCTTGGCTGTTGGCAGCGAAGATGCATCGCCTGCTGACCAGACGTTGGCGAACTTCTTGTGGCGGAGAGTGGCGTCTTCGACATCAACAAAACCTGCTGCGTTTGCCAGAGGACTGTCCTTGATGAAAGCGTGGGGTCCCATCTTGGGGACAACGTGGAGCAGGTCGAAGCGCTTAGACACTTTCTCCTCGCTGCCATCTAGACGTGTGAAAATAGCCTTGTCGCCATTGACCTCGACCAAATCATGCTGGAACATGGCCTCGACGCCCCGCTGCTTGCGCAACTCCTCCAAAGTGGCGCTGTACTTGGGCACACCGAACATTACTGGAAGAGCAGTTGCAAAGCTAATCTTGATAGGCGAGTTGGCGACATTGCTAGGATCGTAGAGACCAGCCTTCTTCCAGTGATCCAGAGCAAGCCACATTGCCTTTTGGGGTGCACCAGCACACTTGACAACGCCAGTAGGCAGAGTGAATAAGGCTTCACCACCACGAAATTCCTTGATGTTACGGAAGACTTTGTCGCAAGTCTCGTAGCCGTAAATAGTCGAGACAGGCATTGACTGATCTGCCAGTGCTTCAGGCAGTCCCTTAATGTTGTCGTACTTGATGCCGATACCAGGTGCCACAACCAGGTTCTCGTAACCTACTTTGTCGCCATTGCTAAGAGTGACCAGGTTCTCCTCGGGAGCGAATGTGTTGACTCCTTGGTTGTACAGCTTCAGCTTTGAGTCCACAAGACTGCTCATGGGCTTTCTCAACTCCTCCTTTGTCTTGAGACCACCACCAACTAGTGTCCATCCAGGCTGATAATCATGGTAGGCCGCAGGGTCAACAATGGCAATGTCGTCTTGTGTGAATTTTCCAGTACGAAGCAACTGATGACTGATTGCCAGACCGGCAGATCCACCACCAACCACAACAACCTTGTGGTTTCTGGTGGCAGAGCTCACCGATGCAAAGGTTCTCAAACTTGAGATCTTGCTGGCAGCGTTGACCGAACGGCCAGCAGAAAGTGCTACTCTATGCATTGCTCCTGGAACTCCTGGGTATAAACAAAGTAAAGATCGAAGAATGAAACACACACACGCACGTCAGATGTATGAGAAGAAAGGGAGGATCTGAAATCGCCGAAGTCGCGCGTGCTTACCATCCTCAGTGTGGACAGGGTGACTTCGCGGGACGGTGGCGTCAAAGCTTTTTTCTCAGCGATCACGCCTTCGACAACTGACTCGCGCAACATCAGACCTCGCCTGATCCTTGCGTGACACCAACACTCCGTACAAAGAGACTAAGGGACTGACATTGCTGGACATGAATGTTGCAAAAAAATTGGATACAAAGCTCAATGCGGTACCCAACGATGTAAGGACGAGCGAGAGACCAATGTCTCTCAGTCGTCTTTCGTGTGGCCTGCTATCTATCTCGATCCGCTGAGAGATGTCCCCAATTCGGTCCCGTCTGTTACTACTTATTACCGTCATCAAATCCAGGGGTCAAAAGCGCTGGCTCACGGCTTGAGTACTCTGGGAACCTCATGTCCAGCCTCACGTAAAACCTTAGCAATATCGTCTTTCACCGACTGTCCAGTGCCCTGACCCACAAAGATGTAGACCTTGGCCTCCTGCCCAGCTTGTCCAACACTTTCGATAGCCGCGCGCAAGAGATCAGTACGTCGGTTGTACACCCCTGGCCGAACACTGCCATCCGCATTGGTGTAAAGGCCTTCACACGGAGATCCGAAGATCACGGCGGTCTTGGTGTTTCTGTAGTGAATACCTTCAAAGCCTGCAGGTGTCGTGAACATGATCTTGCATTGTCCGTTGCGGAATTGCTGCATCGTCTTCGAATTGTCGCTTTCTGTTGTGAAAACCTGGCCTGTCACTCCAAGCTTGTGACACTGGGAGGCAAACTCTGCGGCACGGTCTTGAGAAAACTCCATGCACAGGATATTCTCGTTTCGGTGAAGGGGTAGGATCTTCTCGATGAAGTGTTTTGAGCGCTCAGGGACATTGAAAGCGCAAACCTGCACTTTGATCTCGCCTCTGAAAGCAAGAAGGGCGTGCTTACCAAGAAGCCATTTTTTTACGTTGATGGTGTGAATGAACTTGTTGAGATATTGTCGCTTGAGTTCTTGGTGCAACGTAGAGTCCCTTTCGAAGCTGCGACTCAAAACTATCGTAGTCAGTGGGCAAGGGGCAGGTGTAGAAGCTGGCCTTGTACCAGTTGATCTCGGCCGCTCGCACCTAGCCCAAGCAACGATGTTCTGCATCTTGTCGGCCAATTCTGCTGAGGCAAGACTTGGGCCTTGACAGACGACGAGTAGATGTAAGAGACGTGCCTTGAACTTGGACTGTTCAATGAGATGTGCCAGCCGACCAGGAGTACACACAAGAATGGTGGGAAGGTTGGTTTTCAAATCGGCAAGGCTGACGCTTTTGCCATCTCCACCCCTGCTTTGAACAACTTTTATGGAATCGATGACCGAGCGCTTATTGCCATTTCCTCTGACGAATGACGCGAAAGTGGTGTACATCTGGCTGGCCAGCTCTCCTGATGAAGTCAAGATGACGGCTGATGGGCAAACATATCCACTCTTGTGTTGGTCGGCCAATAACTTCATGTATTCGTGGTTCTCGCCAATCTGAACCGCCAAGTTTGTCGCAGTTATAGTAATTCCGCAGATCTGTTCGTTGTCTGGTGCCAGATTAGCTGGGTCGGCTGAGATCAAGGAACGCAAAGTAAAAACCTACTGGTAGCCTCATATATCACACCAGAAGTACCGCTGTGTACACACTCAAGGAGAATTTGAGAGACATTGTTCAGGTCTTTGTGTCTCAATGAGTCGAGGTTTTGCTTCAAACTATCGCTGAGATCTTGGGTCGTCCAAGCCTTGTGACGGAATCTCTGAGCAGGCTTTGTGACCAAAGAGCTATATGCTGTACTTTGTATTGCTAGTTGCACGCCTGATACTTCACTCTGAACGGCGACTATTGCGTAACAGTCGACTGTGGCCACTCTACGTGAAGCGGCTGCCACAACAGGGGCTTGAGCTTTGGTAGGTGTTACCGAGCCGGCAGAATTCGTGTCTATGGTCGAAAGGGTCGACTCAGCTGAAGCTGACGGAGTTGGAGCTTCAGCCAGCGACGAGGAGTTGGATGTAGGAGACGTAGGAGCCGAACCAACCGGAGCAGACGAGGACGTCAATAGCGATTCCGTAGGGCTTGCAGTAGCGGCGGTCTGAGCAGCGAGCGTCTGCGCAGCTTCAGATGCGTCAATTGTGGTATCGTTAGTATCGAAGACGAGTTCCTGTGTTTTTTGGTAGACCGTGGAAAACACTTCATAGCCTGCTCTGAAGGTATTCTGAAAGCTTGCAAAGTTGTCTCCAAGATCGCGAAGTCTTTGGCGCAACGATCTGTTGGACTCCTTCTCAGAATCCAACTGAGAATACAGGCCCTGGATCTCCTGAAGTGCTGACACGAGCTCTTCACGCGCTGAACGAGCTTCTTCGCGAGCAGTTGAAGTTTCCTCTCGAGCGGTTCTAAGATCGTTGCCGAAGTTTTCGATCCTTTGCTGAAGTTGTGTTATGTTTCTCGTTATGCCTCCCATGATAGTCATGATCAGATTCGCGCCGTCGAGGGCCTCTTGTGCCGGGTCGAAGGGTAACGACATCTTGGGAATGCTGGTCGCCTTTCTTCTAGATCGTCAAGGTATTGATGTATTTGTGCGCTTCAGCGCTGCAGCCAAGGTCAGCAAGGGTGGCATAAAGAGTGAAGTTGACAAATGTTAGAAGAAGGCACAATAAGTAATCACATACCGAAGCAATAGTTGGACAAACGAATAGTGCTTGTTGATGGGATGAGCAATGGGAAGTTGGCGGCGAGTAGTCACAATTGTGATCAGTCGTAGTGATGGTGATTGCAGTAGTGGTGAGTCGCATCGGAGATCATTCGCAGTGGTCGCCAATTACCGACTTGCTGAGGAGTGATAGCTCTGACTATCAAACAAGAAACAAGTGAGGCTTGAGACCCCTTTCGAAAAGACGAGACTGATGCGTAGATGGCATGCGGAAAGACAGCGCTGACTGAGAGGATTGCTTTATGACGGAAAATCAAGCAGACAAGTTAAAAAAAAGTTTCACATTCACTCTATGCTCTATCTCCGATAGAGCAGTAGAAAGCAAATTGCTCACTTACAGTGATGGCTCCTTAAGTCTTCTTACCAAGATACACCCCCACAGTGAAGATATCAAAAAGTCATGTCCCCAAACCGTTTGCAGCAAAACGGCACTCCTTCTCTTGAACGACTTGTACTGTGATATCAAAAGTTTCAAGCATGAAGTTATGAGCTTTCGGTTGGTCATCACTCAACTATATTCTGCTTATCTTTTGCCTCTAATTCTCTACACGATTGGAGGTGATGGGTCCTACCTGCTAAGTGCTTTGGTAACTATAAAGTGCGAATCGCCTTGGCCGCCTACAAGTGCAAGATGACCCCATATCAGGGCTTCACTTACGAAGCTGACGTTACAAGGAGTACGGCTAAAAGAAGCAGTGGTCGAAACCGTCATCAAGTCCCCATGGTTATCTCTTTGACGGTCAAGAGCGCCGATAGAATCCGTGAAGGTTACTGTGCAATGCTTATAGCTCTTGATCTCTCCGAAAGAAGATCTTCAATCTTCTTTCACTCAAATTCTCGTACATGCGGTGTAGATGAGTTTGTTCACGAATGCCTTGCGGCGAGATACATTTGTTGGTTTGGATGAGGCTGAGATTGGATGAGTCTGAGATTCGTTTCTTGCGCTTTATTAGATATGTGAAGTGCAACGTTGGTGAGGTATCCTCGTCGGCGGAATATTGTTGCCCATGAGTTTGGGCCTTGTCGATGGGAGGTTGTTGACCGGGAGTTTCTTTCTTGTCGGTGGGAGATGAACATTAATTCCGAATGCGCAGTTATTGCTAAACCATGGCATGAGTTGTTCTAAGCAACGATGGTTCCGGGGACCAGACACGATGTCACAAAGAAAGTGCCCGCTACTTGACATCACAAAACTTTCGGAGCAACGAGAACAATTCTGGTAATCGAATACAAAGAACACAAAGGCTGTGAGAATGTTGGAGAAGTGGAAAACAAAAAAGGTCGAACAATAACAACCAGCATCAGACGCCACAAGTACATTATCCTTTGAGTTGTCTTTGTTGACAAAAAAAGCGATAGAAGAGTAGATATAGATCATTAAGACCCTCGCGAGCCTGGTCATACATATTCTCCTCCTCGTTGTTTTTTTCCCCTCTCCACCACGGCTGTGCCGCTTTTCATTCATGTCTTCTCCAATCGCCCAGCTGGTTCTGGACTTGATTGTCTTTGCTGTTATTCACTACTTCATCATCTTTCCGCTAATCAAACTCGTCCTAGGTTACGTTAAGGGAGAATCCGACATTCTATACGCAGGACGGGAAATTTTAAAAGCATTCGAAAAATTGAAGGCATTCGTGGGCGAGCAATCGGTACAGAAACCGTCAAATATCAGCGCACCCGCACCATTCACGACTCAGTTACCCACTGCCGACGAGGCTTTATGCGAAAGATGCGAAATACTTCTGGAGGACAAGCCTCATGTAACACGACGGAGCTGTGATTGCACCTGGTGTGCAGAGTGCGTGGAGGAATGCTTTGAGATCGTCAAGTTTGATCTGGATAAGCCTTTGAGCTCGCTGAGCAAGGGCTGTAAGCCCGCACAGAAGCTTACCATCCGTAAGATGCTGCCCTACGTGAAGCATTTGCTGTCTGAAAAGTCTTCCTGGCAAATCGAGAAGGCGATTCTGGTGCAAGACACGATAATAGGCATTGCTATGAGCAAGAATGACTGGATGCTTGACGTTGATGAATAGGAAGAGTTTCCAGAGAAGTAATTGCTTTCTGACGATATCAGCGTTATCTACAGTACAAATACTAATAGAAGCCGCGTAAATTTATCAAATCGAGTCATTGAGAAGTGTACACTTTAAGTACAGGGAACAAAGAAAAGACGTTCGCTCCCGTGAGATATGGCGCGAGGTTACACGACAAAGTTGCAACGAATGTTGTCAGACAGAGGCGACATCCTTCCAATGGCCTCGCAACGGCATGATTAAATCCACAAGTACAACGCGGTGCTCTGTAGGGTGTATGCAACCAATTCGCAGAATTGATCGCACCACTTGAGCACTGTCAATTCCCTGTAATATCAGAGCGCCAAGGTTGATACAGGGCCCGCTTTTTTTGTTTCTGTCAATTCGTCGGGGAAGTGCTTCAAGCATTGGTATTAGTCTCCTATTTGACGACTCCATTCTTTCCGGCTCCGCCTCGTGTTTCTAAGGTGCAGCGATGATACCTCAAGAAAAGACATGCAAATAAGCTGATGTGCAGGATTGCGACAACGCGAGCGATACAAGGGTTCCTTCGATGGTGCCGCGCGCGAAGCCAGCCGATTGATCCGGGCTGAGAGGGGAAGCTCATATTTACTCAGACCGCCCTGTTAGTGGATTGCCGAAGTACTAGGTAATCTTATATAGAGGAAGGAGCAAGTCTGCTCGAGAGCTGTTTCTCACGATGCTTTTGACCTCAACACAAGTCCGATCATTAACGAACACTTTTACGATATGCCTTGTCCTATGCGGACTTCTGCGTCAGATGTCGACCAGTCGAACACAGCATCTCCAGAGTATTTGCCCATACCTCAACCTCCAGAACATCTCTTTGGCCTGCTCGGCAACCTACCTGACTTGGATCCTTCTTTCCCTTCCAAAAACATATGGAGTATGCAACAGCTGTATGGTCCCATCATGAAGTTGAAACTTGGCAGCGAACAAGTCATACTCGGAGATCAGCAGCACATCAATGAAATTTGCGACGAGAAAAGATTCCACAAAAAGCCGTCTGGTGCATTGGTGGCTATCCGAGCGCTGACTGGAGATGGCTTATTCACAGCCTATGATTCGGAGGTGAACTGGTGGAAAGCTCATCGCATGCTAGTGCCAGCTTTTGGTCCTATCGCGCTTCGATCCATGTTCGACGACATGCTCGATATTTCATCGCAAATGGTACTGAAGTGGGATCGTCTGGGACCAGAAAACGAGATCGAGTGCAGCGATGACTTGACACGCCTGGCTTTTGACACTATTGGACTTTGTGCTTTTTCATATAGATTCAACGAGTTCTATACGGACCACGCTCATCCTTTCGCCCAACAGATGGCCGATGTCTTGACCGAAAGTGGTAGGCGTGTTAGCCGCCCAGGGTTCATCAACAATTACGTCTACCGCAGTGACGAGCAAAAGCGACAAGAGAATGTAAAGAAGATGCACGACCTCTGTGACCAGATCGTAGCAGATCGAAAGAAGAACCCTCAACCCGAGAACAAGGATTTGCTGAACACGATGCTGAACACTATTGACAAAGAAACCGGGGAAGGCCTATCGGACGAGAACATCAGATACCAAATGGCTACATTCCTTGTTGCTGGGCATGAGACCACCAGCTCAACCTTATCATTCACCTACTATAATCTGCTAAAGAATCCTGATAAACTCCTCAAGGTGCAACGAGAGGTTGATGATGTAGTGGGCGATAATGTCTTGGAGCTGCAGCATCTGCCAAAGCTTAAATATCTTGACGCCTGCATCAAGGAGACTCTTCGTCTTAGCTCCCCCATTAGCCGCTGGGGTGTTTGTCCACGCGAGGACACGATGTTGCAAGGTAAATACGAAGTCAAGAAAGATGTTCAGCTTAGTGCCAACCTGAGGAGTCTCCATCACGATCCTGCTGTCTGGGGTGACGACCATGAAGACTTCAAGCCAGAAAGAATGCTCCAATCCAATTTTGAGAAGTTGCCTCCCAATAGCTGGAAGCCCTTCGGCAACGGCATGAGATCGTGCATCGGAAGAGGATTTGCCGAACAGGAAATGCTTATCAACATCGCGCTTGTGCTTCAGCGCTTTCAACTGGAACTGGCAGATCCAGCTTATGAGCTCGAGCTGAAATCAACGTTAACAATCAAGCCATGGAACTTCAGGATGAAAGCTCGTCGCCGACCAGGCAAAGCACTCACGGTTGGCATTCCCGGAGGTGTATCAGCTAACGCTGCGAAGAAACACGAAGAACAGCATGGGTACGCTCAAGCTGCTCAAGCCCAAGACAGATCCTCCGATGCACCTCTGTCGATCTTCTTTGGTGGCAATACCGGAACCTGTGAAGCTCTCGCCGAGGACCTGAAAACAAAATTGGCCGATCACGGCTTGAGTGCTTCGATCGAAAGTCTTGACATAATGACTGAGCATACGCCAGATCAACCTGTTGTGATCATCACCTCCTCATACGAGGGTCTGCCACCTGACAATGCAAAAAAACTCGTGGCATGGCTGGAAGATATTAGCAACAAGAACACCTCTGCCTTGAACGGTGTCAAGTATGCAGTTTATGGAGTGGGAAATTCAGTGAGCAAGAACCATATCTCTAAATATAATTTTGGATGCTGATTATATAACAGGATTGGGCAAGCACGTTCCACAGGATCCCCAAACTCGTTCATGAGTTGATGAAGAAAGCTGGCGCTGCAGAAGTCGTCGATATTGGACTCTCGGATGTCAAAGCAGATCTGTTTGGCCCATGGGAAGACTGGGTAGATCAGCTTATAGATGCGTTGATGGAGTCGCGTGGTGCTCGACCTGTCGCTAAGGCCGTCACTGAGGTAATCATTCGCGAGTCAAAACTGACCTCACTGCTTGGCGGCAAAGACATGAACATCGGAACGGTAATTGCGAATGAAGAACTTGCAGGCACCGAAGTGGGGCCTGCGAAGCGACATATGGACATCCGTTTGCCAGATGGCATGAGCTACACCGCGGGTGACTACCTTGTAGTGCAGCCTCGCAATCCGGATGAAACAGTGCACAGGATCCTATCATACTTTGGTCTTCGCGAAAATGACATGCTTGAAGTCAAAGGATCATCCAAAGTCTTCCTTCCGACCGAGCCCACTCCTGTCGGCGAGTTTCTTTCTGGAGCTGTTGAACTCAGTCAGCCAATCACGAAGCGTCAACTAGAGGCTATCCTGTCACACGCGACTCCCGAACAGCAGGAGGAATACAAAGGGTTCCTCCTGGACGCTTCTTACCAACACTTGCTTGAGAAGCGCTATAGCATCCTTGATATCCTTGAGGAGACCGCGATCGCCCTTCCGTTTAGTGCTTACATCGATATGCTTCCAGCTTTGACGCCTCGTCAATACTCCATAGCCTCGTCTTCTCTCGAACCGGCAAACAACCCACAGGCTAAGCAGCATGCAGATGTTGTATCCCTGTGCTTCGACGTCCATACTTCGCTGGCACTTTCTGGCCATGGATCTTTCTTCGGTGTCACATCCACATACCTGGCATCTCGTCGCATCGGTGACCGTATCTCATGCTTCGTCCGTCCCACAAATGTTGGTTTCCGACTTCCAGGTAATGTTGAGACACCCGTCATTATGTTCGCAGCCGGCACAGGCATTGCGCCGATGCGAGCTTTCCTACAGGAAAGAGCTGCCATAGCAGCAGCTGGTGCACGAAAACTGGGACCCGCTATCCTGTTCTTTGGCTGCCGCCACTCAGAGAAAGACTTCATCTACCGGGATGAGTTGGCCGTGTGGGAGGAACAGGGCGTCGTCAAAGTAGTACCGGCTTTCAGTAAGGGTGACTCTGGCCCGCATTATGTGCAAGACGCCGTTTGGGAGCATCGCGAAGAGGTAGCGAAGATGTTTGCTAATGGCGGCAAGATATACCTTTGTGGAAGTGCGGCACGGCTGGGCAAGAGTGCTGCAGAAGTTTGCAAGAAGATATGGTGCGAGAGGAACGAGAAGTCGATGGAAGATGCAGAAAAGTGGCTTCAAAGTGTTAAGACTGATCGATACATCAGTGATGTATACTGAGTTGGCTTGGGAGTTATGTGTGAGCGACAATCTCAAGATTTCACGGTACCATTAGCTCAGTGGCCGTGGTACTCTGCGGCTACACACTGTGCATTTGGATAGTCACTTGAATACGTGTTGTCGCGGGAAGCAGAAGCATCGGTGGTTGTATAGCCCTGTTTAGCGACATGGTACGCTGATTTGTCTTTGTAATGCAGTACGCTATGTCTGTTGGACATGGATGAGAAAGAGAGAAACAAAAAGTGAATAGCCAACACCATCACACAGGATCTTTGCTCATCTCCCTTATATTACAACAACATGCAAGCAATTCAAGTTAGCAACACTGACATCAGACCACTGCAAAGAGTCTTCTATCTTGGACGAATCGAGCGCATGCAATCAAGACAGAGCCAGCAACCAGTGTGGCCCCTGCAAACATGCTCAATGCCAGATAGCCGTATTGGCCGACAAGCTGACCGCTGATAGGTGTTCCGAAGAGAGCCATGAGAGCAATGGAACCCATAGCCAATCCCATAGCAGTACCCATAGTCTGCGGTGTTGCTAATCGCGAGACGCAAGCTGTTTGAAGACTCATGATAGCCTGTTCAACGGTCAGTATACTGTATGTGTCCATTTTGTATCAGGGGGCCACTTACGCCAGAAGCGAAGCCATAAGCAAGGGCCCAGACAGTAACACCAGCGACATTAGTCGCTCCGGTCCAGCAGAATGCTACGACACCAGAGACCAGAGCAGCTGAGGAGAGTAAATTGAAACAACCGTAACGATCAGCTAGGATACCAGGTAAGATCCTGCCAAAGAAGGAAGCACCATTGACGATAGAGACGAGGTAAAAAGTGAAAGATGTCGACATGTTGAGTGATCCAGCATAAGAGCTGATATAGAAGAACGGGCTGAACATGCCGAAGTTAGCAATAGCCATACCTGCGCAACAAAGGATAAATGCCGGATTTTTGATGATGCTGAGATCCGCTTTTGGCTTTACTGCAGGAGTCTGGTCTTTCTCATCCAGGGATGACTGAATCACAGCAGGACTGCGAATAAGCAAACAGCTCAGAGCAAGCAGCGGAAGCATGATGAAGGCGATGATTCGGATAGTCCAGCCAAAACCAAGGTGGGTATGATTGAGGAGTTGGTCCAACACAATAGGCCATATCACGCCCCCGGTAGATGAGCCAGCAACAACGATACCCATCCCCAGCGCACGATTCTTGCGAAAATACTTTGTGAGTGTCGACAAAGAAGGCGTGACCAGAAAAGCAGAGCTTATGCCAAAGACTAAAGCCTGCGCAAGGAACATCTGATAGTACTCTTTGCAAAGCGAAACCATGAAGATTGCGAAGAGGGCACCAACGCTGCCTATGCCTAATAGCATGTTTGGTCCAATCTTATCATAGGCGATTCCAATCGCAGGTGAACTGAGATACATAGCACAAATTGCGAAACTGCCAATCCATGAAATGTCAAACTCTGACTTGGCCGACAATTGATGGGCATGGTAATATTCCTGGAAGATGCCAAATGCATTGAAGAAACCAACACTGCAAAAGAACGCACAGAAGGCACCGCTGAGTACCAATGCTGAGCGTATGTTAAGTTCCTTTTCGTCCGTAGCTGGTGTGCGAGTTGATGAGTTTGTCGATTCGACGACTGCTTCGGCTTGCATCTCCTTGTTGGGGTTAGACATTATGACGGAATTCAGAAGAGTTTGATCAGGTTCTGTGTGCGGGGTTAATGTTGATTGAAGAAAACACCCTGCAGCAGTGGATTCAGATAAGTATTTATGTTAGTGGTACCTACTATTTCGCTCCGTGGACTCTCCTCGTGATGTTATCAGAATGCCTACGGTTGCCAACGGACGCCTATCTGGAGAGGGCTCCTACCGTGGAGTTTCCATGGAGGTCGCGCCCGTAGGATTCCTTCGTGCCTTACGATACCTGTCTTTTCACATACCTCTTCTACAAGAAGATAGCCCATGTCAAAACGACCTGCTTTGGCGGCCATAGAGGTCAGTGAGGATCAGCCTGCGACGCGACGTCGTCAAGACCCTGTCTCTTGTCAAGTGTGTCGCAAGAAGAAGCTCAAGTGCTCGCGCACCTTCCCATGTTCGAATTGCGTATCGAGAGGTCTCGAATGCCAACCGCCCGATGCAGCACAATGGCCTTCGGACCAGCAGTCGTAAGGCGATACAGATCTCCTATGTTGGTAGAAAGTACGTTGCTCACGAGAAAGCAGGAGCAGCTCTGCCAACGTCTCAGCAGCTGCCTCTGACAGCTCAGTCTTGGCACGGGTTCTGGAACGACTTCAAAGACTTGAGGATATCGTTCTTACCAAATCTGACAATATTGTGCGGGATAGAGCCAGCGAGAATACTCCAAGCAGTTCCATTCCAGCTTTGCATGAGGATGTTGTGCAGAACGAGATATTCCACACTATCGGAAGGTCCAACGCCTCACCGCAAGCGAATATCGAGCAACACGAAGATGAGTTTCGCGATACAGAAATCATTGGATCAAGACCGACAGATGCAATCATCAAAGAAGCAAGCTTTCTGTTCACCTCTGCAAAAGTGTCAGAAATTGCCTTTGACCTCAATCTGAGAATGCCCGTCTTGACCAGCATATCTGTGGAAGGCAACAAGGTGATTCGGCGCATCTGCCTACCTGAAAGGGAGGAAGCTCGTATTCTGTTCCAGACATTTGCCAAATCGCTTGGCTCATGGTATCACATCTACCACAAACGGACAGTCGAAATTCTCCTTGACAAGACTTACTACCAGATCGTCTGCGGCCACAATCCAGGTCTACCACAAGTGGCTTTGCTGCTTAGTATATTCGCAAGTGGAGCATACTTCCAAGCATCCATAGCATGGCCAGAATGTGTTTTCTCGGACCCGCAGATCGCTAATCAGCTGTCTATGAATTGGAAGCAGAACACACTCGATATCCTGGATCACATCGAGCGGTCCACCACACCTACTGCTGTGGAACAGCTGCAGGCCACCATAATAATGTCTTTGATGATACAAAACTTCGAGGGTATGTAGATCGGCCACGTTGCAGATGGCATCATACTGAGTCTGGAAGGACTATCAAAGAAGTACTGGTTGATGCACAGTACATCTACCACTCTCGCCAAGGACCTGTCTATACATGTCTTGGATCACCCAAGAAGAGCCAAATCCAAAGATATGGTCGAAAATGAGGTCAAACGAAGGATATGGTGGTACTTGGCGACTACTGACTGGTATGTCTGTTCGGAGAAGAGCCATTGAGTTCAAGCTGACAGTTTGGAAGGTTGCTCGGTAGTATGCCTAGTCCCCAAGAAGGAACATACAGCATCAACCCTCGACACATTCATGTCAACAAACCGATGAACGTTGACGATGATGATCTTCTTGGACAGAATGTCGTTGATAAGCCGTTGTCAATACCGACCGAGATGTCTTATTTCCTGGTTAGAACGCATGGTGGAGAGGTATGTCGAGTTCTTGCTGATCTAGTACATCCGCTGGCCTCTGGTGTCAACAGTGTGGATTACGAGGAGATTGTTGCTCTCGAGCGGACGACCGCGACAATAACGGACAACATGCCGTTCTATTTTCAGCTCGATGAAGAAAGTCGCAAGAAAACAGAACCATATCTCAGCAAGTATCCACAATTAGCGACACAGAGATATCTCCTGCAACAAGGACTCCACTGTCATCGAAGCAGAATACATCGACCTTTCCTCATCCGTGGTTCTTTAGACGCAAGATTCCATTTCTCTCGAACGGCATGTCTAGAGTCCGTGAGGAAGAGCTTGGAAATTCGTCGTCTGTTGAACCAGGAGAAACGTGGTGCGGTTTTGCCAATCGCAAGGCTGAATTTTGTCTTGTATCATGTGTTCATGGCTGCACTTACATTGGCCCTCGATTTGTGCTTCAACAAGTCGGCTACCGAAGCTGAGGATCGAAGTCGACGAGCCGAGCTGAAGGAAGCATGTCTGATGCTTCAAGAGTCCAAGACGGAGATGCCGGCAGCTGATCGTTTCTTGACACCATTGATGGAACTACTGCGAAAGCACAAGATTCAGTTGCAAGATGCTGGAGTGCATAATCAGTACCTGACTCCACCGGAGTCGACAACGACACCAAGCCTGCAGACGATACACACAGGCAGTTCATATCCTGATCAGAGTACAACTGCCCAAGTACAGATTGTGCCAGAGCGAAATGCTTCACTCACCGCCAATCCAGATATGGACTTTGATGGCTTGTGGCAAGAGTTTATCAGCATGGTCCCAGACTCGAGCGCTCCAGGATGGGATGACCTTCTAGCCGATTTTGATCAGGCTAGCCTTTTCATGGGCGTGTAGTCAGACGAGGTTCTCCTGGTGAGAACGGCGAAAGACAGAAGGCGCAGCCTTTTTCCGTGTCTTAATTTACTCTTCTCTCACAATCACTTTCACTTCCAGCTTTACCTTGGCCCGCAACTTTCGATCAGCGAACGCATTCTGTTTCGTTTCGAAACAAGATTTCGCGATCACTGTCCACACACTCCGTCAATGTACCATGAGGACAATCCAAGCACTCGACGCCGGCGCTAAGGTGTCGGCCAAGTGGCCAAACCACATATGGTCATCGCAGGCAGTCTCGTAAGCGCTTTACAAGGAATCACAACCAGCAGAGGCTGACAAGGTCGCAGTAACGCCATCAAGTCCCCCGAGATGATCAAGCTCACATCCAATGAAGATGGAGCTTCGGTGTCAATTCACAAAAGTTTGCTGTGCTTCTTCTCCTCAAACTACACTGCGGCCCAATCAGATCATCTGTCGATCCTCCATGGATTGATACTGTCGCTGATCTGAGTGGAAAGAGGGCATATTATCAACAAAGCCTACGGAATGAAGAGTAAAAGCGGAGGTCGCGCATGAAGCGAAGAAATGTTCTTAGATTGCTTGAGATAATTTTCGGAAAGCAGAGCCTACCCAAATCTATCACTCGTCAGCCTTTGTTGTTCTTATCTTCAGTATGTAATCTCACCACTCTTTGAGAAACACCTACCTGGAGATGCAGAGTAACGCCAGGGCACCATCATGTGCCCGAGGTAACAAATGAGACATTATTTTGCAGTTATCGTTGTCTGTAGAAAGTCCTCAACAAAAATCAAAGTCAAAAGCACAATGTTTCGGTAAAGAAAAGTCAAGTAGAAACAAACGTCAAGAATTTGGCAAGCTATCTATAGCACTTCCGGGGGTATCTCATCGTGAGAAAACATGAGCATCAAAGATCCATGATCATGCAAGAAGCAAAATAACTAAAGCCCGAAAATCATCCTCATCTTCTGCTCATCAACTCAGTAATCTTCGTGATCCAGTGCGTCGAGTCGTGATCCATCGACAGCCCTCCCTATGAGCTGCCGTTGACAGCGCCTCCCCTTCCTCTGGGTGCGTGTCCACCACGAGGGCCACCACGACCTCTGCCCTCACCGCCACGGCCACGGCCTCTGCCTCTGCCACGGTAGTCGTTGTTCAAGATGGCTGGTGGAGGAACAGCACTCATGTTCTGAGGACGGAAGTTCAGGTTGTTGCGGACGACGTTCTCCATAGGGTCGCTGTTGTCGACAATGGTGTAGCCGCCTCTACCGCCACGGCCGCGACCACGGTTGGGGTTTCCGCCACGAATGGGAAGGTTGTCGTGACCGCCGCGGCCACGTCCGTTCATGACTCCGCTGAAAGAGCCTCTGAGAGGTGGAGGGGCGTTGGCAGGACGCCATTGCTCTTGAGGAGGTCCGTAGCCACCGTTGACAGTCATGGGAGTCTGCTTAGGAGGTTGACGCTTCTGTGCAGCAGCCTTGCTCTCAGCGATGCATTGTCTGTCAGTCAGGTTGAGGACACTGGTAACAGGGACAGTGCTTCCTCTGAAAGGACTGCAGCGATCGCCAAGACTGGTACCAGACATGAAAGAGTAGTCAAATACAACGTCGAGCATGGTTGTTCTGGGTGTCTTGGTGATGCCGACGACAGTACCTCTGGAAGCGATAGGAACACGACCAGAGTCCTGAACGTAGACAATGCGGTCACCAAGGGCGAAACGCTGACCACCAAGACGCTGTTCAGCATCACTAGGCTTGAGGAGAGCATGACGAGGGACGCCGTTCATGATCTTGTCTTCGACCTGGTTGGCCGAAAGAGACAGATAGTGTTCTGCGGCACGCTCCAGAGCCATGACCGTGTCAGAGTTCATCTGTTCGGCATCAAGAGGAACGCGCTCAAACGACTTGGTCTCGACGCTCTTGAGCCAAGCACCAATCTCCTTCATCTTGTCCTTGGCAATGTCGGCAGGATAGAAGTCAGTGTCGTTGAAAACGTCACCCGAAGGGTTAGCCTGGATACGTGCGACGAATTCGGGGAACTTGGTCATGTAAGTAGCAATCAGGTCGATGGCCTTCTGGCTGTATTCCCAACCACGCTCCGACTTGCGACTGTAACCCAGAACCTTCATCTTGCGGGCCTCGAACTTGAGGTTGAGACCAAGGTTGAGCTGTAGTCCTGATGAAGTGACACGGAATGATGCGGTCAACTTGGACAAGACAAGCGGGTGGAGGTTGAGTTCTTTGGCAACAGCGAAGGCAGGCTTATAGGGGAACTGGCGCTCTGCCTGGTAGGCGATTTGATGACCAAAGTCAGGTTCTCTGACCTTGACTGTGTTGACTCTGATGTTGGTCTTGCCATTCTCATGACCATCAACAAGGGCAGGTCTGCCATAGTTGAAGTCGCCGAGGAAGAAAGCGCGGGAGTTGAGAGGGAACTCTTCCTCAAGTGGAAGAGCAGCCTTTTCCAGGAAGCGCTGGTCCTCGGAGACGACTTCATCGACAATGGCTTGAGCAGCGTAGTCAGCCTCGAGACCTTCAACAGCTGCATACTCCTTGACAGTTGCACCCTCGTCCGTCTTACGGAGGCCAACAAGCATCTCGACGTGGACCATAGCTTCGACATCGCTGATAATAACGCCTAGTCTCTTAGAGTAGACGCTCTCAATGCGGCTGGCCTTCTTCTTCCAGTTCGAGATCTCAGGAGCACCATGAGGAATGGCCTCAATGTTGTCGGGCGTAGCCTCGGCATTGGGGTTGGTAAGAACGTAATCAAACAATTCGTCAGACACCTTGACAACCTTTGCCTCGTGTAAGAAGGGGTACCCAACGTGAACAGCCTTGCCAAGCTTCAGCTTAGCATGCTCGATGTTGCTGGTCTCCTCCGCGTTCATCACAGTGACAACCATGCTCTCGTTCCTGCTCTCTTGTTGGAAGACATTAACTCCGTGGAAACCAAGAGTGCCGGTAGTCGGGAGTGTGCGCAAGCTAGGGAAACCAGCCAAAGCATCTTCACCGAGCTTGACGCCTTCGACAAGACCAATGTAGACATCCAGACCTTCCATGGTAGGTAGCTCGAAAATGTTCTCCACACACTTGCAGTTAGGAATGTCTGGGAAAACACCGGGCAGGGACGAAGGGTAGGTGTAGTTCATCTCGGCAGCATAGGTGAACTTCAAGCTGACGCCAAATTCGTTACGGGCGCGCTGTGCGTCTGTAAGTAGATGATCTCTGGTAGCCATAGCGCTGAGCAAGCGCTGCTCGTCGATAAAAGGAATCTTGACGACGGCCTCCCATTCCATCTTCTTGCCGTTCATGTCGAGGTCGAAGTCGCGGGGGTAGAAATCGATGATGGGCGAGTCAGGGCTGGTCATCAAGGGATGGTAGACGTCGGGAACGATCGTCTTACTTCTGTCTGGAAGCACACCCATGAGTTGCTGGTAAGGACGGAAGGGTTGGCCAAGCTTGAAGTCCATGTTGGCCTTGAGACCCTTCTTGACATCGGAAATCATAGGAGAGTAGTGGTAACCATAGTACCAGGGCCATGAGACGACACCTTGATAGTAGTAGTAGAGAACCCATTGCAAACCTTGGACATAGTTTTCTGTCAGCTTGCGGAGCTCCTCTTCGTTCTCAGTGCCCCATTCAAATTTGGATTTGTAGTATTCGTCCTTCCACTGGGCGAACTTCTCGTCGTACTTCTTGGTCATCTGTTCTTGAGCCTCTTCAGCGCTGACATCGACAATTTCGGCGTTGTCGTATCTCTTGACCACTCTAAGGAGAGCTGTCTGGGCCTCCTCGTCTTCTTCATCGTCCGAGTCGTCTGATGGGGGACGAGGGAAGAAGGAGAGCTGGAGATGACGCTCGCCTTCGTCGTTCACAATGCTCTTCCATTGCAGGTGCAGACTGTCGGCGAGATCCTCGACAAACTTTCTGTCGCGTGCAGGGAGCGAAGTGGGCAGGTCAAGAGGTGCGGGCTCGGAGTCGGCAGGGCGGCTGTTGACGTATTGTCTGACGCGTGTGTAAACCTCCTTTTGCGACGAGGTCATAACGACCTTGCCCTTGTTCTTGGTTCTGACCATAACATCCTCGCGACCAGTTTGCTTGCCCTTGAACCAGCTGGCGTCGGCGTTCTCTGCTTCGAAGTGTCTAAATTCGACGTGGGAGAGCTCATCAAGTAGGATAGAAAGTCGGTCGAGGTTAATAACACCGCCCTCGTTGATGTATCCCTTGGCAAGCGGGAGAATCTTCTTGTATACACCAAACATGAGTGCCAAAGCACCCTCGTTGATGTGGAGGTGGGGAAGGTTCGGCAAGAAATCGTTGCCAACGAAGAAAGCCATGAGAATAAAATCGTCAATAACGCGCTCCATGTCGAATGCAAAACCAAGAGCTCCAGGCTCTTTCAATTCTTGAAATTCCAGTTCAAGATATTCGCGAACAATGCAAAGATGCATGAGATAGAAATTCTGGTGTTCGAGTTCCTTTGACTTGGCCTTGCTTTGGCGGCCGAAGGTGACTTCCTCACGCAAAAGACAGAAGTGGGGGTCGTGACTGAGCAGACCCAGCATGATAAGATCGGCATCGAGGCCGTAAAGACAGTGGCGGACGTTGGGGTCGTAGTCTGGTTGTGACTTGGCCTTGCGAATGTACTCCATGATCTTGTGTTCTCCTTCACCAGGGACTTCATGTCCAGAGAGAACGATCTCGGGGCCTTGCCAGTCAATATCCTCAGAGACCTTCTTGGCGATGAAGTATTTGAGGTGTTGTGTAAGACGAGCCATGAACTCTGTTCCAGGGGTAATACAGTTGCTGTCGAATGGAGCTTCCTTGGGCATTTCAGTACCAGCAGCGATGGCCTTCTCACGAGCATTTTCAGCATCGAGAGCAGTACGGAAACGTCTGGCGCGTTGCTGGTTCATCTTTGCTCTGGGAGCGACACCATCGATAGCCATAAAGAAGAGCTGCTTGGGCTTGATCTTGCCAAACAAGTGCTCGATGTAATTGAAGATGGCGATGAACATCTCCTCCTCGGTCATGCGTTTTGTAACATGGTCTCCGTCTTTGTGGGTGCAGTTGTGAATAATACCGTTCATATCAAGCTGGGAGACTGTGTTAAAGAGGTTCTAGGCGGGTCGGCGCAAAGACAGGCGGTGAAGGTGGACATACGTAGAGAGCGTCGAACTCTGGGATGCGGTTCTCAGCGATCAGCTGAGAGATGGCAGGATAGCGTTCGCTCATCCATCGGAAGAATTTGGGAACACCTGGTTGCGCGCAGAGTGGTTAGCTATGATTGCCAGGGTGGTAACATGGCAACTGGCACTTACCCATGATGATCTATATTCCAAGATCAACGGCTGGGGTCAAGTAATGGGTGTGAGAAGGGGGTTGAGAAGAGAAAGGGCGTGGAAAAGGGCGTATGGCGGGATATTTCGACACGGAGTCCTCGAAAGAAAGAAGGAGAGAGGGTGAGAGGCGGCGACTTGATGATGTCGACCAGTCACTGCGCACGGCCGTCGCATCGAGCTCTCGACCCCAGATTTCACTTGTGCTTGGCAACCAATCTCAGCGCAAACGCGTCAAGCTGCCCGAGCGCGTTTAATCGCATCTCCATCTTTGTCCAACTCTGTCATTGAGCCTGCACTATCATCCACATACCGCAAGTCATAGCAATCATGGACCAAGGTGCGTCTTTCTTCTTGCTTACCACTTCTCTCTTGACCTCTGAATCCACCTTCTCTTCACCTTTACACATTCTATAGTGCTTTCCAGCTAACACCGCAATGCTAGACATGCAAGCACAGCCTGCTGGCGTTAGTGACCCCGCTGTCGAGAACAAGATCATCAACGAGGAGTACAAGGTCTGGAAGAAGAATGCCGTCTTCCTCTACGATGTCATCTACAGCAGAGCCCTCGAATGGCCTACCCTCACAGCCCAGTGGCTGCCCGATGTTCAGTCCCTGCCTGACAAGAACTTTTCCACCCACCGTCTCCTGATCGGTACACACACCTCAGGCGCCACCCAAGACTATCTCCAAATTGCCACCGTCGACCTTCCCAACAAGCCCGCCGTCAACCCCGCAGACTACGATGCTGAGAAGGAGGAGATTGGTGGCCACGGCGCTGCCAAACAGCCCATCTCTTTCAACGTCATTCAGAAGATCAACCACCCCGGCGAGATCAACAAGGCCCGCTATATGCCTCAAAACCCAGATCTGATCGCGACCATGACCATTCAAGGAGACGCTCTTGTCTTTGACCGCACAAAACATTCGTCCATGCCAAAGACAAACCAGGTCGAGGCTCAGATTGAGCTGAAGGGCCACGAGAAGGAAGGTTTCGGTCTCGACTGGAACCCTCACTTTGAGGGTCAACTGGCTACTGGTAGCGAGGACCAGACTGTCCGCGTTTGGTATGCTTGTCGTCTTCTTGCTACGATAATCACATCTGACTGATTTCCTCACAGGGACATCAACAACTTCTCAAAAGCTGACAAGATTCTCACCACTGCTCGCATCTTCAACCACCACAGCTCTACAGTCAACGACGTCCAATGGCACCCCATGCACGGAAAGAACCTCCTTGGAACGGTCGCGGATGATAGAACCTTCTGCTTGATGGATCTTCGTACCGCTTCCAACTCGAAACCTGCCATTAGAATCGAAGGTCATACCGACGCCATCAACACTTTGGCCTTCCACCAGAAGCATGATGTACTTTTCGCTACAGGTTCCGCTGACCGCACTGTGGGAATCTTTGATATGAGATTCCCTGAACACGGCAAGATTCACAGCATGGAGGGACACCAGGACGTCGTCACTAAGATTGAATGGCATCCTCACGACCCCTGCATTCTTGCCAGCAGTGGTGACGATCGCCGTGTCATCTTCTGGGATATCAGCCGTGCCGGAAGCGAGCAAACACCTGACGATGCCGAGGATGGACCACCAGAGATGTATGTGTTCTTCATTGTCTTGACAATTTGATTCGTTCTCATGCTAACATGGAAAATAGGCTTTTCATGCATGGTGGCCACACTAGCCGTGTTTCAGACTTTAGCTGGAACAAGAACGACCCTTGGATGATGTGCTCAGTCGCAGAAGACAACCTGATCCAATGTTGGCGCGCATCGAGAAATTTGGTCGAGACCTTGCCTCCCGGTATTCCACGCCGTGAAGTGTCCGTATCACAATAGATTCAAAGGCTGACTATAGGCTTGACGTGCAGCTGCCATGAGGGACGTTCAGGACTAGAAGACGCCTGAGCCGCAAACCACTGTCAGGAACTGGATGGAAGGCCTCGATTAAGAGGCAGTTGATTTGGGAAACAGCAAGGCGTTCAAGGCGTGAGTGATTGAGAGAAAAAGCATTTGCCTGGCTCTAAGACGGATGCGAGGCGTGGAAAGAGGAAAGAGAGAGAAATGTATTTTTACGAAACTAGAGAGCGATTATACGTCGCACAAATTATTTGCACACCACCGACGATTGTTTGACAAGCTGAAGTAACTTGAAAGTGTCAGATATTTTGAATACCAGTCCTCACAACAAGAAAAAGGAAGCCCGATCAAAAAGTGGTATATACGTAGATACAAAGTTGTCAAGAGAAACAAACCCACACGCTTGCCAAAACGCCATGATGCATCAATTTTTTTCCTGCTACTCTTGAACAGCCCATTCAGGACTCATGCCAACATATTTGAACCAGTTGGGACGGCAATCTTCTCTGTGCAGCCACTTCTCACCATCCGTAAACCGTCCAGTAACACAACCCCTACACTTTGGAGAGTTGGGACAGTTGAAGAAAGGAATATGTTGATAACCGATATCCTTGAACCAATGGATCTTGCGTGCATCTTCAAAGAGTCCTAATGCGATACTGTGGACAGGAGCATCACCCCAGCGTTCGTAGAAGAAACCTCCAGCACGATCGAGATGCTCAAAGTATTCTTCATAGGCAGAGGAACGCCAGAAGTTCATGTCTGCGATCTCAAAGTTGCTCCAGAAGTGGCAGGTGCTGTAGCCGTTGGCTTGAAGATTGTGTTCTGGTCTGCGCTCCTTGTCGGTGAGCCATTTCATGGCGTTGTTGGGGTGTTGATGCTGAGCATTTGAGGCCAGGAACTTGAGAGTTTCGGGCCATAGTGTTGCGATGGATTGAGGGGAGTCGTAGAGGTTGATAGTGAAGCCGTAGGTCTTGTTGCGGTCTTGCATGAAGCGGAAGACATCGTAGTCGACGTCGCAGAAGAAGTGGACTTTAGGCTCGACGCGCCAGTAGTATTGCATATCCTTGAGGGCGGAGTGTTTGTAGAACAGGCCAGAGTTCCAGCGGCACATTTGGTGGTAACTCAGCATGTGCGAGTATTGGACATCGTGCTCCTTGAGGACATTTGCACTCTCGCGGAACAGGTCTTGGTTGATCCAGCTAGGGACTTCCCAGTGCTCTTTGGGGATGAGCTCGTAGCGTACTTGGGCCTTGGTCATGGCACGTGTGGCCTTCTTGAAATCCTCGGTGAAGGGAACATCATTGAAGAAAGTCCAGGGATAGTTGAACTTGTGGTTCCAAGTACGCTCTAGATCGCGCATAGATTGTAGAATACCGTCCAGCTCTTCATTGCGCACAAGCGACAGGATGGTAGCATTGATGCGATTCGAGTTTGCGTTGTCGGGGGCATAGTTGTTGCCAGAGACTCGGTGAAGCGGTTCCGGTGGTTCTCCAGTAGCTAGAGTTACATGTCAGAAGCTGGTGACTGGTAGGTTATCTGGATATGTGCGTACGATCAAGGTTGGGATCCCTGGGCATGTCGCTGAACTTGACGGCATCCTTGCCGCCAGCGGCCAGACTTGATGGTGCTCGGAAGATTTGGACACAGAGATAGCAGAAGACAACCATAGTGCCAATCGCCAGAAAGCGGACCGCTGGAGGTAACGCCATGATTGCGATTAGTTGAACGTTTGTCTCTTGCTACAACAATCGTCAAATTAAAGCGACATGCGAGAGCTCCTGGAGCATGCCCAGCATGACGACGCCCCGACATTTGCCAAAGTCTCCGTCCTCACCGCCTTGAGACCCCGACGCGTCTCCTTCGAGTCGCTCCTCCATATGCGCTCACAACTCGCTTCTGGACAATTAACATTGTGTCAATATCTCAATGCTTCCGTGTTGATACGAAATATGTGCTTGACAGATGCAACATGGCTCACGCTGCAAAACTTAATGCCCTTACCGATGACTTGATCAGCGCTGTTACCCCATCTACTCCTCGTGTACGTCTTTTCTTTAGCCATACCATGCAAATATACTGATTATTTCCAGAAAGATGCCCGGCAGATCAGACATTTGAGAGATTCTGCCCTGAAAACCTTCAAAGCACAACAACATGTTCGTGTCAATCAGTTTGAGATCGATGCACGACTCGAAGGCCTGCTGGAGAAGTTCTATGTTCTAAACAATGATCACTTAGCAGATGCTCTGAAACCTCGCCTTGATGAGTTGGCCGCCATACCCAACAATTGGAGACCAGAGAGTCTAGCTCTTTTGCTGGCTCTTTCCGATCGGCCAGCCGAAAAGACAGACATTAACAAAGCTTTGGAGATTTGTCCTGATGAACCGGCCGAACAGCAATTGACATGGGCTGAAATCATCGCTGACGATCCGCTTGACGAAGAGGGTATCTGGAACGACGTCGAGTATGAATCCGACTACTCGGAGCACCGCGCACACAGCCTGAGTGATGAATCTGTTGCCGAACCGACAACGTCTACTTCTGCGTCATCCCTTGGTGAACAAGATGTTGCTACCTTGGCTCGCGCATTCATTGTTCCCAAGGATCATGAACTGCTGGATCAGGTCAAGGAGCTACGCAACCGCATGACGAGCATGCATTCCGGGTCAGAGCTCACAGAGCTACAAGTCATTCGTCAAGTATTACTGATGCTCCATGGGCTCCCCACAGATCTGTTCGAAGCTGGACCTGGTGGTCGTATCCGAACAAGGCACTCTTGTCGTATAATCAACATCGCACCATCAACTATAGATCACGTTCTCCAGGATTATGCCTCACTTGGCTCGCAGATCGCCATTGTCAGAAGATTTGTTGCATCCAGCCAGCAAAGCGTGGTTCTGCAAAGCTTCCAAGCTGCAGTGCAAACTCGACTGAGTGACTTCGGTCGATTGCTATCAAACATCGAGCAGAACTTTCTCCAACAACAAACGTCGGCGGTGGTGAGCTTACTTCATGTGTACGCTGAGATTGATCATGTCGCTAGACCACTTGTTCGACTCGGAGGTCTAATCCCGGACGATGCCGCCAAGCATAATGTTCGAGCGGTGCAATTGCTCAACAACCTGTTCAAACAGACTTGTAACCTTCAGCTCGTCGGTGAAGACGAAGAAAGTTCAGAGGTTGCAGATCTTCTGTTCAAATGTCTAGAGCCATATCTTCGTCCTATTCGATTATGGATGATTGAAGGCAAACTTATTGCCTCAAACGAACTGTTTTTCGTACGTTCTGATGATGAGAGTCCCGATCGCGGGTCAATCTGGCATTCCCGCTTCACGCTGCTCAGACAGGCCGATGGATCTGTCTTTGCACCTGACTTCATGCAAGGCATAGCAGAGAGAATTTTCAAGGCTGGGAAAAGTGTCATGTTCCTCGAGGCCCTCGGTCATCACCGAGACATCTCTGAGCGTAGTGGACATAGTCTGGATGTTGCTCGAATCATGCGAGCGGCGAGCAATGGCTTGCTACCTTTCTCGGAAGTTTTCAAGCAGGCCTTGAACAATTTCACTGACGCACTAGAGGAGTCAGAGACACAAATCCTACACCAGACCTTAATGTCACAGTGTGGGCTCCAAACGACCATCAGTGCGGTCAACCATATCTATCTCGGTGTACATGGTTCACGCTTCCAGGACTTTGCCTACGCCATATTCCGGCGTATGGACCGAGGTAGTGGCTGGGATGATCGTTTCCTTCTAACAGAGTTGGCACAAACTGCTTTCGAGGCGACGGACGCTGTCATGACTGACCACATCATTGTTCGTGTCAAACCCGGGGCTGATCAGCAAACTACTTCGTCTCACGATCGACGTGTAGACATGCTGGGTCGTATTGTCGTGGAATACTCTGTAAGTCCTTATGTTCAACAAATTATCTAAATCAGTTCTAACATGTTGCAGATCTCATGGGCATTGCAGAATGTTCTAACCAAGGCGACTCTAGCAGCCTGCCAAAACGCTTTCACAATACTGCTAAGGCTCTACCGAGCTCAGTACTTGTTGAATCAACAAGAATGGACGCTGAGCATCATGGCTGATCGGTACAAGGAGCAAAGAGTCAAGGAGCTACTGGCTCTCCGCCAGCACCTATCCTGGTTTGCGACTACCTTGAAAGGCTACGTCTGTGAGGTGCTGTCTGTCGTATCAAAACAACTCACTACCTATCTCGAGGCCGCGGCAGACGTGGATGGCATGATTGCAGCATTCGACACATTTCAGCTTGACCTGACTAGCAAACTGCTGCAACAGGACAATCTGGCACCGATACAAGGTTCTATCTTAGCTATATTTGAACTCTACGAGAATCTCGCACTAGAGTGGAGGCATGCCGTCAAGCAAATCAGCAATCGTGCAGCTCGGCCCACACCTCGTCAAGTGGTCGTGCAGCAAAGTCTCTCAGCTCGCCATGAAAGGTCTGAGACTGATGAAACGGCCAACCTAACCGATGACGAGGATGACTCTGAGCCCCATGAGCGACATGATCAGAGATCAGTGTTGAGCGTCCCCAGTCTGCTCAAAGAGTATAACAGGCAGTTGTCATTCTTGCTGGCTGGGTTACGGAGTGTAAGCAGGATTGAGGGCGAGCCAGCATGGATCATGCTTTCTGAAAGACTTTCATGGGGAGTCATGACTGCAGATAGGAAATAAAATGATGCCCGAGTACCACTCAAGCTCAGTTCATGACGATCGTTATACTACCAGCGTTCTATTATTTCTGATAAATTGCATTGCTGATACTTGTTCGCCTGGCATGATATATACAGACAGGGTTACACTTATATCAAGTATGACGTAGGGTCTCGTTCGCGAACTCTACTTCACGTTTGAAGTAAACACCGATCTTCCTCCTTGCAACAACTATCACAATGCCGCCTTCTAGGCTTCTGTCACAGCTTCTTCCGTCTCTGAGATACAGTCGAACGACTCTACAGCAACAGATTCGCCGCCAGTCTACCAAGCCCACAGCTGAAGCCACCCAACACTCTCGCATCTCTCGTCTCGAGGCCCGTCTCCCACGTTTTCTAGCACGCTACATCACGCCCCTTCGCAATGCACCAATCTCGCACATAACCGCCTTTCTGGTCTTGCACGAGCTTACAGCCATTGTACCTCTATTCGGTCTCACGTTCGCATTCCACAAGTTCGACTGGTTACCGCCAGTTTTCTCGGAAGGTTACTGGGTCAAAGAAGGTGTTGAAAAGTTTGGAAGATATTTCAGGCGTAAGGGTTGGATCAGGGATGCTGATGGAGAGGGTTTCGAGGACGAGAAGAATAGAAAGGGATTTGCGAAGTGGTGGCCTAGGGGTGAGGATGGTGTGAGGTTGCTCGTTGAGTGAGTTACTGCGAGAAGATCTGAACAACTGAGAAGAAGGAATGCTGACAAAGAACTAAGGGTTGCAACGGCGTATGCCATTACAAAAGCATTGCTGCCTTTGAGATTGGGATTGAGTCTATGGCTCACACCGAGCTTTGCGAAGATATCGACACTACCGATCAAGAGGCTGTTTACAAGGAAGGCGGCAACAACTTCGGCCACTAAGGTAGCAGCTTCTCCTGCTGCAGGAACCAACGCTATAGGAGGGAAGACCACAAAGTGAAGATACCTGCTTGCATCACAATCCATTCACGTACCATACCAGGACCATATATCGTTGCCAAACGTCAATTCCTTCAGTAATCGGCAGAGTTGACACAGTTGGTAAGACTACTCTTTAATTCCCGATTGAAAACAATAAAACTCCTAGAAGTCCTTGATTCGACCCTCGAATGTAGCGGAACATTATGTTCTTTCTCTCTCTTGCAAAGGTAGAATACTTTGCGAGCAGGTTGGGGTTGTTCCAGTAATGTGGGTTTTTGCTCCTGCTAGTATAAGCAGTTCTTTTGGTCGAAACCCTGTGTCAAGAGTGATAAAATGATACACGAAGGTATGGGTGACTGGTCGCGTGTTGAGATCTTACAGGTTCTCGCGTTTGCAAGATGCTTCTGGATGAGTTGTTTGAATGATCCACAAAGCCCTGCATGTTTCAGTCGTGTTGTTTGTCGTTTTGACTCCGGTGTTTGCTGTCACTTACTGTAGTCTCAACAGCTTGCTCATCTGTCTGTATCTCTCGTCTCTTCTCTCCTCCCTCCTACTTCATCCCACACATCATTTGCACATCTGAACTCTGTGCCGAAGATGGCATCTTTCCAAACCAAACGTTGCGCCTCCGGCTCTTGCTTCAAGGATGGTACTTTGCATTGCGCTAAGTGCAAGGTTACCTTCTATTGCAGCAAGACCTGCCAGAAGGATCACTGGACCAAGCACAAGAAGCACTGCTCTGCTCACAAGCCTATGCCTGGAGGCACTTTTGAGTTTCTGAAGCTCAACCGCGACACTCGTGATAAGGTTTGTATCTTCCTGTGATTGTCTTTACATTACACCTGTTGACTCAAATAAACCAGGTCTATGAAGGTCTCCTCATCGCTCGCTTCACACCTGATCAGCAGGCTAAGCACGACTATCTCGCTGGTCTCAGGACTACTACCAATGACTCCTTGGGCATCAGAAACAGCCTGGATCAACTTGAAGAGCTCTTGATGCTCAGCCCCGGCATGCCACTCTGGGGTGTCGAGGGCTACCAACCTCTCGTCAACGCCCGAGGTCTTCTCAACGCCAACAAGCAGATCAACGAAGAACTCATCAGCACTCTGTTCACCAAGAACACTTTTCTGATACCTGTGGGCGAGCAGTTCCGCTATCAGATCACTGGACAGTTGTTTAGCTACAGACTCGCTCCTTCTTCTCTGGCTCAGATCAAGCATTTGGTTGTTAGTGTGTCAGCTCAGTCCGATATCAAGCATCCTCGTCACAGTGATGGTGTTGCTGCTTTGAAGCACAACTTCAACCATGTCGTCAAGAGTCTCAATATGCTTGGTAACACTCTGGAGTCATTGACAATCCGCTTCAACAGCTGCTTTCATGGTGAAGTCGAGGAGTTGCGTGCATACGTTGATCCTCTGCTTACCAATACTACCGCTCGTCCTGTTCAGATATTGCGTGAGGACAACACCATGTAAGTTGAAACTGGGATGCGATACAGAACTTGATGAACTGATCTGTGTTCTTAGATTCACCTTCACCCCCAACAACATCAGACAATTCTATACCTCTGGCTTTGATCTATGCGATGCTTTCGAAAAGCTGAACACTCCAGTCAAGAACTTCCAAGTCTACGGTGATCTTCCTGGCGAGGTTGTCAACCGTCTGAACAGCAGATTTGGTGTTGCTGCTAAGCAGGCGCTGTCGCTCACAACAACGACGGCAACATCGATGGCGGTCCTATACCTGCTACCTCCAAGCCTCCTTCATCAAGTACCGCTTCTGCTAAGCCCACCGCCCCTCACCGCGACCCTACCGGCCAATCCCGCGACAGCCTCGCCGATATCGTCAAGAGTATGGTGGAAAAGAACCCTGGCGACAAGAAGATGGCTGAACTTGCTGAGCAGCTCGCTGGCAGGCCGATTAGAAGCCGCGAGGTGAATGCTATGTTGTTTGGTCCACCTACCCCTGAGGAGCTGGAAATGATCCATCAGATGAAGCGATGAGGCAATTCTATTGCGAAAGGTTTCATTTCGAGGGTTTCGCGGATTGGTGGTACTTTATGACATATAGAGGAGGTTTGGTCGGGATGGATGTCAACATTTGCAAGTAGAAGTGAGGAGTTTCATCGTAAGGCTGGGACTGGTATTTATTTTGTCAAACAAGACTAATTAGATATCCTGCCCACAAAATCTGCATGTAGTCTCCTGCTCCGGCCATCCTTGCAGAACTATGCTCTCTACTTACTACCAGCCAACTTAGTAATCGGCAACACACCTGGGAAGAAGCTTGCCGGCATAGTAGGAATAGGAATACTCTGCGTAGTTCCAAACGCCGTCTTTAGATCCGCAGCCATAGTGGGAGCAGCATACCCAGCAGGAGCCTTGCTAACCCATTGCGTAGTAACAGGATAAGACGCATAGCTAGTTCCAGACTTGAGACAAAAGCCGCTGCCGTACGCATTCTCGCACGAGTAGAATTGTGAGTTTCCTGATTCAGTCCACATGCTGAAGTCAGTGATGGAGATATCGTGGCAAGGTGCTTTTGCCGCGCAAGCGACTTTGATGGGACCGCGGGAAGAACCCTTTGACTCCGTACCCGTCCAATTCGAGATCTGGAAATTGGAAAGTTGAACACCGTTTCCAGCGATTGTCTTCATTGAAGACCAAGCTTCGTCAAGAGTTAAACTGTAGGCATTTCCATGACCGATGAAGTTCTCGAGTACGACATTAGAGACTGAGCCAGAGCCACCGTTGGATTTGAGCATGAACATTTGGTTGCTGGACCAGGTGTAGACGTTCCTGTAGGTGATGTGGGAGACGTCTGTGTCGGTGCCGAAGGAACCCATACCGCAGCCGCCAGACCAGTTGCAGTAGATGTTTTCGACGAGGATGTTCTTCGAAGGGCTTTTGACTGTAACACATTCGTCTGCAGATGGTTAGATCGGTGCTTGTGAGTCTTAGTGTGGTGCAAAATCGAGACTGACCTTTGTTGGTGACCATGACATCGTGAACCCAGATGTTGTTGCTCCAAACGTCAATACCATCGAGACCGCCTTCATTGCCACCACGGATAGCCATGTTGTAAACTTCACCATTCGTGCAAGTGTCAATGGAAAAGTGGAAAGAAGGCGAGTCGACCAGAGTAACATCATGAACAGAAAAATTGGTGATATCCCACAATCTCAAGATTCTAGGGCCCGAGATGCTGCCTTGTTTGTGGAATTCATATCCATTTCCTTGAATGGCTCCTTTACCAGTAGACGAGAACATCTCGAAGCTAAAATCAGAGTGTTAGGATGAGACTGATTGTAGAACAGCAAGAAAACATGACTTACTTATCACTGTGCTCAATCATAATCATGTTACCACCATCAGTACCAGTACGGGTGATGATACCATCAAGTTGCAAAGCCCAATTGTTGCCATTGGCTAACTTGACCCACTGAGACATGGCATAATTGCCAGTAGGGATAACAACAACACCTCCAGTCTTGCAAGCATTGAAAGCACTGTTGAGAGCAGTACTAATATCAGTTTTGCCATCAGCGACAGCACCGTATTTGGTGATATCGCAAGTCTTCACGGCAGCTTTGGTGGCATGAGATGTGGTAGGTCCGACTTTGCCAGAAAGCTCAGCTGCGACCAGCGCAGGTAGAGCGACAGCAAGTGTCAGAAGAGAAGAAAAGGAATGCATTGATATAGAATGACAATAAAGATACAAACGAGGGAATGATGGGCGAAAAAAGGAACACAACGACCGAAGAGCAAGTGGGCAGTACCTACCTGATATGTCAGTTGACAGCCGCAGGGCTTCTGCTAGTATAATTCAGATTGATTGGGTTCTTCTTGAACAGAAGGTTCACAGAAACTATTGCTCCATTTTTCGCAGCACCTTATGGTTCGATGAAACGGATTGAGAGAAGCCTGGGCGGTCATGTCTGGGGCGAGTGATCAATGTGAAACCGCTCCCGCGACCTCTCCATGATCATTGACGGGTCGGAAGAATTTAGTGAAGGGCCACCAATTAACAGTCAGAACATATGAACGGGAGCATTATTGAAGAGGCTGACAGGTGCAAGACGCACTCATGAGATCGATCTGGGTCGCTTAGATTTGACGAAGCAAATGACAGTGAGATGAAACCCAAGAGTACAAAAATGGTTGCTTGTGCTCAACAAGCCCTAGCCCTAAGCCTCAGGTTTGGCTTCCGCGCAAGACTGCTACACCAAATTGATTGCTGGACGAAGAATGGGTCGTAACGATGCTCTATGATCATTCTCAAATATCTGCCAAATGGGGCAATGCGCCATCTAAATGCCCTCGCCTCGCGATGCAACATAACCAACCCCCTAGAACCAGCGCCCGCTCGAATGCAACAAGAAGAGAGATCATGTGTGGTTGATGTGTTCCACTCAGGCTTTCGCCTACTCCATTTTTGAGTCCTGCTCAGCTCCATTCTCTTGTTGCAAAGACTCGTCGCCGCCTGCTAGTATCTTTGTCTTGGGCACACTGCCCTCGTTCGGGTTGCCTCCTGGTGTTACGGCTGACACCTTTCCGTTCTCGTCAACGAACTCAAAATTGTACCGGGATAGTAAGTGGGGAATGGCAGAGAGTTGAGGACCGTAGCGCTGAGCGTTGTCGTACAGCTCAAACAGCGGCACAGCAAGTAGCTTCATGTTCTTTGGGACGCTCAAGACTTCTGTAGGTGATGTGTCAGCATTTGTTGGGCGGTTTGGGATTATGCACAACATACTGCTCTTGGGTAGTTGGATGAAGTATAGCTTCTTGCATTCTTTCGGCCGCGAGACATGTGGAGGGATGAAGGGATACATGAAAGTCTCGAAGTTGGGTCTCCACCATTGGGCAAGAGTTTCGCCAATCTCCCATTCGCCTTCGTTGCCGTCGTTGGAGAATTGGTTACCCGAGGGAGCAAGTCTTTCGTTCAAGCGGATCTTGAAGCCCTCAATCTCGTCGGCATCGTGTGGTAGGTAATCTCCAGGAAGTTTGAAGAAGGCGTTTGCGATTTGCAGCATGAGGACGTGAGGGTGGTTGTGATCGTGGCATACAAGGATACCTTCGCAGGTCCTTCTCATGCCGTATTCATCATAATGTTCTTCCAGGCGCTTTAGGCGAGCGAGGACTGAGGGATCTTCTTCTGGTTGGGTCTCTTTTGTGCCGAAAGTGTAGTTGCTCAAAGGATACAGTCTGACGGTCTTTGGTTGATGTGCATTGAAGTCTGGCGGAGCTATCGGACTGGAGAGGGACAATCATGATCAGTCGTGGGCGTAGTGCAGCGATTGTGCTTGACATACGGGTATGAGCTCTGCTGAGCATCTTTCGAGACTGTCGTCATTGTTGGACAGAACGGGTGAAGGACGCGTCGGGTTACTCTGTGACTATAGAAGGACTAATTAGGGAAAGCGAGGAAGCGAGAGGTGTTGTGAGAAGCTGGAAGCGAGAGGTGTTGTGAGAAGCTGGAAGCGATTGTCGTTCAAGAGATGAGTGTTCAGAAGCAATTGAAGACAACCGGACCTTGACGCTGTCTCGGCTCGAGATGCGCGACCGCCGAAGACGACGTGGGTGAAGTGTTTTGTGGGGAAGCTCGCTCCTGCCTCTTCCCAGCTTCCACTCTTCTTCGAAACCTTCCTCCCTCTCCTTCTCTTTTCCTGTTTTGTATCTGCAACCTTGCCGTGTTATCCGACAGGTAGCAGTGCTGTCAGCAAGTGCGACTTAGAGTGCATATGAACCTAGACATACGGCCAAGTGATTCTGTTTCTCTTACTTCTCCCTTTGACGTTGACTTACCATACCCTGCCACCTGTTTCCTGCGCTCATCGATTAATCTGCATAACCTAGCTTGCCTACCGGCTCTAAAATGTGTCGGTAAGTACTTCGCAATGTACTCGCAGCCACAAATACCGATACTTTTTACAGTTGGTTCGCATACATTTCGCCAACCGAGCCTTGTCTCCTGTCCGATGTCCTCATTACCCCTAAGCATTCTCTCACCAACCAAGTCAACGACCACTACCTGCCTGGCCTCATCGCCCACCTGCCCAACAAGATCACCGCCGAACACGAAGCCAATGCCCGCAACCGCGTCCTCAACGCCGACGGTCTAGGTGTAGCCTGGTACACTTCCTCCTACAGCGACTTTGAAAAAGGTGCCACTGGCGAGAGCGAAGATGGCAAGCCCCACGAAGGTCTCAGACCCGCCGTCTACAAGACCATACAGCCTCCCAAGGGCGACATGAACTACCGTTCCATCTGTGCCAATACCGAGACTCGCTGTGTCTTTGCCCACATCCGTGCCACGTCCGAGAGTGCCGTTACTCAAGTCAACAACCATCCCTTCATATTTGGAAAATTCACTTTCATGCACAATGGTGCAATTTCAGATTTCACCGCCATCAGACGTGCCATTTGCGATATGCTGGATCACGACACCTACGCCAACATTCAAGGTAGCACCGATAGTGAGCACATTGGCGCCCTTTTCATGCACTTCCTGTCTTCAGGCAAAGGTGCAGACACTTGGGATGAGGACTACTCGGCTCAGGCAATAGCACATGCTCTTCACACAGCTATCAAGACTGTCTGCAACCTGCAAAAGAAGATCCTTGGACCCAAGAGGAGGCCCAACAGCTTGAACCTCGCAGCTACCGACGGCACTCAGATGGTCGCATGTCGCTTCCGAAACCACAAAGAAGAGCAACCTCCAAGCTTGTACTTCTCAACCAGAGCCGGCACCACGCTGAATCGCAAGTACCCTGACCATCCCGATGGATGTGACAGATCCGATGTGGGTCCAAGAAAGGATGAGCAAGAGCACGGTAAACACGTCATTGTCGCTAGTGAGCCCAGCACCTACATAGAAGAGGACTGGAACATCATCAACAAGAATCAATACCTCATCGTCCACAAGGATGGCAGGTTTACACTGCAAAACATGCTCTACTCCGAGTCATGGAATGCCGACGATGAAGAGGCTTACAAGGCGATTGCGGCTGAGGCTGAGAATCAGAAGACAACTACTGCTGAGATGGAAGGTCTGAAGGCTGACATTACTGAAGCAGAGGGTCAGAAAGCTAGCAAGGCTGAGTCGGAAGGTCATTAGGTGCATTGAGGTAGGTATCTCTCTATAGGGTCGTGGTATCATCAATCATCGTCTCATAGTCTCAGCTCACTTCGCAGCGGCCGGTGCAGGATCAACAGGTGGTGCTTCCGGAGCTTTCTCTGGTGCTTTGTCTGGTGACTTTGTAACCACAACAACTTGCTCGGTGACTGTAGGTGGTGCAGGTGGGGGCGCGGGTGCAGGTGCAGCTGGTGTTGAAGAGACAGGTGTAGGTGGTGGAGGTGCGGCTGACGGAGGCTTGTACTCGATGGTCTGAACAACAGGAGGTGTAGAAGATGTGACTGGTTCAGGCTAGTACACACATATCCGATTGTTCGTGGGGGAAGTATTCTGACCTTGGACAACGTTGGACTTGGCCAACTGCGCAGGATTTTCGACAACAACAATAGGTTTGCCAGTCTTCTGCTTCAACTGCCTTGCATGCTCGGCGACAAGGCAAAAGGCATAGATCTGTCCGGGAAAGAAACTAATCGCGCACGAGGGTTAGTGAGATGTAGTTGAGAAGAGTAAACAGACAAGGGAAACGAACAAAAGGAGACCGAGAAGGAAGCAGATCAGGACTTCGTGACCACAACCTCTCATCAGGAAGACAGCGACTGCGGGAGCGATCATTGCAACGAGGAGAATAAGCAGTGTTTCGTTCTCGTGGAACCTTTCAGGCATCTTGGTAGTGTTGTTGCTGGAGGATTGTCTTTGGAGCTGATGTAGTCGGGGGCTGAGGAGTTTATCGGGACAAGAGGTTGAATTAATGTATTTCCAAATGAATGTATGGGCGACAATCCCGATAATTGTCCCCGAGATATGAAGAATGGGTCTTGATGTAAAGGATAGTGGAGGACTTTGGATGAAAATCTTGAGATTCGTCTCCAGATGGGACTATTTTCCTTTGCAAACATTAATGGAAGGAACCACCAGGGTTGCTGCGCGCGTCATCATGTGGCTGGTGCTGTGGCTGCAATTTCCTTCTTCGGAAGACATAAAGAACAAGAGGGATTTGTTGCGCAGCGTGCATCTCCAGCACAATGTCCAAGAAATGACCATGCAAACACTGAGAAAGAATATACAGATGCGAGATACACTTCTCCATGTTTGAATCATCTACAAGTGTCAAATCCTCTGCATTGCAATAGCTAGAGTAGGTTTACTTGTCAAGAATAGTGTCGGCTAACAGATCCTCCCCTGTTCATTATCAAGTTCCCCAATGACCCCTTCATGTGAATAGTGACGTTATGGTGTCTCTCAAGCTAACAAAACAACAAAAGGCTCAAGGACTCCTCAATCTCTCTCCTACTATCCCTATAACCTCTAACTCGTCAAAAACATAATCGCAATGCCTGACCCATCTGTTCCCCAAACCTACGAAATCAGACCTGACCCTCAGGCTTTAACTGGCAACAAGGAAGATCCCAGCCAAAACGCATCTTCTGGAGTCGATTATGAACCTCATCCCGAAAAGAGCATCAAGCTTGAACCAGAAAGAGAAAAGATTGTGAAATCGATCTGTGCGCTTTACTCTGGTGGTGCGAGCGAGGAGCTCATGCAGGTCTATTCTGACAAGGCTGTATATGATGATCCTTGGTATGTGTAAAGAGAAGACACCCGAAGAGGCATTGCGAACGACTCTTTGCTGGAGGTGCTGGAAGCTTCACATTCTCACACCTACAAATCAATTGGAGAACAAATACTGACAAGAAACAGGTCATACTGCGATACCCGCTACAAGATCGCCGGCCAATGGTACGGCATTCCCAAAGTCATGGCCAAATCACAAACCCTTAAGACCGAAGTCGTCGACTCGCAACCAGACCGCATCATCTTCAAGCTTCAACAAGAATACACACCCAGAGTCGTCCACTTCACCAAGCCAGTAAACAGTCTGGTTACTCTGACATTGGACGAACAAGGCAAAGTCAAGTATCACAAGGACATGTGGAATGAGAAGGACTACTCGCATGAAGGCTTGGGCAAGGTCATGAAGACTCTGAATGGTGATCATCTGACTAAGGTGAGTTCATACTCGACATGAAGGGAGGAGTGCATACTGATTTAAGTTATAGATCACCCAACCGCCAGAGACTTTGTAGATGTGCTTCACGAAAACCACGAATCAATGAAAATTCTAGAAATATTTAATCTAGTTCTATCCATACGAGCTCTCATCAAGCCAAGGCTTCAGCACCCTTGACCTTCCAATCATTACCATCCTTGACGACCGTGATAGTAGCCAGCTCCTTATTGTCCGGATCCACCAACTTGAAACACGACTTCTCGTTAGGGAAGAACGTCTTGACCTCGACGTCCTTAGTCCAGTCCCAAGTCGTTCTCTTCTCTCCTTCCTTGCCAAGTACCAAAATAGATCCTTCCCTGACATACATGGGTAGCGTGTCAAACTGATGCGTCTCCTTGACCCATTTGGGTCCTTCAACAACCTGGCCATCCCAGAAGCTAGTCCATTTGCCTGCAGGCAGATAGAACTCCACCTCTCCACTCTCGTCAAATACTGGCGCAATCAAAAGATTTGATCCCAGCATGAATTGCTGATCACACAGCCAAGCCGTCTTGTCTTCTGGAAACTCGATTGCCATGGCTCTTACGCTGACAGGCCAACCGTGCTTGATGCTCTCCATAGCCGTTGAGTAGAGATAGGGCATCAACCTGCACTTCAACTGCGTGAATTTCCTCAGCACAGCACTGCATCCTTGCTCGCTCTCGTCGTTGTCGTCCACCAGCCAAGGAACGCGATAGCTATTGCTACCATGCAATCGTGAGTGCGAGCAGAGGAGTCCAAACTGCACCCAACGCTTGTAGATTGCTGCGTCCGGAGTACCCTCAAAGCCACCGATATCGACACTCCAGAAGGAGAATCCACACATACCCAGGGACAAGCCACCGCGCAGAGATTCAGCCATTGCTTCAAATGTACTTTCGCAATCTCCACCCCATTGCAAGGGAAACTGCTGTGTTCCTGCCGTAGCAGCGCGAGCAAACAAAACAGCTTCATGCTTCCCAAACCTCTTCTGCAGTGCCTCATAAACCACTTTGTTGTAAACATACGCATAGTAATTATGCATTTTTTCTGGATCCACGGTGGAGTCAAACCATTGAACATCCTTGCTAGGGATTCTCTCTCCAAAGTCCGTTTTCAGACTATCGACACCGATATCGAATAGTTTTTCCAGGCAAGAGGTGTACCACTCAACAGCAGCCGGGTTTGTAAAGTCGATAATACCCATCCCGGTTTGCCAAAGATCCCATTGAAAGATATCCCCATTCTTGCGTTTCAGCAAAAAGTCTTTGGAAACCGCTTCTGCGAAGATGGGACTTGCTTGACCGAGATAAGGGTTTATCCACACACAGACTTTATTCATTAGTCCAGAAGCCTTGAGGCGAGAGATACTAGCTTTAGGATCCGGAAAATGGTCAGGAGAAAACACAAAATCGCACCAGTGGAATGCGCGAAGCCAGAAACAATCGTAATGGAACACTTGGACAGGGATGTCGCGGGCTTTCATGCCTTCGAGAAAAGATAAAACGGTCTTGTCGTCGTAGGAAGTGGTGAAGGAAGTGCTAAGCCACAAGCCAAAACTCCAAGAAGGTACTTTGGCAGGTTTGCCGGTGAGAGTTGTGTACTTGTCTAGAATGTCTTTTGGGGTGGGTCCATAGATGATGTGCCATTTTAGGCGTTGGCCTTGGATGGAAGTTTGGAGTCTGCAGCATCTTTCACTCCCGACTTCTAGATCTACCTTTCCCGGTGTGTCGATGAAGATCCCGTAGCCCTTGCTGCTCAGCAGGAAGGGAATGTTCTTGTAGGCTTGTTCGGAAGAGGTACCACCGTCGGCATTCCAGAGTGTGATTGATTGACCCACTTTGTTGAGGGCTCCGAAGCGTTCGCCTAAGCCGTATATTTGCTCTCCAACACCTAAAGTGCTTTGGGTTAAGATATAATGCTTGATGTCACGCATATCTGCTGTCTGCATAGGACTGCTGGTTGCAGGGTCGTAGGCAAATCCCACACTACGATTTAATAGTGAGGTTAGTTTGTGCTTGCCGTCTTTGCTGTGGAAGCGAATATCGAAGGTATGAGGCTTTGAGGATACTGTTGCTGAAAGGTTGCCAGCTGAGATGGTGGTTCCTTGTTCTGTCTTTTGGATGCTGGCATTTACCTCTGGTCTTCCAGAGGTAAAAAGGTTGAAGTGTGGACCTTTGTTTAGAGCGCCATGCCAGTGGGTGACTTCGACAGAGATTACATCGTCCATAACGGCTTCCAGGTCCTATATTTTGTTGGTCTTATATATGATTCTTCTAGTATCTTACACATACCACTGTCAAGGTAGGTCGATTCAGAGTATCACCTCTGCTCCGGATCTGCATGGTAGGACACAGAAGTGCGATCTTCTTACCATCCTGAGCTTCGCTGATAGAAAAAAACTCTTCTGCATATTCGAGTCGTTTGCCCTCGGCGACCAGCCACATGCCTAACCAACCCGTAAGCACTTTATTACAACTTTCTATAGTCTGAGCAACTTACCATCGCGGAACTTCATCTTTGGCAGTATAAGGAGAACAGCTTGGGAGAACAAATGAAAAAGAGCAGAAAGGGGTGTTTACCTACATAGCTAGACTTCAATCCTTCAAGACCTCATACGAAGATCACCAGCGTGATACGGCGCGGGGTCTCGTGTGGTTGGAGGGGTTTACGGAGAAATCGTCCCAGGTAGGAAAGGTGTTTGCCGAGCCAACGTATACAGGCTGAACACTTGCATTGCCAACTGATACCACCGGAAGAATTGCTTGATATGTAGAAGGATCTGGCAAGCATGACTGTTTGTGCAACGAACAGAGGGGTTTGTGTTACTCGGCAACATTTGTGGTTGTCGTTCGGGGGCTGAAGCTTGCAATGAACCCCACGGCGATCACGAAGGTTGCCAACCATGCGTCTCGATAGGATGACATTGAAGATTCAGAGATTCTACCTTCGATGGTGAATACTGAAACTGACCCAAACACTTGATGAATCCATTGCACTTCTCGCAACAGAAGAAGGAGGTGACAACTCATGCCAAGCCATTTCGTCATAGGCATATGCATGAGAGCTCCATTTCCAAGAGCAAACACTCTCTCTCTTCCTCGACATTCTGTAGGGTCTAAGAAGTAAGTAGCATCACATTTACATCCTTCTTCTCTATCTTCAGTTCCAGCCCAAATCATCTTCTGTATCCATTTCTCAATCGCTTTCATCATGCCCGATCTTGGATTCGACCCACTCAACCGCGAGCCCCCAGCTACTGAACTAGTGTCATCGTTTCTTACAACAAAAGATGCTTACGACCGCAATCATGGAGACATACCAGAAATCGATGCCTCAAAACACCAAGTTCGGGTAGATGGAGCCGTGCAGACCATACTGGACCTTTCAGTGTCCGATTTGGAAGCCCTGCCTCAACATACTGTTGTCTCTGCGCTCCAATGTGCTGGCATTAGAAGACATACGATGCGCACAGCTATCAAGGAAGTACAAGGTATTGATTGGTTTGATGGAGCTGTGATGAATTGCAAATGGCGAGGACCAAGACTCAAGGATATCTTGGAGAAAGCGCAGGTTATTCTCTCCAAGGAAGAGAAAGGCCATGTAGCGTTTGCAAGCCATGCACAGACCTGTCAGGAGGATGAATGGTACGGAGCTTCGATTGATCTTGGGAGAGCACTTGAAGAAGACAAGGATGTCATATTGGCGCTCGAGGTAAGAATGTGTGATTCTGAATCATGATACATGCAAGCTGACTCTCGCAAAGATGAATGGAGAGCCACTTAGCAAAGAGCATGGATTTCCTGTTCGAGTGATAGTTCCCGGTATTGCTGGTGCCCGAAGTGTCAAGTGGCTAGATCGCATCACGGTGCAAACGGTAGAGAGCTCCAACTACTATCAACAACACGATTACAAGATTCTGCCACCAGAAGCAGTGGACAGCGAAACTGCCGAGAAGTTTTGGGATATGACACCAGCGCTGCAAACTATGCCGGTCAACAGTGCCATTGCTGTGCCTGAGCCCGGATCGAAAGTGGAGAGGTCAGCAGATGGTATGGTGCTTGTCAAAGGATTTGCTTTGCCCAGTGGAGATGGTGGAGAGGTAGTAAAAGTTGAAGTGTCAGGAGATGATGGAAAGACATGGGTTGAAGCAGACATCGGGCATGATGCAGATGAAAGTAGGTGGTCGTGGAGGTTGTGGAAGGCAAGCGTCAAGATGGAGGCAGGCAAAGGTCTATGTATCTTCAGCAGAGCTACAGACGCGGCTGGAGAGACACAGCCGAAGCGATCGCAGTGGAATTTGCGAGGAGTGGCGTATAATGGATACGGAGAGACGACAGATCTCGAGGTCTTGTAAAGAGTAGAAAAAATATGAGAAGAATAAAAAGAAATAATCAGGCGCAGTTTCCTTGAATCAGGACGGGATGGCTTTGTGGTCTGTGCGGGCTGCTCGTTTCGACGTCACGGCAGGCGGACGACGTGAACCTTCGAAGACACCCAATTCAGCAGTCTAGACAGTTGCATGCTAGGTTTGCGACCCAGACTTGTTACGCGCCCGTCTCTTATCGATCTAGTCAACAAGAAGGACTCTGATCGCCCCGACGTCTTATCGCCCGTACAACAGGATTCGCCGTCCGTCGACCTCCCCACGAGCCCCATAGCAGACAGCTCAACCACCACAACCACAACAACCACCATGGCTCCCTCAAGAGATGTCGAGTCCCAGCAGGGTGAGTCCGCCTTGCTGACCCTCATCATCATTCACTCAAGCTGACCGAACATGCACAGGCTCCATCTTCTCCGTATCGGGGTATGTCGCCTTGCCCGTCCACCGCCGTCTACCACCTACTAATGCCCGTTCTTCAGTCCCGTCATCATCGCCGAGAACATGATCGGTGTCGCCATGTACGAACTCGTACGTACCGCCTTTGCTTGGAACATACAATGCGCAATACTAAGAGGAGCAGGTCAAAGTTGGCAAGGACGGTCTCGTTGGTGAAGTTATCAGAATCGACAATGATAAGGCCACCATCCAGGTCTACGAAGAGACCGGTATGTTCGCATATACACTCAAGCTACGATCAGTCAGCTGATTCAGAACAGCTGGTGTCACTGTTGGTGACCCCGTCTTCAGAACTGGCAAGCCCTTGTCCGTCGAGCTCGGTCCCGGTTTGATGGAGACCATTTACGATGGTATTCAGCGTCCTCTTAAGGGTATCTCGGACGTCTCCAACAGCATCTACATTCCCCGTGGTATCGACGTGCCCGCTCTGGACCGTGAAAGAAAGTGGGACTTCAAGCCTGCTGGCTACAAAGTTGGCGACCACATCACTGGTGGTGACGTTTTCGGTTCCGTTTGGGAAAACTCGCTGCTCAGCGACCACAAGATTCTCCTTCCTCCCAGAGCTCGCGGTACCATCACCCGTATCGCAGAGGCTGGAAGCTACACCGTCGACGAGAAGATTCTCGAGGTTGAGTTCGAGGGCAAGAAGTCCGAGTACAGCATGATGCAGGAGTGGCCCGTCCGTGTCCCTCGTCCTGTTAACGACAAGCTCGGCTCCGACTCGCCCTTCATTGTCGGTCAGCGTGTCCTCGACGCTCTCTTCCCCAGTGTTCAGGGTGGTACTGTCTGTATTCCTGGTGCTTTCGGTTGTGGCAAGACTGTCATTTCTCAGTCTGTCTCCAAGTTCTCCAACTCTGACATTATTGTCTACGTCGGATGTGTACGTTTGACCCCAAATAAGAACACCACGCAACCGAGTTTGGCTGTCAGGCAGAGTCGTGGTGTTTCTTCCGATCATACTTCAGAGACAAGCTAACTCTTCTTGTGTTTAGGGTGAACGTGGTAACGAGATGGCCGAAGTCTTGATGGACTTCCCCGAGCTCACCATCGACGTCGACGGCAAGAAGGAGCCTATCATGAAGCGTACCACTCTTATCGCCAACACCTCCAACATGCCCGTCGCTGCCCGTGAGGCTTCCATCTACACTGGTATCACCGTCGCCGAGTACTTCCGTGACCAGGGTAAGGACGTTGCCATGATGGCTGACTCCTCTTCTCGTTGGGCTGAGGCTCTTCGTGAGATTTCTGGTCGTCTCGGAGAGATGCCTGCTGACCAAGGTTTCCCTGCTTACCTCGGTGCCAAGCTTGCATCTTTCTACGAGCGTGCTGGCCGTGTCACTGCCCTTGGTAGCCCTGACCGCAAGGGCAGTGTTTCCATCGTCGGTGCCGTCTCACCTCCTGGTGGTGATTTCTCAGACCCTGTTACCAGTTCTACCCTCGGTATTGTACAGGTCTTCTGGGGTCTCGACAAGAAGCTTGCTCAGCGTAAGCACTTCCCTTCGATCAACACTTCGCTCTCTTACTCCAAGTACACCACCTCGCTTGAGAAGTTCTACCAAGAAAACAACCCCGAGTTCCCTCGTCTGCGTGACCGCATCAAGGAGCTTTTGACCACTTCCGAGGATCTTGAACAGGTCGTGCAACTGGTCGGAAAGTCTGCTCTTGGTGATGGTGACAAGATCACTCTTGATGTTGCAACCCTTATCAAGGAAGACTTCCTGCAACAAAACGGTTACAGTGATTACGATCAGTTCTGCCCTCTATGGAAGACTTTCTGGATGATGAAGAACATGATGAGCTTCCACGATGAAGCTCAGAAGGCCATCTCCCAAGGCCATGCCTGGAGCAAGGTCAGAGAGACTACTGGTGAGATCCAGAGCGAACTCAGAAGCATGAAGTTCGAGCTTCCGGATGATGGTGAGGAGAAGGTTGTCAAGAAGGTGTGTTATAATCTTTGTCTATTTGAACATTTCGTCATGCTGACATGCAATGCAGTACGAGGACCTTTTGCAGAAGATGAACGAGAAGTTCGCTTCCGTCATGGACGAGTAGAGAAGACAATAGACGATTGTTTTGAGTGTGTTTTTGGGCGTTTAGATGGTCCTTCGAGGCTGTATATAATCTCATATTTTCAGAAGCGTTGTTGTATTGACATCCAAGTGTTTCCCCGCATCCGTGCTGTCCATCACTCCGCATCCGAGGTTCATGGTCATGTTTCCTCAAAACTTATTGAACATCACTCTTTAAACATACCATTTGTCTACATCTTCGGAATTGGCTACAATGTCACAATCCCCACCACTGACCGGCCTACGGGTTCTTGAATTTGCAGGCTTAGCTCCTGGTAATACTCTCAGCATTCGCCTTTATAGTTGACTACACCTTGCTGATGAATGTAATCAATCCACAGGACCATTCGCAGGCCTCTTACTAGCCGACTGGGGCGCCTCTGTCCTACGCATCGACCGCTCAGTCCCAGGCGCCCATACCTCTACCCCACCACCACCGACCTCTGACCTTCTAACCCGACACAAAACCTCTATAGCCGTGGACATCAAATCCCCATCTGGCATTTCTCTAATCCTGTCTTTGATACCGCATGTCGATATTCTGATCGACCCTTTTCGGCCCGGAGTTTTGGAGAAAGCAGGTTTGGGTCCGGAGAATGTGTTGTTAAAGTTGAATCCAAGGCTCATTGTTGCACGAATGACGGGGTTTCGCAGGGATGGAAAGTATAGTTCCATGGCTGGCCACGACATCAATTACCTCGCTGTTTCTGGAGTTCTTTCCCAGCTCGGTCGCAAGGAAGACACTCCCTATCCACCCGCAAACCTGCTCGGAGACTTTGGAGGTGGAGGATTAGTTTGCTTTTTAGGGATTGTGATGGCGGTTTTACAGAGACAGCAGAGTGGGAAGGGACAAGTAGTTGAAGCGAATATGGTAGATGGAGTCGCTTACCTAGGAATCATGCCTAGATTGGCTAGAAAGACACCCATGTGGGATAAAGGCAGAGGAGAAAATCTGTTGGATGGAGGGTGTCCTTATTACGATACTTATGAGTGCAAGGATGGGAGGTATATGGCTGTGTGCGTAATTCCCTCTTCTCCACCCTCCTCTCTTCCCAAGAAAGTTACTGATACCAAAAACAGAGGAGCACTGGAACCCCACTTCTTCACCCACCTCCTCAAAGGCCTAAACATCCCACTCTCTTCCCTCTCAGGCCCTAGAGACAACCGCACCACTTGGCCTGCCCTACGCACCCTCTTCACCCGCACCTTCAAGTCCAAGACTCGCGCAGAATGGGAAAAAATCTTCGATGGAACAGATGCATGTTGCACTCCCGTACTAACACAAGACGAACTGGAGGAAAACGGGTATGATCAACGACCTATAGTGACGCTTAGAGATTCTCCAGGCAAGGCTATTGCAGAGGGGGATGCTGATACGAGACCGGCGTGTGAGGGCCAAGGGATTGGTGTGCAGGGGAATGGGTGGGAGAGTAAAGGGTTAGCGCCAGGTGTTGGTGGTGAAGAGGTGCTGGCGAGATGGATGGGGTGGAGTAGAGGACGGCAGTATGATCTTGTTGATGGAGGACTGGTGCGGTTGGGTGGGGGATCGAAGCTGTAAGATAGTGTTAATAGCAGGCTTTCATACATTCTACATTCAGCATCGGCGACATTCTCTCCGCAATGAAAAGGTCCTCTCGCATGAATAATAGTACGCCTTCGTGGGCATTAATTTTACTGCGGGAATCTTCGCATCTTGAAGGTACTTTGAGTCAGGCTGTCATGTATGGGGAAGAGCGATGTTATTCATTATTCTATTGTACATCAATCGTTTATCGCTCCTTCTTCGTTTCGTGATCTTTCGCTCAATCCCCATTCGTGATCTCTAGCTCTTTCCCCGTTCGTAATCTGTCGTTCCTTCTCATTCGTGATCTCTCGATCCCTCCTAGTTCATCTTGCTGAGAGGGTGAGGGCGCTGAACTGAAGGACTGCCCTGACGACTCTGTGGTTCACGAGTGCCGGCACGAGGGCTGCGTGGAATACTGCTAGCACGAGTTCCAACACGACCACGAGGCTCACGCAGACGGTTGAGCTCCTCACTCATGCGCTGCATGGTACCTTCCCTCTCGCTCAAGTCATGACGCAACTTCTTGATCTCACCACTGTACTTATTGTTGAGAGCGTTGTTGTTTAATTCCTTCAGTCTGGCTTGTTCGCCGGATGCCTTGACTTCGAGTTCAGCAACGCTTGCGGTGAGCTGGTCATTGGCAGCAGCGAGCTTGGTGTTCTCGGTCGAAGCAGTCTGATACTGACTGGTCACATAGCCAAGCTGTGTCTCAGCCATCTGGGCACGCTTTGCCTCTCTGTCTCTTTCGACGGTAGCGGCAAGAGCCTCGGCCTTGATTTTCTCAATCTCAGCAATCTCAGGAACCGTGTGGTTGACCAAGGCGACTCTGGCGGTTTCAAGCTGCTTCTTCAAGTCCAAGACCTCGTCGCGAAGCAAAGTATTCTTGGCTCTAAGGTCGTTGTTTGAAGTGATCAATCTTTCCTCTCTCTGCAAGGCGTCATTGCGCTCCTTCTGAGCCTTGACCATTTCAGCACGCTGCTCTTCATGGTTGTACTGCAATGTCTCCATGGACTTGGTGAGTTCGCGTAGCTGCGCCTGGGCCTGGTGGAGTTCTTGAAGAGTAGCGGCATGCTGTGAGGCAGCCACAGAGTCGCTGACGTGCGAGTTCGACATGGGAAGTGTGCCTGGTGTAATGTGCATATCGGCAGGGTTGATTGTCAAGGGGAGAGACTTGTCAACGCGGACTCTCTTAGCCAAAGGTGCCTCATCGTTGTCCAACTGGCGTTTGTTAGACATGCCGTTGTTGTTGACCATGAGCTCATCTTCTGAGCCAGACTGACTCGAGAGTGCTTCAACCAATTGCAGGTTGGGCAAGCCGTAGAAAGGCCAGTCCGCCTCAGCCGGATTGAGAACCCAAGAGATGATGTCGGATGCCTTGCTCTCGAACTCAGTGTCGGCACCTCTGCTCTGCCAGCCAGCGGCCAGTCTCTCATTAGTGACAGTGCTGATAAGTACGTGAAGGCGCTCTGCTTCGGACAGGTTAGATGGAAGGCAACGCTCTACGTGCTCGATAGAGAGGGGAATGACAAGAGAGATTGTAGGGACAAGTGCGTCTTGAGAGAGCATCTTCTGAGTGCGTGTGATGGTATCGCTAGACATGCTTCCGTCGAGGACAACAACCATGTCAATATCCAACGATGATGGCGTCTCAATGGTCCCGACGCTGGTCAACAAGATGGTTGCTGTTGATTCGTGGTTGATGACGTTGTTCTGGCCGTCAATCACGTTGTACATGATACTAATTCCCTGTAAGAAGTTTTGGAGAATAGCAGCAAGCCTGCCAGGTTCAACAAGCAGTGCAATATGAAGGTTTTGACTCTTAGCCGCATCCAAAAGGCTCTTCAAGAATCTGAACTTTGAACTCATGGTCATGTCCCACTCTGCTTGAAGGGATTGGCTGGTTTGAGAAGCTGAAGACGTGCCCGGATTGTTGAGGTCGAGGTGGTTGACAATGTAGTGAAGTTGAACAACAAAATCGCGAGCCTGTTGAGCAAGATCAGAGTTGGCAGGCCAAACCTTATGCAAGGTGAAATCCTCAATCATGTTCTTGCAAGTTTCGAAGGCACATTTGTAGTGGTCCTTTTGAGACACGCCAAAGTCTAACGAAACCAAGTGCTGGTTGTTGTCAGACTCGGTGTCGACGGAGGCGTCATTCATAGTAAGGTCTTGCGAAAGATAAGGACGCGAAGTCCCAGCATTGATCTGTGGGCCTTGTCCGGGCAAAAGAGTCTCGTAGCGTTCGGAGCGAGAGTATTCTTCGGGTGTCTCTTCGGGAATGATTTCAACTGGAGGAACAGTTGAGGGTGAGCGGGCCTCACGATCACCAACAGCAGGTGACATGAGTCTGGCCGGAACTGCAGATGCAGGCTTGGGTGAGCGCACATCCAGGACTGGTGCAGCCACCCTTGAAGGAGTGGGAGTGCTTGGAGCAGGAGCAGCACCAGCAGTAGAAGCAGCAAGAGCGGCCTTTTCACGAGCGACCCTCTCGGCCTCAGCTCGTTTTTGAGCTTCAAAGTCGGCTGCGACTTTGGCTTTCGATGCTTTCAATTTTTCCACGACAGTCATAGGGGTGCCGTCAGGGTGGTGGGTAGGGCTCATATCGGATGTTGGAGTGTGCACACCGCTGAGCTCAGGATCAGATGTGCTCTTGATGGGCGAAGGAGCAGATGCACCGATTGTGTTGGGAAGATTGGACGGTGGGGATGCAATAGGACTCGATGGTATTGATACCCCCTCAGCAGACTCGTGCTGAATAGGTGGTTGATGAGCAGGTGCTTGGTGAGCAGGCTGGATCTGAGTGTTGAATCCAAGAGAAGAAGTTGCGACTTCCTCAACTGAACTCTGAGCAAATTCAAATGGTGGGATCTGCTGAGTAGGTGGTTGATGTAGTTGAAAGGAAGTCTGCTGAGCGGCTTGTTCCACGTGACTTTGCTGGTTGGTTGGTTGAGTCTGAAGGGACAATGTGTTTTGACCAGACTCCTGATTAGGTGCAGAAGGAGATGAAGGTGCTTCAGATTGCACTTCGTCCTGTGCTTGAGATGTAGCCGACAATTGTTGATGGGTCTCCGATTGCAACTGCGACTGCGATTGAGTTGATTTATCGGCAGCCTCCGTGGGTGGTGCAGATGAAGTAGAGCTTGAGCGCACAGCGCCAAGAGATACTGGCGATGGAGAACGTGTAGAAACGTGCTCAGCAATACCTTGAGCAATGAGACTTGATGCTGCCTCTTCAACGATCTTATTTCTTGTTGATAGTTCAAGTGATGGTTCGCTTTGAGTTGCAGGCGCAGCGACATCCGGCTGTGGGGCATCCTCAGGTTTCTGAAAAGGCAAGTTAGCCGAGCCAATCAAAACGCGTCAAACCGCGTCCACCAACGCGACAAGATCGATTAGATAACATAACAAAATAGTGATGGATACATTGTCATGAATAGGTGAATGGATAGATCTTACCTGTACCATGCTGCTCTCAGGAACAGGCTGTTCGTGGTTGGTCACCTGTTGGGTGGCGTCTGCTTGCTCAACAACAACCTGACTCTCAGTGGAAGCGTCCTCAAAAGTCTCCATCTGGTCGTCCATCTGTTGCTCTCCTGCGATCTGCTCTGAAATGTGCACACTGCTTGCGTCGAGATGACTCTGTGAGTCAGGGATCACAGCATCGGCACCAAAACGACGTGCCAGTGGAATTAGGAGTGTGTGGACGCTTGACGAGCTGTTAACCGTGCTGTTGACAAAGGTAGATCCAGAAGTGGCTCCTGGTTCGTAAGGAGAGTTTTTCGCAGAGAGGCTTGACGCAGCAGCAGCGTCAACCAAGTGCTGAGAGTCGGTAAGCTCCTCGGGACTGATGATACTCTTTTCGGGACGAGGTGGCTCTGGTTGTGTGCCGCTGATAATCTGTGACGAACGGAAATCACTAAATTCTTCGTTGAACACCGGCGATTGCTCTCGTCCAGGCGATGATGGCTGTCGACTAGGCGACTGCTTACGAGCAGATCTCGTCTCACGCTGCAGTTGTGCAGCAGCTGCGTCGTACATCTCACTGTCCTCAATCTCGGCCATGCTAACCTCTTCAGGACGAGATGCAGCAGCCGGAGTCGTGGGCTTTGATGGAGTGTTATCTTGACGAGGCACCTTTCTCGGCCTTCCTCTCTTCTTAGCAGAGGTTGGTTGAGCTCTCTCCCCGACATGTTGTACTTCGTCGTCAGAAAAATCGGTAATCAAGGGTCGCTTGCGATTCACCAGACGTTTGAGGGGGACATCGTCATCATCGTCATCGCTCAAATCAACATTGACAACCTTCGGACGTTTGCGACGTTGTTCTGAAGCGTGGCTTGTCTTCTTCTGAAGAGGACTTGACCTTGATGACCTACCAAGTCTCGCAGACTGCTGGTCTGTGTCTTCACCATTCTCGTCCTGCTCTCGCGCCTTTCGAACGACATCTGGACCTGGTAGCGACTTTCTAGGTCGACCGCGGGGTCGTGGAGGGGGTTTCGAAGGCATTTCTTCATCGCCGTCCTTTCTCGATTGTATGTCCGGGACCTCTTTGCGTGGTCTTCCTGGCTTCCTCTTTGCAACCTTGGGCAGTTTTGCTGAAGGTGGAGTGACTTCAACGGCAGCATTCGACCTCCTCTTTCCAAGATACAGCATGGGGCCTTTTGAACCAGGAGTCATTGTGCGCTTCGCAGGTCGCTGCTCGTCATCATCTTCGATTTCGATGACTTCGTGGGACGAAGAAGGACGGTCTGTACTCTTTCTCTTGCGCTTTCTCTCCTCGTCCGATGCTTTTTGCGTCTTCTTCTCTTCCCATTCCTGAATCGCGGCTTCGGTAACGTTTTGCTTGGGCTCCCAGGTAGGTTCGAACTTTTGGTCGTCGATATCTTCCCAGTCGACCAAATACTGCGTCTTGTTCTCCTTGAGAATACCGCGGATAGAGTAAAAAGGCTCCTCGGCCTGCTCGCTCAGTTGGCGGCTCTTGCGCTTAGAAGAGCCCATGGTGACATGCTCTTCCACTCGAGGGCCGATAGGGAGCTACGGCCGCAATTGTCAGCTTGTCACGGCATACTTTTTTTGTGTAACTCGCGTTGCTTGAGGGTCCTGAGGAGTACGCGACGGGTGTGGGGAAGCTTGGTAAATTGGGTAACGCGTAAAATTGGCAAAGAGAAGTCCGATTGGCGTCGCCGCTTTCCGCATGGGGTATTGTAATGACCCCAAGGTTGAACTGACTTACCTGATATATGTCAAGAGATCGATTCTTGGAGGAGATATCTTTGATCAACTTGGTCAAAGGGGCTTGATTAGGTGCGGAAAGGCACTCAATATCTGCGGAAAGGTAAGTGTCTTGCCTTGAAGATGAGCTTCGGCGGTAACAAGATTACTGCTAGGTCAGAAGGCTTAGGGCTGTCACCAAGCCGAGAAGGGATGAGAGTAGGAAAGAGGAGGATGGCTGACCTTGGGAAGGAGCGATGGATGTTCAGCCTTTCCAAAAGCTGAAGTTCTGAATCAAGGTAATCAAGGTAAGTGGTTTGCTTCGGGTGGCAGTGATGATACAACTGCCGTCGACGGGCTGTAGCGATTACCACACACTGCAGTGTTTGACGAAGGTGAGAGTGATGACAAGGAGGTATGGGAAGACCAACTAACCACGAAAAGATGTGAGACAGACTTATGTTCGTCGAGGAGGATTAGTTGTGTGACGGTCAAACAATGCGTCGGTCTGACGCCTGTGGTGATCAAAAGGCAAAAAAGTCTTCCGCACCGTCAACGCGGCGACAGCGAAAATGAAGGGAGTGTAATGAGCTCAAGAGAAGGAAGAAAACCATTCAGTGTACAGATTGGCTGTCGCGTAGACGTATACCATCAAGAAAAGTAGTGGAAGGAGTCTATGAAGAAAGTGGCCGGGTGACAGGCGCGCCAAAACGACTTGGTAAAAAGTTGGCGCTCCTTCCTCGAAAGTCGGCGGACCCACCTCCCAAAGTCGACAGAGCCATGTGAGGCACCCGAAGCAATGAGCAATATAAGCGAAAATGCTACGGGAACATGCATTCGACGCTACAGATTGGGCAGTGAGGAAGATCACTGCTGGTTCATCGTTCGCGATTTGACACATAGGAACAGCATTCAAAGTAGGAAGGCATAGAGTTATGGTTACAGGTAGAGAATATGAGTCTACATGCATGGGAGAAGACATGAGCAACAAGAGTTGTCAAAATAGAGATGCAAAAGACTCATTATCAAAGAGAATCAAGCATGCATTCATATCAGAACTCATGAAAGAGAAGGCGACCAGCACGTAAATGTAGAGTCTCATGAATAGCAGACGACCAGCATGCACAAGAAAACTGTTTGGAGAGGAACAGCAGTCATTGTTGAAGCACAAGAGAATCATCCACAAAGAAGGATATGATAGTTTCATGAAGAATTCTTGTAATTCATTTTCATTCGTACCAACGTCTTCATCTAAGAAGGCCAAATAGTCTTCGTTCCAACTATCGGAAGGGCCAAAATCTAAGTGTGCCATTCCTCTTCATCGCCATGTAATAGTAGCGTGTGCTGTTTGCCTTTTTCATAACATCATAGGGACAGAGATAACCAGTCACTGTGTCGTGTGACCTGCTTATTTGTTCTCGCCCTTGTCGAACTTCTCCTTTCTCTCGGCCTCACGCTTTCTCTCGTGCTCGCGAACAAGGTCTGGAGGGCTATCTTCGATAAGGTCGCTGGTGTCGTTGAGGCCAGACCACTTGGGTAGACCATCGGGGATGTCCATGACACGCTGGCCGTAGAACATGTGGCATCTGAGTATAACGTTAGAATGATAGTCAAGGACATGAGATGCGAAAAGATTGCATACCTGGGCTTGAAGTTGGCCTTGTCCTCATCGGTCTTGAGGTGGACCAAACTGGGGAACAGCAAGATCATGTTTCTACCCTCGTCCATGATGGGACTGTGGCAGAAGGAGCAGCGAACCTTGCAAGGAAGCTTGTGCTCGATCGACTTCTCGCTAGGGTCGTACCACTCGAGGTCATGGTGTCCGTTAGAGAAGTTGATGTCCTCCTTGTGGAAAATGGCGGCCCATTGGAAAGGTGCAGCTAAGATGTATATTAGTATTGATTTCCAATCTTGAAGAAGCAGAATAACATACCGTGCTGAGTCTGGCAAGTGGTGCAGTGGCACAGCTTGGAGTCAAGAGGTTCCTCTCTGCTCAGTTGGTACTTGACCTTGCCACAGTGGCAGCTGGCCTCGTATCTGGCCTTGAAGTGCTCATTGGGCTCGTGGATCTTATAAGGTGCACGCTTCTGCCAATCCTCAACTGGCTTCTCAGGCTTCTCGCCCTTGGCTTCTTTGGCATCCATGAGTTGCTTTTCGTCCTGGAAGCTGCTCGAAAAACGGATCGACTGTCTAGCGACGGTCGGTGCGATACGCGGGGCTGAAAGGCGGGTGAAGAGGGGTGTAGTTTTTGTGTGATGAGACGCTGTTTGAAAGCCGACTCTTGACAATGTCTTGAGAGAAAAGGAAGTGAAGGGTCTTCCGGACATTAGAGAAATTAGAGAAGTAGACAAAGGGATGCAGAAAACAAACGATAGCTGCGCATGATAAAATGCTGTCGAATTTCACTATGACACGCGATGTACGTGATGTCATTGTCTGTGCTGAAGCTCCATCTCAGATGCATGACAGCTACAATACGACAGAAACGGGTCTTGCTACCAAACTTGTGGGGTTCTCTTATACAGCAATTAATGATTCCCCTTGCTCGATTGTCGTCATGATATTGAGAATGTTGTAGGAATTGACAACAGCGAGCATGCTAAGCGAATACTCGTCACTGCTTGTAAGAAGGGATCTATGATAAGCTATGCGAGAGACTTCCCCACGAAAGTATAACCCTGTAATCGTGCATTAATGGATATGCTGGATAAGGTAATCGCATGCGTTTGCTATCGAATCCTGCCAGAACATAACTGTGGAGATATAGGAACGGCACCGATCGAGGATCAAGATTACTAGTGTCTGATGAATGAGGCTTGAACTACATGCTTCTTTTCAGCCTCCTTTCGATCCATATTATTAACCCTTCAACAGGTTCAGAGCCTCTTTTCGGGGTAGTCCTAGGATGTTTGTCAGGTAGTCCAGCCTGTCGAAAATTGTCAGCATTCAATAGTGCTCACGCGACATCCACTTCCCAAAAAGACAACTTACTTGGCCTCGCCAGCGATCCGGTCACTGTACTTTGCAAACTCCTTTTCCCTTCGGCTCCACGCTGCTAATCGTCGTTGTTCATCGACCTTCTTGATGCGGATCTTCAATCGCGCGCTGACCGGCCGATGATCGCTGACCCTGACTTCCCATCGTCGGTAGTCCTCGCATTTGACCCTGCCTAGACCCCTGTAAAGTACCCTGTCGCACCATGCTGGGGCCCGCTTCTTCTCACTCGTGTCATACTCGTCAGTACCCACGTTGTATTTGTACGTGGGTGCAAATGTGATGGGCAATTCCTGGAACACGCGTAGTCTAAACGCCGGGTTCTTTCTGCGCGAGAGCAGAAGTTGGTCGCGTTCGAGCAGCTTTGCCAAGTTTCTGTCATTGACAGCACGTACGACCGTGTCTCGCGGCATCGCATCAATACGATAGTTCAGGTCTCCATTGAGAATGCAAATCTCATGGTCCAGGATCATGCTGCCGTCGCCCCCACCTACAAAAGTACCAGCCATGTTATTCACAGCTGCTACTGGGAGACACTCAGCCTCAAGGATGGCAGCAACATCGTTGTTACGGTGAAGCGTCTGAGTCTGGCCTGCAGCAAGATGGCAATTCACCAAACAAACTGAACTGTCGTCCAGAATCATACGAATAATCAAAGCACCCTTGAACAACAATCAGAATATGCAAGATTGTGGTGGCAGAGATGACCTACCTTATTTCCGTGCAGACCGCCCATACCACGCTTGACTTCTGCGGTGTGCACTTGCTTGATACGGCCTCGAAGCGAAGTTTTGACAAACACGCAACTGAATAGACCGACCATGCTCGACGTGTGTAGGAGGGCGTAACCTTGATCGGCCGGCATGAAGTCTTCGATACATCTAGTAAGATGATCTCGCCAGGCTCTGTATTGATGCGACATGTGCTCTTGTTCTGTAGGGTCCTTTTTCCTACTCTTGAAGAAGCTCTCTGTCCAAGTTCTTAGTACTTGCTACCTGAGCAGAGTATGATGCAAGTGTACTTACTAGCTGTGACTTTTTTGTTTTCCAGGTCCACCAGTTCTTGGAAGCCGAAAACAAGGATGTCTGGAGGATTCTGCGAGGAAAAGTAGTCCCTGAAGAAGGCTGCGTCTTTTTCACTGCCTTTGAGATGATTGGGTTTGGAAGCGCCAGCATTCCATGTGAGCACTCCTGCAGTAATTTCCTCAAAGGAACAAAACTCATTGTCACTCTGCTGCATCTTGGTCTCAAGCCAGTCCTCACGAAGCATGCCATCCCATATTCTGATGGCATTGTCCAGGCCGAGACTGACCACTTGCAGACGATTGTCCATCTTCCAGATACTCTGCGTGTCTGTAATAATGCTACAGATTGGATTGTCATGAGCCACCCAATCCTTCATGACCCGCCAGGGCGAAGTGGATGTGTCGTAAACAAATATAGTCCCAGCAGTATAACCAGCCCAGAGATAATCTCCAGCTCCTGCTAGAGAGCTGATTTTGTACGGACTGATGCTGAATACACCAACGCATTTGAAATCGCGATGTTGGAAAACAGAAATCTTGCCATCAGCATGACCAAAGTAGACCAGATCTGGCTTGCTAGGTATGACAGCTCCAGCGGTTATATCACCCGCACCCTCCACTGTCAGTGGTTTTTGCAGGACGTTGAAAGCAGCCTCAGTAGGAGCACTTGGTTTAAACACTTTTATCTCTTTGCCTGCAGCAAGCCAAAGGTGACCACCAACGATGACTGAGCACGAGTGGCCGCGAAGAACTCTAAAGGTCGTAGGTACCGTGTTTAGGCTGGGCATACCTGCAGAACCAGGCGACCAAACATTGAGCTTGCCATCATCATCCAAGGACCATAGTTCGGAAGCATGGCGGAAGATTCTGATGATTTCTCGTCGAGGATGGGCGTTAGTCTTGGTGTACACGATCGACTGACTAGGGATGTCGACTTCGTGAATTTCACCAATGTTAGTTCCGAGCCAGAGTCGCCGCCCTTCATTCTCCGCATTTACTGTGGGTGCAAAGGCCAGTGCAGTCACCTTGACATTATCACCATGGGATAGGGTCAAACATGATTCGCCAGTGCGCAGACTCCATACACGCGTAATGTAGCCTGTCGTGCACACCAAATCTCCACAAACTGCAAAAGTGCGTGTATCGTAACCTGTGTGAATCTCCCAAGGCCGAGTCTTGAACCTTGGAGGGCGCCTGTTTGCTTGCGATGCATCCGGAAAGTCTTGAGGGTTACCGCCAGGATAATTGACGGGAGGATCCTCAAAGTCGTCAGCGTGTTGTGTTAACATGGGGGTGGATGGAATGTTCCTGAGATCTTCGCGACGGGTATCAACCGATCGTCGCGGTGCAGGGATAGCAGGAGGTGGTGGCCTGGTATTTGAGGGAGTTGCAGCAGGTGGTGGCTTGCTATTTGAGGGAGTCGCAGCAGGTGTGTGCGAATGCCTCCTGTCAAAACCCTGTGTCAGAGCAGAGCCAGATGTCTGAAGTGGAGGCGGTTGAGTACGGCGCGGTGGTGGCATCATGGTACTGTCCGTATTAGCAGTAGCTGCGCTCGTCCGACGCGGCAGATCGAGAGATTGACGAGCAGGAATTTTGTTGTTGAAGCGGGTAGGACTGGTCCGTCCAGAATGCAGTTCACGCTCGGGTCGAGGAGGCAACACTGGCATATCATCATCGTTAGACCCATCTTGCACCGCAATTGGGGCTCTTTGAGGTATCTTCTGGAGACGAGCTGACACATCGAGACGAGATGAGGAATCGTATGAGCGGCTCAGGGGTTTGGGGGAAGGATTTCGAGGTTGTACTGGAGCAGTTCGTGGGGCCATAACGCCAGCAAAATAGCCATGTGATGCGGATTGATTTCTAGGTTTCGAGTCGAGTGGGATAGAAGGAGCAACTTGCTCGGCGTGCGGAGTACTTTCTGAACTGCTTGGAGGCGTACCGAAAGGAGAGATTTGGTTGTTCCCAGTCTTGGACGGAATCATTGGTGCTAGACTCTCGACGCTCGCCGAGGTAAGACCACCGAGCTTTGGTTTACCAGCACGATTTACAGGTGGAGGACCTCCAAAATTGGGGCTTTTCGGCCTATGGTCGCCATTTGACTGAGGTCTGGTCTCGGGTTGTGTTTCAGAAGATTGAGAGGCCTGCAAGAAAGCCGACATGCGAGCCTCCAGCGCAGGAGTTGTTACTCGACTCGGAGAACGAAAGTGACGGATAGAGCCTGCTGGAGAGGCATTGGCGGAGGCTGGAGTAGACAAGGTCGAAGCAGGAGGAGACTTTTTTGGAGTCGCATTGGTGACACGAACATCAAGCTTTCTGGGCGGTGACGCAGGCGACTGTACGCTGACAGAAGGAGGAGATTGACGAGGAGTCAGAGGGTATGCTGTCGAGACGGGTCGCGGTTTGGGCGGAGGAGGCTTTGCTTTCTTCAATCCTTGAGATGTGTTGTCAGACACGACGTCGGTGATTGGCAGCGACCGTGGAAGGTCGAGGGACCTTCGCACATTGGAAGAGGCGTTGGATTGGAGCGGAGGGCGGTCTGTGTTCAAGTTCTCGAATCGCGAGCGCAGCGACGACACAGGCTTGATGGAGGATTCGTCCGTGGCCTGGTCGTCGTTGGCCATGGCGGCCAGACTTATAGTGGGTCAATCTCGTCGCTGGTAATGCCTTCCGTTGGTGGCAGCAGGTTGTGGTCTGGTCAAGAGTGCGCGGCGTCAACGAGGTGGAACCAACCGCTGCGGGCTCGAGCGGATATGATGGATGCAGGAGGTATGCGCGTCGAGAGATGGACAGAGGAGAAAGGCCAGACAGGTGTCGCAAGATGGCAGGGCGGTAGGGGCAGAGGCTGAGCAGGTCGTGTATGAATATGCCGAGTGTAAGATTGTGGGTTGGCAGGCTTCAATGTCGCAAGGTGGCAGTTCTTTGGGTCATAATTCGAATTGGACGGTATGCGCAGCCACGCGTATGCTTGCCCTTAGCTTCGCGTGCCCTTACCTTTGCTGCCCTGCTCTCCCCGGATTCTGAACGCCTTCCGGAGGCTCGTGCCCTGATTGCCAAAAGCTTATTATATGCCCGACTGACTGCAAAACACCCGACAATTACAATTGTCGCAAATCACCATCTTGTGCTGCCGGCAGCCTCTCCTTCTGTCTCACTCATTCCCGCCCACATTTACCACTTCACCATGTGGTAGGTACAATTCTATGTATAGAGTGACCTCGAGCTAACAAGGCTCAGCAAACACATCCTCAACGCCCAGGTCTCAATCCGCTCTCCCTGCTGCAAGTCCCTCCGCACCACCTCCGCCTTGTCGCAATTCCATCACTAACACGGCGCAACAACAGGCCGCAAATGGTTCGACTGCGCAGAATGCCACGCCGAGTCCGAAACACACAATCTCAAGCCCACCCTCGAAATGGTCTTCGCCTGCAAAAAGTGCAAGAAGGCTTTCCGCAAGGATGTTCAGGAGTTTGAAGAGAGTGACGAGTACTGCCCGCACTGTGACAACCACTTTGTCCTCGAAGCAAAGACGCCACAAGCCAGACTGCAGGTTGAGAGTGAGGATGTTAGAAAGGATGCTCGTTTCGTCAAGGATGACCGTGTGCGCGAGGAAGAGCAGCAGACCATTTGGAACCTGAAAGAGGCCAGTGAGAGACTGGGTTGATCTGCGCATGCTGCATCCCTTCTGCACTTAATCCGGGACCTACACAAAACTTGAAACCCCGCATATACCACCTGGCTCGACCATCGACCTGGAATAGAAGAACGAATTCACGAATCATCAAACATCATTCATGTATTAAATCTTTTCATTGCCTTTGCCTCATCATGCAGCCATGATATCTTGATTTGCCCTGAACGCCAATGCTTATGTCCCCAAATGCAAGTCGTGTCTACTCTGTGGGTGCGTTGCCTCCGTCGCCGGCCGGTCTGCTAGCCAGCACGGCTTCAGTGCCTACCGCAGGACCTGTTGTGCTGCCCTGTGCTCCGGCACCGCCAACCTGACCTCCTGCACGGGGACCTCTTCTTGTGTTTGTCTCTTCCTGCTTTTCACTGTTGATGCTCTCGACGTACTTCTCGATATCCTCGACCTTGAGCATCTCCAAGGGCTTGCCGGGCTCCATGACGGCAATCTCAATGTTCTTTGCACCTGTCTGCACAACCTCGAGCAATGACTTGACGGTAAGCTTAATTGTCTCTTCGCGATCCATTCCGTCCTTGTGGTTTCTCTCGAGGAATTCGCGCACAGTCTTGGATGAGCGGCCGATGGCGTTTGCCTTCCTGTTGTAACTTTGTTAGCAAGAATGCTTGGAGAACGATGGCGGAAGTAGACGAACCATGCAGAGTAGATACCGCTAGGCTCAGTGTAGAAGAGTCTAGCTTCTGTGCTGTTGGGATCGAAGCCGACAATAAGGGTACTGATACCGAAGGGACGGACACCACCAGATTGAGTGTAGCGTTGTTGGACCTGAGCGACGTGCTTTGTGATGTACTCGATGGAAACGGGGTCTTCGACGGTGAGACGGTGACTTTGAGCTTCGAGACGGGCCTTGTCGACAAGGATACGGGCGTCGGCGTTCAGACCGGCGAAGGCGAGACAGACGTGGTTGTCGATGAGACCAATCTTTGAGGGAGTGATGCGAGTATCTTGCAGCTTCATGGCACTGCGCTTCTCGCAGCCCAAAACAACGATCTTGTCACCTTTGACACCGACGGCGCAAGTTCCTGGGAGGCAATCAGTCGAGCGAACATGAGTGAGGAGGATGGAGACGACGACATACCGCGCTTGACGGCTTCGAGAGCATATTCGACCTGGAAGACGTGTCCGTCGGGACTGAAGACTAGATAGACAGTGAGTATTTGGATGTTTAGATGGCGGATGGACTGGCGTCATCGCATACCGGACAGAGCTCGATCGTAACCGCTGGCCATAGTGTGTGTTGTATGTGTGGTGACGGAGTGTTAAGGCAGTGAGGATGGCGAATGAGATAAAGAGGCGTCGGAGGAGATGAGAATCGTTCACACAGCTGTATAGACAGTTGATCTTAGGCAGTTGGATGGTGTCGACTGCAGCTTGCGGGAGCTTCGCGCTGGACCAAAGCGGCGGCAGAAGCCGGAGCTCCATCATGCCGACCTGGACTTGCAGCGATTGCGGCGAATAGTATGATGCCGCCATGACTCTGCCGGCCATACTCGTACATTTTTTTGTTTCTTTATTCCTCGAGCTCTATAAGTACCTCCTGTAATTCTTAACACCTCTTCCTCACACTCGACTGTCACAATGGCACCTCTCCACCGCTGCGTGCCGGCCTTGCGCCAGATCAAGGCTGCCAACTTCGCCTTCAATCGTGCCGCCATCGCTCGCACTGCTCCCCGCGCTGTCTTTGCCGGCCAGAGACGCTTCGAGAGCTCAAAGAACGAACCCACCACTTCGGCCACATCAGAACCCCACCAACCTCACCCAGACACTGGAGCAAAGGGCCCAGAAGCTCCTTCACGAAAAATCAAATACACCTCCGAATCATACCCCGACCTGAAGAGAGATCCCAAATTTGCCGAACTCACCACCGAGCACGTTCAATGGTTCAAGGATTTGCTAGGCAACGAGTCTGCCATCCTCGATGGTGTCTCCAAGGATGCTTCCGAAGATATTGAGCCTTACAATGCCGACTGGATGCGCAAGTACAAGGGTCACACCAAGCTGGTTGTCAAGCCTGGAAGCACCGACGAGGTTAGCAAGATCTTGAAGTACTGCAACGACAACATGCTGGCCGTCGTCCCTCAAGGTGGTAACACTGGTCTCGTTGGTGGAAGTGTCCCCGTCTTTGACGAGATTGTTGTCAACTTGGCTCGCATGAACCAGATTCGCAGCTTCGATGACGTTTCGGGTATCCTGGTAGCCGACGCTGGTGTCATTCTCGAGGTTGCCGACAACTACCTCGCTGAGAGAAAGCACATCTTCCCTCTGGATCTGGGTGCAAAGGGCTCGTGCCAGATTGGTGGTAACGTAGCAACCAATGCCGGTGGTCTTCGTCTCTTGCGTTATGGTAGCATGCACGGCAATGTTCTCGGTATCGAGGCTGTCCTCCCTGATGGCACAATCGTCAACAACCTGTCTAAGCTGCGCAAAGACAACACTGGATACGACATCAAGCAATTGTTCATCGGTGCTGAAGGTACTATCGGTATGATCACCGCCATCTCTATTCTCTGCCCTCAGCGTAGCCAAGCCACAAACGTTGCATACTTCGGTCTCGAGTCTTTCGAGAAGGTTCAACAAGCCTTCTCCGAGGCAAAGGGCATGCTTGGTGAGATCCTTTCGGCTTTCGAGCTTATGGACGGCCGCAGTCAAAACCTTTACAAGAGTGCAAGCGGTAACAGTCTGCCTCTTGAAAGCGAGCATCCTTTCTACTGCCTCATCGAGACTTCAGGCAGTAACAGTGACCACGACCAAGAAAAGCTTGAGAGCTTCCTTGAGCACGTCATGGGCGAGGAGATTGTGAGCGATGGTGTCGTTGCTCAGGATCAAACTCAGTTCAAGGAGCTCTGGGGTTGCAGAGAAGGTGTTCCCGAGCATCTCGGTCACTGGGGTGGTGTCTACAAGTACGACTTGTCCATTCCCATCAATGAGATGTACTCTCTGGTCGAGGAGACCCGCGCGAGAATGGAGAAGGCTGGTCTGATTGGTGACACTGATGACTACCCTGTCGTCGATGTTGTTGGATATGGTCACATGGGTGATGCCAACCTTCACCTCAACGTGCCCACTCGCCGCTACGACAAAGCTGTCGAGAAGGAACTCGAGCCTTTCGTTTACGAGTGGGTTGCTAAGCGCAGCGGCAGTATCAGTGCTGAGCACGGTCTGGGTATTGCCAAGGCACCTTTCATTGGTTACAGCCGTGACGAGACCATGATCAAGCTTATGCGCCAGATCAAGGATCTTTACGACCCCGTAAGTCTCGTATTCATCTATTCACGAAACACAGACATACTGACGGACATTGCAGAAGGGCATCATGAACCCATACAAGTTCCTTTCCGGTTAGATGGACTGGATGGTTGTGTGTACATAGATTACTGCCTTCTTGACTACCAGCTTCTTGCATATGGTACTTGTAGATACCCCTTTGATGAGCTCATGAGCACGTCTTTCACCATTACAAAAGTTAGGTTCTTCATTCCTGTTCGTGCCGCATAACAGAGTTTTACAGTTGTGATGAATGTCTCCCTTCAAGTGACATCTCTGATGCTTTCTATGAAACGAAGGAATCCAGATACCACCCTCCCATGTGCTCAAGACAGTCACGTCTTTGCAATTGACCCCTTTCTCCACTTCGAGGTATAAGGGTTGTTGTAAGTTGTCGAAATGCATAGTTGGAATCATAATGTCCATAGAGATCCTTTAGTGGTGCTCTCTCCATGGAAACCCCATTTTGTTGAAAATATTGTGCATTTCTATAGCTACACTGTGTTTGATTTTCGCACACCGGGAACCATTGATTTCAGACCTGTCCAATGAATAACCACAAAAGCTTCTCAGCAGCCTTGGTCTCCTTGTCTTCTTTCTCTTTTTTCTCCTTCCTTTCTTTGCCCTTCTTTCTGTCCTTCTCTGACCTCCTCTCTTCCTTCTTAGCCTTCTTTTCCTTCTTTTCGTTTTCCTTTCTTCTCGCCTCCATGGCTTTTTCCTCGGACTTTGCCATCTGTCTTTTCAGCTGCGAAGCACTCAATCTATCAATAACATTCTCTCGTCTCGCTGGTTCAGGAACATCAAACTCCAAATCCGCGACATATGGCTGCAAAGCTTGGAGTCTTCTGTCTCTGACACTCATCTCCAAGCCTCGCTCGTCGAGTTCACCGAGTAAAGGTCTACTCCCCTCAATCCCCAACTTCCTTTTCAGCATTTCCGTATCCACAATCTCTACCTTCAACCCCTTTGGTGCGAAAACCTCTTCATTAGCTGTTTTCAAACACGTCGCAACACGCGTTTTGGACGTCACGGCACCAGCGATTTTGGCGGTTGCTTGAAGACTCCCTCCTATCAAGGCTGGGATGTGGTGAGGTACCATACCCACAAATCCTCCTGCGAGATCGAGGATCTGGAGGGGTGGGGTGGTGGCGAGGCAGATGTTTAGAGTTGAGAGAAAGGAGAGGAAGGTGGCGGGGTAGATGTTGTGGGTAGAGAGGGCGTGGCTATAGGCGAGGGTGAAGGGGTTGTTGGGGCCTGGAGTGGTTTGAGGAATTACGATGGGTTTTTGGTGGTGATTGTGAGAGGTTTGTGAAGAGGATGGTTGGTAGGTTGGTGAAGGTTGTTGATGCGAAGCGTCCGAGTAGATGTAAGAATGTTGCATTGGTGTTGTTGTATAGTAGTCCCTCTTGGGCTCGACTGGCATAGGAACGTATCCTTGGTGGTCCGCAGGGTATGGCGGTGGAGACATTGATGGGGCATAGGTTTGCCAATAATCAATGGATGGCGTTGGATGGCACATCTCCCGAGGGTACTGGTCAGGGCTGGAGTAATACTGAGCCATGTCTGAAGGGGTCATCTGCGAAGATAATGGATGACAATGCTGATAACACAGTAGAACCTCGAAGATGATGAATTGTTTTGATACAATCCAGAGATTTCTGAAGACATCCATAGATTTATATATCTTCCATCTCGACATAGCCCACTTGTCTGTACAGCCATGTCTGATGGCTCAGCAAAAGTGATATCACGCTCATCAAACCGACCTCTCAGATACTCTGCGCCGGAGAATGCTCCCAAACAAGTATAGGTCGACAGGCCTCCATTCGTTAGTAGATTCATATCGGACCTTTAGACCCTTGGTAATGTATAAGGTTTGGAAGGAAGGAGAGTGCAGATCGTTTCCCTTTTTGGAGCATTTCGCGGTGGATGTGCTGTGATTGGTCGTTCCGGCTCACCTTTGTTGGTATACCAGAGCAAGCGATCCTTCCTTATCAAGACCCGATACTTATGGCGACAGGGCACTTTTCGACTTGTCATCAAGGTAAGCCTTGTGCGATCGAGTTGGCATGACTGCAGGGATGGCTCTCTAGGTGTAAGACGCTAGGTAGCATTGCCTACAGTTGTGCACCGGCGACGCAACAAGCACTCACCAAAGCCCTAATTCCATCGATCGAGCGAAAGAATATATCCTGATGCTGCATGACAGAATTTCCGGAGGAAGCGGGAAGAGAAGGAGGCTATGTTCGCTCACATCTAGGCTTGCGGAAGCTCGAATTTACTTCCTGAGCAGAGGCACTCATGCCTCACAAACAAGACATTGGGATACTGGCCACGCTTGGCAATTCAACCAGTCGTGTCCATTTCTCAAGAACAGTTTCCTTGTAGCGTCCCACAAGAGGGTTCTAGGATGATCATTCTCGTATGCAATAGTCGCGAGAATCTTTAACGTTGTGCTAGAAACCCTGACCATTGTTTCTGCAAGGTAAACCTGCATTCATGGTATAGGCCAACGATTGTCTCATCTCTCTTCTAGAACGAAGAAAGCATCTTGAAAGAGGATTGAAGGATCGAAGCATTTTGCGAGCAGATTGCAATTATTGATTTGGGCTTGAGCGCTTATATTGAAGGATTCATTTTGTGTCTCGATTTGACCAAGTGACCAAGTAGCTGGGTCCAAGCCTGCATCCTCACGTGGCATCTCCTAATACATTGACACACTCAACGGTGATTACTCCGATTGGCTCGATCATGTACTCCAGGTATGGGGAGGTAAACATCGAAACATGGCGGATTGACGAACATATCCGAGCGCAGTACTATCGATACATCCTCTTCGCGGGGTTCAGCCCGACTACACTGATCTTATGAGTACACGCCACACCGTTAAAGGACCGGGATCCAGACTGCAAGGTCCCAAGAACCAGGCTTGCCATAATTTGAGACCATGATGACTGAAAACGTTCATGATACAAGAAATTGATGCTGTCTAACCCACACACACATGGGCATAGAGCCTGGACTAAAGCCACAACGTGTTCTTCATCCATACTTTCCGAATGCAGACTTCGCGATTTCCCAGAGATCTTGACCAGTGGCTATCTTTTGTTTCTGCCTTTCTAGAAGGGACTGTTGTTCAGGGGTACCGTTACCTAAGATCTTACCGGCTTCTCGCAACGGCCAGAGAACGAAGAGCTGACCAAGTCTGGTGTGGGAGTTTTGGAGCTGGAAATCAAGACTAGCACAGATCTCCATAGCTGCTTGACGTGCTTTCTCATACAGTGTCGCTGCGGCCCCAGCATGCAATTGACCCTGTTGAGCAGACAAAAGAATAGTTTCCAACACAAGTATTAGTGCAGCATCGTATAAAGAGCAGCAATTCGCTGAACGGAGACTGGTGAAGTGCAAAGAGCAGTTTTCTGGTCGCTCTTCTGCGGAGATACTGATGATATGACCTTCAGGTAAGGCATCCCAGCTCTTTCGCCATTCTAAAAGTTCAGCGAGCACAGGCAAGGCTTTTTCTGCCAAGTCGTGATACGTGGCCGCTTTAGCTTCGTCTGTATCAATTGAGTCTTGCAACACAAGCAATGTGCTTCTGAGCGCGGGTATATCGGCCATTATATCGTGGAGAAGATCCATGCCGTCTTTTGCTACCTTCTGCTGCTGCCATGGCATCGTTTTCCATGATGCTTGAGAGAGAAAAGTAGGTCGTCTGCTAGCCAGCGAGGAGAGTATGATGAGAAACCTGTTACTGCGAAAAAGCTCGAACATGTTTCTGTCTCTGCACATCTCTGGTCCCTGCATCTGGAACAATGTTGATATGCCTTGTCCATGACGGATCCAAGCATCGTGGCTAGTGCAAAGCATCATCTGTTATGGTTAGATAGCATCTAGTAGGAGGATCAAATCACGTCTTGCCTCGTAGAATCCCATAATCATGATCGACAGAAGCATGTCGGTTGTCGAATTTTTCTTCACATCAGATAGACCTTTATTGATGTTTCCAAGGCATTGACCATATAAAGCGGTTCCATGCCGGGTGACACTCGATTCGTGTTGTACGCGACCATAGAAAGACTTGGACAATGCGAGCAGGCATTTCCAGGACAAAGTGTCTGGTCGAGCTATCGCATTGAAGCCAATCCAGCGAACGCGAGTGTCATGATCCGAGAACAACTTGTGATTTAGATACGTGATGAAGATATTGTCGTCTGTCACGTCAGAGAGATGGGGTTGCGCGCGCGCGAGCAGCTTTGGAGGACTGTATTGAATGACTTGAAAATCGTCGGAGCGAGGACTGCATTCGAACTTGTCTTTTGCACAGCGCGAACAGACAGGCCGCCTCTCGTCTGAGAGTCCCGTTAGCCCGCGCGCGCGTTTTCGACCATCGGCTTGGCTGATTCATACCGCATTTTAAGTGGCGAGCACGACATGTAGAGCAGCCCTTGGATCGCGGACGACCGACCATCGAGGCAGTACAGTAAGGTCGAGTTCAGCAGGCATCTCTTGACGGTAGATGTGTGTGACGTCGAGTCTTGGGGAAAGCGCCACTCGCCTTGGTGAAAGCCACCCGAACTCAATCTTGGCATTGTTGATACTCGAGTAAGTTCACAACATGAAGCTGGGAGATAGCTGTTCGAGTATCTGCTTACGACTCGCAAGCCCTAGCCGGCGTACGATTACGACACTCGGATGGAATTGTTCCTTGCTGAGAAATGCCGGGCATTCTTGAACAGATATTTCTGGGGCAGTGTAGGATTATCAATGTAGAAGCCGAACCTCGTATTTGCTCGTATAGCAGCTTCGGATGTTGGCGGCATCCAACACCAAACCTTCTCTCCGATCTTTGTCAACCTCGCCTTTCTGTTTTGATCAGCCAACTACACACTCGTAGGGTTTGTACACAAACAGGGACCCCGAAACCCAGCTGCGCGTGTCTAGCTTTTGTTGAGCTGAGTAATTACCGTCGCATTCTATCGGTGGCCGTTAGGCCGAGTTCGATGAGTAGTACTTCCTTGCCTCTCTACGCGTACCCATTTCCCGGTAAGAACTGCTTCCGAGAGATACTCCACGGAGCGTTTTCCTTTTATGTGTGGACCTTCGTCCTTAAAAGGGTTCACGGGCCCTTTAGGCTTCCGTGTAGAGCGCACGGGGAACGGATGTGAAGGTCGCCGAGAGTCTATTCAAACGTCCTTCGAGCTCTTGGAGTCCTTGGGGACCTGGGGTCGAGGTGGAACTCCTCGGGATGATGTCGTTGAAAACACAATTTACGAACCGTCCGCGTTAGACTACGTACCTCTGTTCCACATCGTTCTCGAGCCTAAACACCCTGTCTTGTTCTTAAAACGCCCAGTCGTCATGAGGGCCGATAGAAAAACAAAACACTAGATTCAAATACTTCTACTGAATATATAGGCGTAACGCCTTCTAGTTCGCTAGCGTTCCCCTTTCCCCCCAGACCCTTTTCCAATCTGTAACTCCTGACTCCCTGTTCCACCACAGTCAACATGGAGTACAGGACCACACAGCAGATAGCGGCAGACGCTCTTGCTGATGGTCAGCCTTACCAATTCCAAAGCTACGAACCTCAGCAGACTCCCGTTGAGCCTGAGCTCCCACGATCAAACGACATCAAAGAAGAGGTTGAAGAAAGCGAGAAATCACGTTCCGGAAGTAGCAGCGATGACACCGTCGGATATGCCCCGATCAATATTCCTGGAGCGGACCAGGAGGCCATGAGGGAGAACATGATAACGTTGACTCGATCCCAAACGAACGCAAGTTACGCTGGCATCGATCCCGATTCCAAGGATTTCAGTCTTGACAAATGGTTGAGAGCGTTCATCAAGGATTTCGACGCAGAAGAGCTTAAAGCCACCAGAGCAGGTATCGTCTGGAAGAATCTTTCGGTCTCCGGTTCCGGTGCAGCCCTCCAGTATCAAGATACAGTCGGCAGTATTCCATTGAAGCCTTTTGGGATGATTAAGTCTCTATTCGCAAAATCCGAGCCAAAGCACATCCTCCGCAACTTCAACGGCAACATCAAGTCTGGTGAATTGCTCATCGTCCTCGGTCGTCCAGGCTCTGGTTGCAGTACCTTCCTCAAAACACTTTGCGGCGAGTCTCATGGACTTTCCATTGAGGATGGTTCTGAGATTCATTACAACGGTATCAGCCAGAAGCAGATGATGAAGGAGTTCAAAGGAGAAGTAGTGTACAACCAAGAGGTTGATAAGCATTTCCCGCACTTGACCGTTGGTCAAACCCTCGAGTTTGCCGCTTCCACCCGCACACCATCGCACCGTATTCGTGGACTTTCTAGGAAAGAATTCGCCGAGCACACAGCCAAAGTTATCATGGCAATTTTCGGTCTCAGTCACACTTACAACACGAAAGTCGGCTCTGATTTCGTTCGTGGTGTGTCCGGTGGTGAGAGAAAGCGTGTCAGTATCGCTGAAATGGCTCTCAGTGGATCTCCTCTCGCTGCATGGGACAACTCTACTCGCGGTCTCGATTCTGCTACAGCATTCAAATTCGTTGACTCGCTCCGCACTTTGGCAAACCTCGGTGGCTCAGCCCACGCTGTCGCCATTTACCAAGCTTCTCAGCAGATTTACGATCTGTTTGACAAAGCGATTGTGCTGTACGAAGGTCGCACCATTTACTATGGCCCAGCATCAAAGGCTCGTGCCTTCTTTGAGAAGCAGGGATGGACTTGCGACAAGCGCCAAACGACTGGTGATTTCTTGACTGGTCTCACCAACCCAGCTGAGCGCAAAGCTCGTGAGGGCATGGAGAACAAGGTCCCTCGCACCCCAGAAGATTTCGAGCGTCTCTGGCAAGAATCCTCGGCATACAAGGAAATGCTGCAAGGCATAGAAGAACACGAAAAGTCAGTCTCTGGAGAGCAAACGATTCAGAGCTTCCGTGACAACAAGGGTGAATTCCAGGCAAACCACACCCGTCTGAAGTCACCATACATGATCAGTATTCCTATGCAGATCAAGCTGAACACAAAGCGATCTTACCAACGCGTCTGGAACGATCTTCCATCGACGACAGCAGCTATTGGTGTCAACGTCTTCATGTCTCTCATTATTGGTTCAATCTTCTATGGTACACCTGACGGTACAGTCAGCTTCTTTGCTAAAGGAGCTGTCTTGTTCTTCGCTGTCCTTCTTAACGCACTCCAGGCTATGAACGAGATCAACAGTCTCTATGCTCAACGTCCAATTGTCGAAAAACACAAATCATACGCCTTTTATCATCCAGCCACTGAAGCAATTGCTGGTATTGTAAGCGACATACCTGTCAAATTTGTTACCAGTGTTGTGTTCGATGTAATTCTTTACTTCCTGGCTGGACTTCGACGCGAACCATCTCAATTCTTCATCTTCTTCCTGATTACGTATGTGATCGGTCAAATCATGTCCGCTGTCTTCAGATCTCTCGCCGCCATCACCAAGACAATCTCGCAAGCCATGACACTTGCTGGTGTGATGGTCCTCGCACTGGTCATCTACACTGGATATGTATTGCCGCAGCCTTACATGAAGCCGTGGTTCGACTGGATTCATTATCTGAGTAAGCTGATTTTCCCTCACTTTTAAGCCATGCTGACAATACTCCAAAGATCCGATCTACTACGCATTCGAAATCCTGATCGCGAACGAATTCCACGGACGAGAGTTCCCCTGCTCTAATCTCATTCCCAACTATCTCAACATGGCACCCAACACATTCATCTGTTCCATGACAGGTGCACTTCAAGGCCAATATGTTGTGCAAGGAGACCGTTACATTCAAACTGCCTACGAATATACCTATTCTCACGTTTGGAGAAACTTCGGTATCATGATTGGTTTCCTCATCGGCTTCATGATTATCTACTTCATCGCTGTTGAGCTCAACTCTTCGACCAGCAGCACTGCCGAGGTCCTGGTCTTCCGCAAGGGCCATGCACCCGCTAATCTCACTGGACAAGTCAAAGAGGGCAACAACGATGAGGAAGCGGCGGCAGCTGGAGCTGCAGCATCGAACGATCACACCGAAGGTGAGGTCGACGCTATCCCTGCTCAGAAGGATATTTTCACCTGGAGGAATGTGGTTTATGACATCAAGATCAAGGGCGAGCCTCGCAGACTTCTGGACCATGTTTCTGGTTACGTCAAGCCTGGAACACTTACCGCTCTTATGGGTGTCAGTGGTGCTGGTAAAACGACTCTGTTGGATTCTCTTGCTCAACGTACGACTATGGGTGTCATTACCGGTGACATGTTGGTCAACGGAAAGCCCATCGACGCCAGTTTCCAAAGAGGTTGTGGTTATGTGCAACAGCAAGGTAAACTTACACGGTTTGAAGAATCTCGAACTTGCCATTAACCACTTCTTAGATCTGCATCTCGAGACAGCTACTGTTCGTGAAAGTTTGCAATTCAGTGCTATGCTTAGACAACCCAAATCGGTATCCAAGAAGGAGAAGTACGACTACGTTGAGGAAGTCATTAAAATGCTGGACATGGAAGACTTCGCCGAGGCAGTTGTTGGTGTTCCTGGTCAGGGTTTGAACGTTGAGCAGCGCAAGCTTCTTACTATTGGTGTCGAACTTGCTGCCAAACCCAAGCTTCGTGAGTATTCAGCTCCTGGTGAATTCTCAGACAGTGCTAACTCCTATCGAAGTCCTCTTCCTCGACGAGCCTACCAGTGGTCTGGACTCTCAAAGTGCCTGGGCTATCTGCGCCTTCCTCCGCAAGCTCGCCGACGCCGGCCAAGCTGTCCTCTGTACTATCCATCAACCTAGTGCCGTCCTTTTCCAGGAGTTCGACCGCCTTCTCTTCTTGGCAAAGGGTGGTAAGACTGTCTACTTTGGTGAGATCGGAGAGAACTCCAGAACACTTCTTGACTACTTCGAGTCGAACGGTGCTAGACACTGCGAGGACGACGAGAACCCTGCTGAATTCATGCTTGAGATCGTCAATGCTGGATCCTCCGGAAAGGGACCTGACTGGCACGAGGTATGGAAGAAGAGTGACGAGGCCAAGGACGTTCAGAAACAGATCGACAAACTCCACGAAGAATCCAGCGGTAGAGCATCAGAGCGCGAACCTACCAAGGAAGAACTTAGCGAGTTCGCTATGCCATTGACCACTCAGATCTGGGTTGTCACTCACAGAGTGTTCCAGCAGTACTGGCGCATGCCCCAATACATTCTCGCAAAGTGGACCCTCGGTACTGCTGCTGGTCTGTTCATTGGTTTCTCGTTCTACAAGTCCAACAACTCGACCCAAGGAATGCAGAACGTCATCTTCTCGGCTTTCATGGTTTGCACAATCTTCTCTTCTCTCGTTCAACAGGTATGTCAATCGTTTGTACATCCAAAATCTTTACTAATAGAATCCACAAGATCATGCCTCTCTTCGTTAGTCAGCGCTCGCTCTACGAGGTCCGCGAAAGGCCCAGCAAAGCATACTCCTGGAAGGCCTTCCTCCTCGGTAACATTGTTGTTGAAATTCCTTACAACATCATTCTGGCTGTTCTGGTCTTCGGTTCCTACTACTACGCTGTTCAGGGTATTCAAACTTCCTTGCAGCAGGGTATGGTTCTTATCTTCCTGATCGAGTTCTTCATCTACGCCGGCACCTTCGCCCATCTCTGTATTGTCGCCATGCCAGATGCTGAGACTGCTGCGGCTATTGTGACCCTGCTGTTCGCCATGGCCTTGCTTTTCAACGGTGTCATGCAATCTCCTACCGCCCTCCCTGGTTTCTGGATTTTCATGTACCGTGTGTCACCCTTCACATACTGGGTCGCTGGTATCGTCTCAACACAACTTCATGGCAAGCCGGTCATCTGCAGCGACGTCGAGACCAGTGTCTTCCAGCCCCCAGCCGGACAGACCTGTGGACAGTACCTGAACAGATACCTCGAGACCGCTCCCGGCTACCTCCAAAACCCTAACGCGAGGGCAGACTGTGCATACTGTTCACTCAGCAATGCAGGCGAGTTGCTTGCCGGCAGCAACATCTACTACAGCCAAGTCTGGCGCAACTTTGGTATCTTCTGGGCTTACATTGTCTTCAACATTGCTGCAGCAGTCTTCCTCTACTGGGCGTTCCGCGTCAGCAAGTTCAGCTTCTCTGGATTCATGGAGAAGTTCAAGTCAAAGAAGGCGCCCAAGCCAAAGGCTGAGCCCCTCGCCGACAACGCAGAAGGCGAGAAGCAGAGAAACCATGCTGAGCCCTTCTAAACAAAAAAAAAGCCACTCTCTCACGTTTCGGGGAGGCGTTTGGTGCTTGGAAATTTTTCCTTTGTTTTTCTGTTCTTGTAGATACTTGAAACTATAGATATAATGTAATACTTTCAAAACACCTTTCCTGTGCAAGCAATATTTTCATCTGGTGCGCAATTAATGCTTCGCCTTTGTCAAGCTTCTACGTAGCTTGTGCTGCATCACGACGATCTTCGCAAGTCCCTGTTGAAGCGATAACATGTCCGTCCACTAGGGACTTTCTGCTTCTTTGGTGCTCCCAACCATGGCGAATTTCCCTCCCCCAACTGTACAGGGGAAAACGTTCTGCTTCTTGAGAACCAGATCCGCAAGACCTTATCCACTGGGAATAATAGGGACACGAGGCAATCTCCCTCCAGGGGGTACGTATGGGTCTTCGTAATTCTTATCAGTCCGTGCTCTCGTCTTTGCAAACGCCCTGAGGTTATGAAGGCTCCCGTTAAGGGTACGAAGCTCCGTAGATAACATCGGGTATCTCGGGTTGGAGTTCTACCCTGAGGAGCTTTTCTCATGCATGGCTCGAGTGACTAGTCTTGCAAAGGCTTGTTGATGCCGGGTTACCGTTTTCATGGTGGTTATTCGGCAGACGAGAAGATGCCTTGCCGTTAAGAACGAAAGCGAGACTGTATGCAAGGTTGTACGGCATTGCAACTCTTGCAGACTCAGAAAGCGAGCTGTGCAGATGCAGATAGCACAAAAACCTTTTTCTCCAACTTCGAGGCTCTGTTTCTTGTACTTCGTGCTCTGGCTATCGGTATGCTTGACCAAAGCACTATAAGAGAAGTTTGGAAGCAGGTCTCTCTCTGACCCATAATCTCGATTCTCAGCTAGTTTCTGCTGATACAGTACTCTTAGTCATCAAGCTAGTCTCTACAAAAGTCTCAACAACCTAGTCTTGAAAGCATTCAGACGACATCTTCAAATATCGCCATCGTCGCACTTGTCGTTCTCTTCTTCATCTCCAGTTCCTCATCAGTCCCCGGACGCGAATATGCCCAGAGTGCCACAGACTTGATCAAGGATTCGAGCTCAAGATGGCGTGGCTCGCAAGAATCTCACGGCGACGCAACACCCCAAATCTTCCTACAGCTCCACTTGAGCAATTAAATCTCCAGCAGCAGCACTCGCATGTAGATGGAAGACATTCCTTCCGCTTCTGCACTCACAGATTTGCCATCACCAACACAGGAGGTGATTGATCCCGCTCTTTCCGTATCGGGTGCCACCAGAGAAGGCTTGTCAAGTCTGCACCAGCAGCAACCACATCTCGAAGTTGATGAATAGACATGAGAGTATTGGCTAAGCCTGTTGCGAAAATGACTATCTGGATATCCAGCAGTTCACGTCTTATCAGATGCTCCATGCGTGCGAGACCAGTTAACCACATGTAGCTATACGGTGTCATTCTAGTCACTGTCATGAACTCGTGACTACAAACTATAGATGTAATAGCTTCGTTGAAGTTTCTTGATGACCACCGAAAACTTCAGAACCAGAAAGGAGTAGCTATCTCACTTGTGATGCAAGAACCTTGGAAAGAGTTGAGAGTTGTGCTTCGGGCTTCATGCCTTCTTCTTTGTACTTCCAAAACACCTTCCCGAGCACATTGTTATCCGGTCACAGAATGACCAAACTCCATTCTCTCACTTCTGGCAAGCTCAAAGGTATGTTTAAGCAAACACCTGAAATCGACCCCTCGATCTCTGGTTTGAGACAAGATCAAAGTTCATCCAGAGTATACCATCTTCCCTCCAATCACATCGCTCTGCAAGTAAACGAGGAAGGACATCAATCGAGCATGCAAGAAATAACTTTTGTAGTCAAGTTGGCTGTCCTTGAAGTTTGTCTGTTGCACTTTCTTGATCAGGAAACAAGGGTGTCTTTATCCCACGTGGAAGAGGATTACCATTGCGGAGCTTGCGAGAGGTACAAAAGTTTATCAAACCATCATGAAGTTTGTACATGCAACGTCAGGCTGTTCAAACATTGTGGTTCTGTGCCAAGTACTGTGTTGTCGTGCCAGCAAGACCAACAAGTGAAGAAGGGGAAAGGTAAAGCCATTCATATGAATAATCCATAAATATGCGGAACATTATTTTGACACAGGAAACTTGATCCTGGAGCAAACAAAACACAAGTGCAGACAGAAACGCATGTTCTTACTTGGTACTCTCCCTAGTCCAACAACCCTGCTCAATCGTGTACACGGCAATCAATGAGGCGGACTGATACTCCGCAAATATGACTGTTGGGTGATGTTTCGGATGGCGTGTTGAAAAAGATGCCATCTCGAGCACTGCTTGTGAGACAGAAAAAAGATACATTGATGAATAGAGGTTGAAGTCTAATCGTAGTTCTCGGGCACAAGTCCACTAAACTTCATGCCTGCTACATGGTTAGACACGTGTGCACACCCACTTTGTTACGGAGAGCTTGTGATTGGAAGCGATTTAGACACTAGGAGACAAACAAAATACAAAAAAGAAGTCAAACATCAACAGATGGACGAGGTATAGGCAAAAGAAGGCCGAAGAGACCATACTTGCAAGGTGGTGTCAGCACCCCAACGAACGCCTCCCAAGCAGGAAAAAAGAAAAGACAGAACCACCCTCATAACGCCGCCAACAATCTATCATTTTAACGTTGATCATGAACAAAAAGTATCGCACCAAAAATTAAGATTGGCGGTCCAGGCCAGACCTGGTGTCCTGTCTCGAGAGAGCAGCCAAAGCATGAGCAGCATCTTGAGTATCCATCTCCATGTAAGGAGAGTGTTGGGATCGACCGTCGAGACGATAGACATGTTTGATTTGTTGGTAGTCGTCTCGTCTGAATCTTACGTTCCTCTGTTGTGCTTGTTGGAAGAAGTCAGAGCACGAAGTTCTCTCACGAGGCTTTGTTGAATCGAGCTGCTGGAGACGTCGAAGGGTGACTGTGCCCATATCTTTGGAGCCGGAGTCATCGGAACGTGATGCTGCGGCTTCCTTGTCTTTAAATGCAACTTCAGCAAGCTCCCTGCACTGTCTGGCTTTCTCAGGATCAGCCAGACACATATCGCAGGTACCAGGACCAGAAGCTTCGGTTCGCGCCTCCAAGAAACTGGGTGCGGAGACGTCAGAGGGTAGTTTCGGTTGCGTGATAGCACGCGATGAGTCAATAGGCGGAAGGCTGGGAAGACTCTTGTTGTTGAGCTCTTCCTGTTGGCGACAGATGCAATTCTCTACGTCGCTGCAGAAACCGCAATGTTCATCTGTGCCGAGACCAGATGTGAATGCAGATGGTTTACGGGATGCATATATGTTAGTGAAGTCGACTTCATACTCGTCGTGGGCATCATTGTCCGATGGTGGTGTAAGAATATGATGAACAGATGAAACAAGGTTCGAAGTAACAGAACGCTGGGCCAAGGTAAGCATGATGGCCTCTACGGGACAGTAGGCGATTGGACAAATACCTGAGGATGGGAAGGATGAGCATGAGCATTGGCATGGTGAGCCTTGGCAGCATCTGATTCGAAGTATTAGTATGGCTCTGATTCGATGGAAACATGACTTGAGCAAGTTTGATCCGCAAGAAGAAAAATTTGCTTGAGAAAAAGGCTGTGCAGGGAGATATGTCCGACAGCAAAGAAATATAAAACGTACCAAGTTCCCTCTGCATCTCAGCAATGCGCTCCCTGAGCTGACGATTCTCAAGATCGATTTGAGCCGACTTAGCATTGCCATCGGCAAGCTGGGCCGAGAGTCTCGCGTTCTCGGCATCGCGCTGCCTGAGCTGTTCCATCCAGGCAGAGCGTTCAGACTCAAAATTCGCCTTCAGCTGAGCATTCTCAATCTCGAGATCGTTGCATTTCTGAGCGCGGCGGTCACGGAAGTTACGCTGAGCCATTCTGTTCTGAGTCTTCCGTTTGTCCGAAGAGTCGTTCTGGTCGGCCATAGGCTTGCGACCAGGTTTCGGTCTCGGCTTGAGGACGACATCTCTGCTGAGTGGGCCATTGTTGACGGTCGAGTCGTTGCGGGGACGCTTCAAGGCTGGGATGGCGATCTTGCCGGGTGGAGCGTCGTCAGGCGACGCCGCTGAGATGGGCGAGCTGTGAGTACCAAGTCAGTCACGATACCTCTGGTCACGAGTATAACCGAACTGTTCCGAGGAAGATGGTGACTTACTGGGCGTCCATTGTGCTGTCGATTGAGCCGATGCTTCTCTTCAGCTGAGGCGGAGCGCCATCTCCAGCGGCGCGGAACAAGGCAACATGAGGACCATCTTGCGTGGTGGCGGGATATACAGACGAAGGTTGTGCCGATGCCAAAGTCGACATGTTGAAGTTGTGGAATTGGTGACCGAGGATAGATGGATAGTAAAGGATCTTATCTGATCGATGCATGTCGTCCCCTCGGTCGTTCGTGATCTGATCCTTGGCGGCCGAGATCGGGCTTGGTGGTCCATGCACGATTGGCCGCGCCTGCTCGAAATCGTATCGTCTTACGAACTCCTGCTGGGCTGGAAACCCCGAGTATGGGTACACTGCTCAATCGTCAATCAAGCTGCCTCTGACATTGTTTTATATAGCTCACTTTGAGGAGCTTGAGCTTGCTGTCGAAGTCTTGTTTTGGACCCTGCTTCACAAGCCAATCCTGGCCCGGACAAACTACAGGCTTGGAACGGTCGCTGTCCGTATATCAACGGTGGCAGCTGCTGTACAACTGACTGACCGAATGTTTGCGACTCTTGTATGAGCCTCTGACCTGGGCACTCCAGGTAAAGCCCGAGACACGATTGTCCATCATAAGCACCATTATTCACGACTGACATACCAAATGAACCAGCATCTGCTGTAGCATAAGCTGGCGAGACATCGCACGAATTTGTGACCACTCCTTGGTATGGAACATCAATCGCCGAGGACATTTGACTGTTGACGTCTGTCGAAGCCTCGCTGGCTGTTGGCTGTTGATCAGTATTCACACAACACGGTAAGTCATAGTGCTCTGACGAGAATTCATCACAAGGTGAGCAATGGTAAGCTGGAAGCTGCATCCTGTGATACGATGAATGACAGCAACCAAAAATCAGAGAGGAAGCAAGCTCCCGTGGGTGCATGAGCGAGCTTTGAAGGAAAGCTCGACATGAGTTGGCGTCACAAGACCGCGATTCAACTAATTGAGCTTGCGCCCTATTGGCATGCAAGCTAAGATGAATTGACTTTCTTATATGGAGCCATGTAGCCTTGTAGGAAAGATCAATCGACTCGATTGGTCGCTGACCGAACATCTCCTCAGTGTGCGGGTCTAGAGTCTGTTAAAAAAAAAAAAAAAAAAAAAGAGCTTCATGCTACTACATCAGAGATAGCAGTTGTTGAGGATCGAGAGAGCCATTCTGCGATTCCAGTATGGATGATTTAGAGGTAAATTTCTTCGAGTCTATGAAAGGCGCAGATTACCACAAAGACACTGTTTTTTTTGTACAATAGATCGTAGCATGATTGTACAAAGATGCTGCCACAGATGCTCAGAGCTGTCATTCGATCTGTCTTCCATCCACACTTGGTGGGCTTGTGCTCAACGATTTCATGTTCATCATCCACTAACGTATCATCGTATGATTGTAGCTCAACTCAAATTCTTCATCTCTTTTGCAAGACCTTCAATGCTCTCGACAGGCCCCTCGCCGAACATCAGGTACTGAACACCAAGATAAGAGTCGCAGCATGCCTGGAAGATACCACAGAGCTTGAACGACCAAGGAATAGTGCTCTCAGCAAGGAAGAAGAAGGACATTTTCATGGCATCACCCAACAGCCAGTTTGCGAGAACGCTCAGACGGAAGCCTTTGCAGCTGCGGTTTCTCTGGTTTGACATGATCTGAGGAAGCGGCAAAGTAGCCTCAATCCCCAAAGCCACGTAACCTTGAAGTGCGACGTATGAATCCAAGCGGCCGAACAGAATTTGGAGAACCAATAAGGTTGCGCTGAAGTACGCCAGGAACATCCAGTATGGCTTTGCTTGCTTCCATTGCCAAAATTCGAAAGGACGCTTGATATGAGTATCACCTTCTCTCGATGCTGCAAAGGGCTGATGGATGTTGTTGGCAGCACTGGCAAGTGGACGGTTTTGCAGGGCAACTCGTAAAAGGACGAGTTGGACAATAACCATCAAACCAGCTTGCAAGAGAAGAGATAAATCAAAGCGTGCTCCAAGCCAGTAAAAAAGTCTGTGACCCACTGTTAGTTAGCTGATCTCATATACTGAGAATATTTAAGCTCAATTTTGACACGTATTAGACTCACTTCAAAATTGATGCTACCAACATAATGAGGGGTATGTCGAGAGAAAAACCGGCCGAGGACCTCGTACGATGAATCGAATAAATTTGATCGGCATAACTGGTAACAGGCGAGGTAACAAGAAAGATGGGTGCAAGATGCGTGATCAGCCAAGAGATGATACCCATCATGACTGGCTGTTGTTTGTGTCAAGAAGATGGTCTCTTTCCTGGTCCTCTCTTCGGTGGCCTTTGAGATGATTGTGCTCGTTCGACCAAATAGACACCACCCAGCTGGGATGCCCAAGAGACTAGTGCTTGGCGTAAGAGCTTGTCGTCGACGGTCGTCAGGAGACGCAACTTGGAAGATGGACGAAGAACTGGTGTTTCAGGTATCCGTCATTGGAGTCACAAACCAAAAGTCGAACAGGTGGCCGTGTGCAAGAAAATTCAAGGAAACAAGGACGTTCTGGAAATTCTTCAAATTTATCAGGGGTCGTCAGAGAAAGGCTGTTGTTGAGAGTCGAGATTGTCCAGCCCCATATTCACCGCCACAAATTCAGCCACACTCTGCATGAGCCACAAGCTGGCGGGCATGTCTTATCGCGGCGATAACGGAGAGACACTATCTGGCTACATCACCGTCAACAACAAAGAAACCAGAGACAGCACTTAACATCGTAGGTCTTTCATCTTAGTATATCTCATCAGTCTTTGTATCTTTGGAGTCGTTTGGTTGCTACCTCCAGCAGCTTCTAGACGCGTTGGTTGGTCCCTTCCTCAGCACATATATTCATGTAGGTCTTCTCTTTCCACATAGCTCTCATCATCAGAATCACACCCAACTCGATTCATCACGACTATCCTCTACGACTCTACCCATTACGAATCTTTCCTGACGTCATGAAGTTCTACGGTAACCAAGAAGACGACCTGCCTCTTGACGAGCCCTTTCCTCTCGGCAAGCCCTTCACTTTCGACGAGACCTTCGAAAAACCCACTGAGACCTCTGGAGAAGGCACTGATTACTTCAAAGAACGCATCAAGGAAGCACAAACCAGCATGGGCACCCGAACTGCCTTCTTCTACGGTAATGCAATGTCTTTCCTTTCCCATAACTTCTCTTGACTAACAGTTCATCCATGAAAAGGCACCCTGATGGCCCAAGAAGTTCTCTACAATGTCATCTTCGGCCCCACAGGCAGCAGGTACAACATCCAAAACGTCAAACCGACCCCGGCCATCCTGCACAACCACAAGCGTTCTCGCGTTAAGTACTGCGATTACCCCGGCGTCATCCCCCAGGAAGGCCACTCCGTCCGCGGCACCTACGTTACTGGCCTAACAGATGGCGACATATACCGTCTCGATATGTTCGAGGGTCCACAGTACAGTCTCCGAACCGTGCGTGTGCGTCTGCTGAAGACCGAAGGCGATGAAGTCACCGGAGAAGGCAATGTCGAGGGCGATGAGGTGGAGACTCAGACCTACATCTGGATCGACAGCCTTGCAAAACTCGAAGATAAGGAATGGGACTACGCTGCTTTCAGAAAGGAGAAGTTGGCCCTATGGTCTGGCGGCGAGCCTGAGCGTGAGTCCTTTCTCAAGCAGTCTATGGTGTGATCAATGCTAATATTTTCGCAAAAGAACAAGGCTGGGACGATGGAGAGAAGCCCGAGGAGAGCGTCGACGCTACTGGCGGTAGATTCGGCAATGGTCAGATTGCTCAAGATCTCAGCAAGGAACACGAGAAGTTGAAGCAGCAGGAGGGCAACGCAGGCGAGCCTTTGAAGAGCGCTGTCTGAACAAAAGACAGACACGAACATTACGCGACACAGAGAAAGCATGACACGAAGATCATGATTACACAGACTTAGACCCCCAAGAACTTGGATATATTCTTTGTCATCTCACATACTCCCAACATCGCCTTGTCGCCAGTTCGATGCTATAGAAATGCAGAGTGCAGAACCTGTCTCCTGGCCTGTCCATTGAAAGCCCAACCGTCAAACTTTCAATGGACACGCACCGATTCCACAGATCATCATGCAATTGTATAGTTGCATCTCTGTAAACCTCTGCTTGTTCTGAAGAGGCAAGATTATTTCTGTACTACAGTAGCTCGTTCTCCTACTCCCATGTGAAGGGACCCGGGTTACGAGGTCGAACATCTCCTCTATCAGTGTCCTACTGGAGCCAGCTACCGTAAAGATGCAAAGATGTTATCCAGAAAACGAGCATGTCTGTCCGAAAACAGAAGCAATAATTGGATGTTGGTCTATGTATCGTCACTTACCGCACTTACCCGTCCAATTTTGTCTAGTTGTAGAAATATCTGTGTCTCCTGACGAGTCAGATCATACGGTCGGACAGCACGACTACCTATGATCTACAGGCCCGCAGTTCTGCAATCACGAATATGTATGTAACCTCATTCGCCCGGTACGTTCTGTATTCGGGACCCGGACTAAGCATATCGAAAAGAAAAAGTATGTATTGATTGTTCAGCAAGAAGGTGCCTGGGTATAGACATGATAGCAACGCTTTTGGCCCTTCGGCAGCCCCAAAAATCTTGATGCCGTGAGGACGGTTTCATTCCTCCTGAACTTCGATGACCATGTTGGTGAACATGCGATATTTGCATCATGGCTCTTCTCTTGCCAAACTCTCCTGCTACCACGATTGGGAGTTCTATTCCTCTTGGTAGACTCTCTGTGAGGCATGTTGAGCTGCTTGTTCGAGCTCGTTTCTGAAATTCATCTGGGAGTGGATGACGCTAGGCTGAGCGTAGTGGTCGTCATTTTGACGAAAGCTGTAGTCGTCGTGACTGCCGAGTCTGGCAGGCTCGCTGGTTTCCTCATCAGTGTAGCCATTATTGTCGAACAGCATCTCATCGTCTACAGAACGCTCCACTACTGGTGGGGATCTGTGAGACGGTGCCAAGTTATCCGAAATTGACTTGTAGGGACTTGGCTCCCGGAGCTTGTGAATTGGCGGTGGTGGCGGCTTCATGGGCGAGCTCTGGACCATCCTAGAGTCTGTTTGCGCCTCAGGGGGTTTCATAGGTGAGCTCATTTGCTTGGGCATAGGAACTGGACTTGTGGTACTGTTGTCTTGGTTGGCCATCTTTTGGAGACGCGCCTTTTCTTTCTTCCTCTGCTTCTTTGCAAGACTCTGCTCTTCCTCCAGCTTGATCAACTTTTCGCGTATCTCTGCTCGTTTCTTTGATGGATCAAAGTCAGCAAAGTCATTGTTATGATCAAGTTCACGAGACATGACCTTGCGAACGAATTCAGCAGGATCGCGTAGGAAGGCCTCCATATATCCAATCAGGTAAACACCACAGTCGCAAAAGTTTGTTTGCTGAGGCAGACCACGAGCATTCATGCCTTTGAGTTCAGTATACTCAAATTCCAAGCCTCGCTTGTCGCGACCTTCATGGACGACGTATTGCTTCAGATTCTTAACCTCTTGGGTATGGGTGCCACTGAGAGAGTCAAGAATAATCAGAGCAGGCCTAATTCTTGTCAGTGTATATGCTTCCCGTTGAAATCTGCATGATAGAACATACGTGTTTGGGTCCACCTTTGGCAGAGGCGGTGCTTGTTTTTTACCCTTGCGCGAAACGGGCTTCAACTTGCCAAGAGGAGGCAAGTCCTCTTCCTGTTCTTGTGATGCATCTAAGGAGATGCGCTTCACTCCCTGTGATAGACCGTCGTCTTTGGAATCTTGGGGTGGTGACTCAGGGATTTCAATGTCGTTCGACACTGTCGACTGAGATTGTAGGGGCTCCTCGACAATTGGTTGAGGTTCGGCTTCGGGCTCTTCTTCTTCATTATCTTCAAGGCCCTCCAGCTTCAATTTCCGCTCAAGCTTGTCGAGATTGCAGATGATGACGAGAAACCAGTGATATTGCGTATTGATCGGCACGGCAACATATGAATGGCTGAATAGATCGATGTTTCTCGTCCAACGTTTGACACCCTCGTAATTAAACCCTCTCTTCCTTGATGGCAAAGTGGAGAGAGTTTCGTAGAAGAAAGAGTTGAAAATGTGCGCCTTGCCCTTTAGGTCTGGGTTCTTCTCCTGCATCTCTCGCAGACAAAACGAGATGATGTTGTCGTTGAGCAGCTCGCCATCGTCTAGTCGTGCAATGTCTTCAGCATCGATCGTCGTTCTGTTTGTACCAACAGGAGGGTAGGTCAGCGGAGCGTCCCACTTGGGAATACCATGCTTCACAGTCCAGCGCTCGACTTCCGGCTCTGCGACAATAACAGCCTTGCTGCTGTCTTTGCTTTGAAGTCTTCGGCTGCTTCTCACGGGCGTGCTTTGCTCGAAGCGAGACGTGGGTGGCGGCAGAGAAAGGTCTTGTACTGTTTCTTTAGCTGGTTGATTGGCGAAGTCAGATCTCATAGCGCGAGTCCTCTTTACTGGGGTGGTTTGAGCTGTGGATTCGGGCAACGAGAAGCCTCTCTGTGCCGCCAAGGCCCGTTCTCGAACTGTGTTTGTACCTTGTCGTAGGCGCATAGCTTCTAGTTCAGGATCTGCAGTATTGGCTGCTGGTCTGAAGAACGTCTCAGAACCTTCACGGACATGCGTAAATTTGTCCCTGCATGGTTGTCAGCGTTGCAAATTGAGATGGGTATCGACACTCACACTGGCAAATCTCTGACTTTGGCTCGATCGTTCATATGACTAGCAGCCTCCAAAAACGTATCGAATGCCTCCGCGGTAGCAAGTTCGAAGTAAATTTTGCCGCTTGAAAGACTGTCATTACACCCGCCGAATATTGCCTCATTGGAATCTTTGCTACTGCAAAACAGCGTGTGAACATGTTTACTGCTCAGCTGGATTGTCACACCTCCATTGGAAAGAATGTTATCATTCTTGATGAACTGCATGGCCTTGTGGTCCCAAGAATAGATGATAAACAGATCTTCCCAGTTGCCAGCCTTCATGCGAAGTGACGACAAGGCAATCGTGATGTTTGCGGGGGCTTTACGTCGTCCCTTTGTGAAATAGGTAGACGGTATGTGATTCGGAGACGGCGATCGCTGAGCTGCAGTATGCTTCGACTTACGCGCAGAAGATTGTACCACGGGTTCTCGTGACAGTTCATCTGCACTCGAGTCCTCGATAGTTTGTTGATTCTGCAAAGGTCGAGCAGTATTGGATGTTGACTGCATCCTGTTTTTGATTTTCTGTTGAGCTTGATGTAATACTGGAGCCTGACCAGATTCTCCGTCATCTCTCACGAACGTCTCGGCAAGAAGAGGTGAGCGAGGCGGATCGACTTCTATGCGATCGAGAACCTGGGTGGCAGGCTTCGCATGGCTTCTGGTCTCTTGTGCTGTAATTCTTCTCAAGAAGCGCCTATCGGCCTCGCCGCGAGATACCCTAGGAGGCTCTTTTTGGTCAATAGATCGAGGTGGACTACGCTGGTCACTGAGAATCTGAACATCGTCGTTATCGTCCACAGAAACGGGATCGGTAAAAGTCCCACCTTGAGGTGGCGAGCTCTGTAGCGCTCCGCCAGCCTTGGGCTTGCGACCTTTCTTCTTGCTATAATTGAGCTTTGAATGTACATTTCGAACTTCGTCATGCGTGAAAGGATTGGTTTTCTGACTGGGAGTTTCCTGGCTCTGACTGTTGAGACTGATGATGCTGGGTTGTCTTTGCGCCGTTGGATGTTGTTCTTGTAGACCTTGCAGACCGCGATTGCCGAACGCATATTCTGGTATGTCGTTGGTATCATCGTGCATGAATTCGTGATTTGTCTTTTGACGTTTGGCCGTGTTATTGGAGACATTTGCTCCTCGAGAGCTGACGGTTGGCAGAGCATTCAAACCAGGACCCGGTCGATTCAGAGTGTTTCCTGGCCTGAAGCCGCTGCCGCTGGCGACTTTTCTTCTCGTGTTGCTCATGGAAGCCCAGTCGTCGCTCGGTACGGGAATGATAGTAGAACCTTCAGTTGAGCTGCAGGGTGTCAGCCAGGGCAACTTTTGAGCGCAGTTGGTTTTACGTACAGGTGTGAATCTGCAAACAATCTCTTTTCATCGGCACTAGCCACTGCGCGTCGTTGGTTCGCTCGTTGCTGGCCCCGTTCTCGACCGCTACTTGAATGCGCAGTTGTTTGTCGGGGTTTCAGCGATTCTTCAAGGTAGCTGAACATGGTCAGATGGGTAATGTCGTAGGAAGGTTGGATGCGGTATAGGTACTCTTTTGCCAATGCGGCTCTTCCTTGGTCGGGACTGGGTTGTGAAGATTCTCTTTTGCTTCGCGGCTGTTCCTTTGGGCTGGGACGATCGGGTCAGACTTGGGTTCGAAGGGACCGACAGGCGTGGCCTACTAGCTCAGCAACGCGGACTGGTTTGGGTCCGTAGTGGGTTGGATGCGTGGACGTTTGTTTCGCGACTGGACTCCTGGACTGTGGGAACTTTGTCAGATTGTGCGAATCGACAGAACTTCAGGTGGGGGAGTACCTCGTCGTCGATGTGCGGTGTGTCGACTCTGATCTGCTGCCTTCACTCGGCTGAGCATCGTCCTGTCCGACACTAGATTAGTGTCTGTTGCATTGCTTCACTCATGGCGTCCTACCTTAGTGTCCGAGTCGTGGCCTATGAATGTGTCGAAGGCTCGCTTGATTCCTGTGAGTCCTTCTCCGATGGAGTTAACAAGACCAGCCATGGATCATAGCGGAGGGAGGAGCATATGAGCACGCGACTGTCGCAAAGATGCTGAGGTTTGGAAAGCGCAGTGTTTGTGACTGCCCGCACGCGCAAACTTTTGGACTCGTCGTTAATCAATCTAACTTATTGTTCCCGACGCCGCAGTTTCACTTTCTGGCCGCCAAACGTCAATCTCTATCCTCAACTGTTTGTTCGAATGTTGTTAATCCCATCGTGGCTACATATTCTTTGTGGTTTCACTTCACTCACGACATCATTGCCTTCCTTGTCTTCTTTACTATCACACGCCTCGGACCGTTGCTATCCGGATGCGGAAGTCATTGATGTTCGACAAGTCATGCGCTGACATCAGAAGCAAAAGCATGACTCGTGACGAGATCAAGGTAGAGATACTCTCAAACTCCTTCGACGCACCGTCTCTCATGTCTTTTGTACAAGTACACAGACTCGTTCGTGAGAGAGATATCGGTATGGAGCATGACCTATAAAACCTCTTCAATTGGTTCACTACGAGTATCAATCTGACAACTTTTTGATGGCCCGTTGTTTCGAGGACGCCATGAGGCCTCTTCTCTGAGCGCACACATTCTGGTCAAATGTGTAAGCATGTTGAAGATATTGCATCTGCAGCTAGTAATGATAAGCTCATCTTGTTAGGACTCCTAAGGTCGTGACGGCATCTAGTAGCAACTTGAAGGCACGTTTTCTGCATTCATGTCGCAACGCGTCGTGGAGATACGAAGACAAGTGGAGTCTTCAATCCTCGTGACCGAGCCTCGTATCCCAGCAGCATTGTATGACAGTTCAACAGAGCTTGATGAATAGACTTGTTGGTCTGAAGCAAGTCGGGATACTCGATGAAGAGAAGTTCCTTTCGGCTTGGATGCCCAGGATCGACTGCCAAGAATGCCGGCCCGGTGTTGTCTTCCACTCAAAGCCGTTCCCTCAAACTCGTGGCCAAAGGTGGCAGTGAACGAATCAAGAATTGCTTGTCGGTGCACTTGCCGGTCCAGGCACGTGGAGTTTCTCATTGGTCTTTCCCTCGGGAAGCGTCATAGGATTGGTCCAACACACTTTCCCATCACCCTTGCCATCCATCTCGACGCCGCAACTTTTGAAGTTATAAAATGCACCCTATGTCCTCTTGATTATGCGCCATCATCTAAAAACTGCTTTGACTATTTTGTTATCATTAGCAATCATGTTTGCCGCATTGCTTCTCCTCGCGGCCCCCTTGGTTCGCGGCCAGTCAGATATTCCACTTTCGCAGGATATTCAAAATGTCCTCGCCGTTAGCAACAGCTCTTTATATACTGTAAGTGAATGAAGACGCCACTAGCATTGTACACAACTACCGACTGGTGTTCAATTTCTGCATAAAGAGATTGATCTTCAACTATCATATTGCATCGCGCGGGCCGAGCAGCCTTGCTTTGGCTCTTCGCAAGTGATATGTTAGCTACTGGTGTTCGCTGTGCCGGCAGAGGCCAATCGTCTTCCACGCAGGGAGCATGCTAAGTGTGCATCTAGTATCCTACAGATTTGACTCAGGGTATCATGCCCAAGGTAAGGATCCCTGCAAAGTCGATATCAATGCAGGAACGCTAAAATCTGCCGACAGCAAATCCACAGTCACAACGACTACTGGAGGGCCAAGCCATTCTGGACTGCACTCTCCAATGGTGTGATCTCAGTAGAGGCTGATGTCTGGCTGTACAACGACACTCTCTATGTACGTACTCTTGTTACGATCGAAACAACAATGACACGGCTTTCGGAGAGCCAGCTGTATTCGAATGAATCAAAACTCACGCTTCGCAGGTTGGTCATGAGGAATCTGCACTCACTCACGCTCGCACATTCGATTCCCTCTACATTCAGCCTATTCTCTCTGTCCTCAAGAAGCAGAACCCAAGCTCTCCTTTTGTGACTGGTCCCACCCACAATGGTGTCTTCGATACATCAGCAGGCCAGACTCTTTACTTGTGGGTTGACGTCAAGACCAATGGTAACACCACCTGGCCTTACGTTGTTCGCGCCCTCGAGCCTCTTCGTGAGGGTGGGTGGCTTACCAAGTACAATGGCTCTGCCATCACTAACGGAACTGTCACCGTCATTGGAACCGGCAACACTCCCTTGAACCAGATCCAGAACCAGACCAACCGCGACTACTTCTTCGATGGACCTTTGGCGACTCTTGACACTACTGCCAACAAGAACATCACTCAATACATCTCCCCCATCGCAAGTACTAGCTTCTTACAATCTTTTGGATGGCCAAAGGATGGCAAGCTCAACGACACTATGTTGGCCAAGTTGCGTGGTCAGATTGCCACCGCCAGCGCCAGAGGTATTGGCACCAGATATTGGGTGAGTCTTGTTGCATCGTTTGTGTTTCGTACATATCCTGACATGACTTTGTAGGAAACTCCTAACTGGCCTATTAAGGACAGAAACGCTATCTGGCGTCTGCTCTGGGACGAAGGTGCTGCCCTCATCAACGCTGATGACCTTGCTGGATGTGCGAACTTTTGGCAGGGCGACTCCTAGATTTATAGATAGATTCAGTAATCCTAGATGACTGCGAGCGCAGACGTTTGTGTGTTGGTTAGTTTCACGACCTGCAATTGTGTGTTGTGCGTGAACAATAGCAGTCATGACCGATAGCCAAGCATCACGTGAACGCGTAACAGTCGCAGTGGTTTAGTGGTAAAATTCGTGCTTGCCATGCACGAGCCCCGTGTTCGATTCACGGCTGCGACATCTTCTTTTGTCCATGTCTTCTCCTTCGCCAACATTGTTCTCTTTTAGTTTTCTTTTTTGTTTCGATTACAGGCAGACACAAAAAGTACCGCGTGGTCGTCTCATCATACCAGTCAAATAAGGCAATGTAGGTTGCTCGCTTCAGCTTCGATTCAATATCTTCCCATATGCGAATGGCAGTCACGGTGCAGCTGCAGAAATGCACAGTTTTTGGGAAGAAAGTGGTTTCACGGGGATAACTTCAATAAAGACTATCTCAATGGACAGGCTCATATTTCAAAATGCAACTGTGCATTTTGACAGCTCATAACAACACTTGTACCTCGTAATGGAGAAGAGGCTAAATGCAAATTGAGACTGTCTTCGGCACAAGGAGAGGAAGCAACTCAAGTAAAGAAATGTAAGTGAATTGATTCGACTTGTCAATGACACTAATTGTTGTGGCTGCGTCTATCATCAAATCTGCGAAACCCCAAGTCGCGTCTGCCATGTCTATGCTCCTCCAAATAAAGATGTTTTGTTGTGCTGCTGATTTTGTACAGGAAGAATGCCGTCCTGGATGCTCTTGCTCTATAGATGATGCAGATTGGTAAGCATTCGATCAGGGCTCTGCCTCCTGCTTGTGCTTCTTGACCGAAACTTCTTCTTCTTCCTCGTCGTTGTCTTCCGCCTTGCGCTTACCATTAACGTCTGGCTCCATGTCCTCGGTGGTGTCAACAGTGTCGACTAGCTCCTCGACGAAACTGTTGTTTTCAGCTTCCTTGCTTCTTCCTTCCGTCTCGACGTCCACAGGTTTATCTTCGTGCTCATTAACTGTCTCTGCGTTGGTTTCGTTGATATCATCGGCATCGTCCTCCTGAAACTTCCAAGGTAAGTCCAATACTTCCTTCTCAGCTCCGCACGTAGCCATCCTTTCAGCTTCGCTGGTGTGTTCATGGTAGGTGCAGGCACTTTCACAGCAGCGACACACGCCACGATCGGATCCTTTCTTGATCTGTTTTCGACACTCATCCAATACCCGGCGTTGGTCGTAGAAGAAACTGCCAGGCACGTCGTTAGGGACATCAAAGTTGTCAGAGCAATCATCATCGCAGTCAAGATCCTCTTCATCCCAGCCAGCTTCCCAATGGAAAGCGAAGGTGTCGACAATCCACTTGTAGAGTGACGAATCTCGATGCTCGGTCAAGATCTTACTGTCGCGCAGTGATCTGTAGGTGACAAAGGAGAGACCATCATCAAACCCCGTGCAGAGACTTAGTGCGTGAGTCATCACAGCACGTCTGAGGGCTAGACAGCTGATGTAGTCGGCATACTTGTAAAGCTCAAAGATAGAGTCAGGATCAGAACCAGCGAAGACTTGACCAGTTTCCAGCCAGCCATCGAAGAGCCGAAGAACACCTTGTGAAATGTCAACCTCGAACTCAACTTTCATCTCATGGCTTTCTTTCCAGTTTCCGTCGAAGGCCTTCTCAAAGAAGGACGAGTAGTGGCATAGTACGGCTTTGTTGACAGTGAATTTTGCTGGATCCTTTTTGTGGGTAGATTTCAGTATAATCGTCTTTGGATGGTCTGAAATCAGTACACTACTGCTGTTAGAAGCTGCAGAACGGCGTGACACTTGGGGATCTCACTAGACTTTTGCCGCCATCCAAAGACCTTTGCTGTAATCTTCCATGACCGGCGATCACGTATTGCAAGGATACTGGTGAGGGTGTTCTTCGACGTTGATGATTCGAGATCTTTTACTTTGGTTGATGGTTGATGGTTGATGGTTGATGGTTGATGGTTGATGGTTGATGGTTGATGGTTGATGGTTGATGGTTGATGGTTGATGGTTGATGG